TACCAACAAATAATTAGAACCAATGTAGTTTGTTAACATTTTTTTTTTTTACTTTTAATTTTCAAAAAGCTCCATTATCCTAGGACGGATAATGGAGACGGGTACAGCCACTATTGTAGATAGGAAGTTGGGAAAGTAAGATAAAGAAAGGAATTTAATGAATATCTGTAAACAACGATAAACCATTGCTAACCGAAAAAACGATTCTGAGCCGAGTTCAGTTGATAGATTTACTTTGTCAACAATAATTATGTCATATTATGGTAAAATAATTAACTAAGCATTAAATATTATCTTTAATAATATTTGTTTAATAATGTATCGATTTTCTCGTTTTTCCTTCGTTTCTTCCCGGTTTTTCTTACTTGTTGAGAAAATTCCCGGAAAAATCAAAAAATGACCTCCTTAAAGTACCGCCCCAAGAAAATTTCCTTTTAGAAAAAGGTCTACTTTGTATACATCGGAGTAAGCTGTTCAACAAAAAGTGTTCACATAAAAAAAAAAAAATAAAAATCTTTGTAAAACCAATGCATTCTTCAATACATTCAGAATCTAAAATAAGATTTAATGCTGTTAATGTTGGAAAGATAATAATATGGTACATTAAATTATTTAATATTGTAATAAATTATTGCTAGTAAAAATAATTATTTTGAGAATCGATGAAAAATATTTTGAAGTGTGATTACTATACGATTTTCAATAAAATTTTAACTTAAAACTTTTATAAAAAACATTACCATAAAATGTTCAATTTGAAATATTTTTTACCAATATAATGAACCTCGTGTAAAATACTCAAGCATTTCTGCTCTGCAATAACAATGTAATCTATTAATATAAAACCAAATAAAAAACTAAAAAAAAAAAACATTTCAAATGCTTTTAATTAACAAAAAAATCGTAAGAATATTTCTACAATTTTACCACGTCTAGAAAGTGGTAGTATTAAAATTATTTTTAACTAAGTAACAATAAAAAAAAACGAATTTATTGTCATATTCTTTCTCGTTTTTCTTCCGCTTTTCCCTGATTTTCATAGTTATAATGAAAACTAATAGAAAAATTTAAAAAAGACTACCTAATGCACAAACTAGAAATTGAAAATTGGAACAAAATTTCCGATTGAAAAGTTGTTCAAATAAATAAAATAAATATCATTGTAAAACCAGTACGTTCCTTACAACGTTCAGTATCTAAAACATACTTACACACACATCATAGTAACATCAATAGATCCCTCGCTGAATCTAAAAGTACAGATATTAAAACCAATGCATTTCTCGCTTCTACCTACCAAAAACACATAAAGCTCTAAGGAGTTGATGGAAATAATTTTAAGACATTCTTTAAATTCCATTGAAGTTGACGCTAAATTTTTAACAATTAAGTGTTGATACATTTTTGATATTGTCATATTGATATAATTATGGTATAGTATGATACTACTAATATAATAATATTACTAATACTAGTAAAGTACGCTGATGCAGTTGTAATGGTGCGGAATTCAATAGATTTTAATGAGTCTTAAAATATTTTGGGTCTTTGACTTCTTAGAACTTGATGTGCTTTTAGTCAGTAGTTTTTTTTTTTTTTTTTATAAAAAGTTATTTGCAAAATCAAAAATTTGAAAATTGTACATGGCATAATATTTAAGAATTTCTAAAATAAGTAACGAAATATTAAATTCGAAAAGAAAAAAGGTTCACCGAACGTATGTTCCGTATTGTTTCCCAATACAATAGCGGTAAGCTGTTAGAAGAGTCATGGGATGGCATTGGATTAATTTCAAAAAAAATCGATGTTATTTGTTTACTCCGCAAATTGGTTTGTAGTATAGTTCATAATATAATAATATAATTTACCAATATATCGAGTTGTTTTTTTTTTATTAGTACAGCGGCGTTTAATAACTTTTAAATTGCTCCGGCGATGTCATCTAAATTTAGTTTGCTTACGCGTCAATAAGGTTTCCAGTGGGCATCACGTTGTAAAATTTTCACGACCTTGATAGAATATAATATAATTTCGAGTCAACGGCCCCTCCGATCAATAATAAATAAATTATAAACGTCTATTATAATAATACTAATAAATTTCGCCTAAGACAACCCCGCACTGTGTCTCAATATAAATGACGGGTAACATTATAGCAAAATTACGATACTTAGAAAGTTAGGACACAGTGTCAGCCTGGTCACCGAAGGGATTAGACAGGATTTTTTTTTTAGGGGCCCAACCTACCTGACCACTAGTGCATTACTGTTTTCATTATTCATATTTGTGTTAAGTAGATAAATTAATTCTTCAGTTAGAGTTCATTCAATTTTTTTTTTTGTAAGAGTTATATAAATGGTAATTTGTTACAAATTAAAATAAACGTCACCTTTGTACACATTAAATTTAGCATAAAAGTAAATATTAAATAAGAATTCTTAGGATAATGGGGATCAGTGCAGCCGGTGTTATTGGTAATTTAATGTATATCTAAGCAACGATAAAACATTGCTAACGAAAAAACGATTCTGAACCGAGTTCAGTTGATAGTCATGCTTTGTCAGCATATGCTTATGATATGTTTGTCATATTAAAATAATTAACTAGGCTTAATATATTTTCTTTAATAATATTTGTTTAACGTCATACCGATTTTCTCAGTTTTCCCACGTTTTTCCCGGTTTTATCGTGTTTTTTCTCAGTTTTTCACATTTGCTGGAAAAACTCTTGGGAAAATCGGAAAATGACCTCTTTAAAGTACCTCCCAAGTCGAATTACCTTTTAGACAAATTACACTATACATATTTTAATATTACGACAATTATCATAAATGGAAAAAACGAATAGTGCATGAAATCTACGTGACTATATTATGATTTAATGTTATATTATGAGAACACGCAGATTTCTGATTATTGTCAAAACATATTATACTTGCATGCCATCAGCCGGTTGGTATTTGGTGGGAGGTTATTTTATAGGCGTCTACATTTTTCCAAACCACGAGATTTTATCTTATCGATTATTGCTCAATTATTGGAAAAAAATCCGATTGTTTATTGGTGTGTAAATTATTTATAAATTATAATGTACCTATGTACTCTGTGTATCTATGGTAGAAAAAATGGCTAGGAACCCAGGCAACGATAACTGCCTAGCTGCCTTGACCAGGCTGACACTGAACACAATACTCGTATTTTTATCATTTAGGTAGACATTTGATTTGATAGGTAATACAAATAACAATATATTTTAAAGGGACGCAGGTTTTTTTTGAAAAATCGTCATGCATAAAATGTCCAACTATATTAGTTTTCGCTTTATTTTGTTCAGTATCCGTATAATTTTTTTAGAAAAAAGGTACGGTCCTCAAAAATGTGATCAATTTTTAAATTTTGTTATTTCTTTTTCAACTGTCTGATTTTAACCTAAACGCTACAATTTATGGTCTAAACAAAAACAAAATGTTGCTTTACGCATCGTTACAGTTTAGTTTTTATTTTCGCACGTTTGTTAGTCACGTTTTGCGTAATATGATTCTCTGGGCGTTGATTTGGAAATACTATACCTTCCGTTTCAATTAACCTCGAAAACTTGAAACTCAACGATTTTGTTGATGACGTCTATCTTACGGATGATTATAATATATTTTAATGCAGTTTAGAATGCTTAGATATTCGTACAATTCTCATTATTTTTTTTTTTTTTTTGTGTTAATTTCGGATAAAAATAGAGAAGAGAGGGTTTTGGAGTCATAAATATACTTATGGCTTAAATGAACCTATGAATAGCTCAATAATTGTCAGAAAATTGTAACACGTCGAGAAAGTACTAATATAAGTGTTAGGTGAACATTTCAGGACCCTGCGGTTAATGCTAACTAAATCACAACAAGAAAAAAAAAATTAAATACTAGAAACCGTTATAGTGTATTATACACTATGTTCTACCTTCTCTATGCTTCCTACGTATTTTTTCAATTATTAGAATAACTACAAAGAATTATCAATAATCTGAATATGGTAACACACCGAAACCGTTTAGTTTCAAAGATATAAACTTAAAATACACTCTAAGTCTAGTTTCTTCAAACAATTTTTTATATTTACAAAGAAAATCATAAAATCACTTGCCCAAAACACTACCTGTCTAACCTAAATAAATAAATATTACTATTAGAAACCACCATTATAGTTAATAATCATAGTTAACATACGAAAACCATATTCCTCGGTTCATTTAGAATCTAAAATATTGATTGTTTGTATAAAATATAATTTCCTTTATTGTTAGGTATCTATTAGTGTACACTAATAGAATCGAAAATCAAAATGATAAAACAATAAAAAGAAACCCACGAAATATTTAATTTTGTTCGATTAAAAATCCTTAAATTAACTTATCAAAATGATACAACGATAAATTTTTTAACCGGTGAATATCAACAATTTCGGTATGGGCAGTTGCTCGCCTTGTCAATACGCTAGAACGCCACTGAAAATACGGTACACCAATAGAAACAAGTGGCCACTTAAACTATGTCACACGTATAGAATTGCAACAGAAAAGTTCGATTTTATAGTTTGCGCCGACTGTGTTCGATACTACAATGGTAGTAAAACAGTCGTATCGTACATGGCAAATGCCTACAGGTTGTTTTAGTCTAAAACACGTTATTCGTGTTATTATATTTCAATAACGCAATCCTTGTCAATCATGTATTATTGCGTATTGCATATAATAAAACTGAAATAAGGGACCGGGCTTAGATTCGAGTTAAAACTTATTGCGCAATATGGCACTAAAAGAAAAATGTTCAATAATAAGTAAACAGTCACAACAATTTTTCTTTGTAGGTATTATATATGTTTTTTATTTTAAAAAGAAGTAAAATAAAATTTTTTAAACGATGGAATTGTCGTTTTTCGGCTAATATGATATAGGAAATCGTGAGTCTTAAAGACATTTGTTTTTTCTCTTTCGCAGGATAGCTCGCCGTCATGTCGCCATACGGGGAAGACGTCGGTGGCGGTGGCAGCGGCGCCGGCGATCACCTAAACTCGTCCGTGTATGGAAACGACAGCAGTTATTTGATCGGTCCCAAACGAGACCCGCTGTACATAGTCGTGCCCATGACGATCATGTATTCGGTGATATTCGTGACCGGAGTCATCGGAAACTCGATCACGTGCTTAGTGATCGCCAAACACAAGTTTATGCACACGGCCACCAATTACTATCTATTCAGTTTGGCTGTATCCGACCTCATACTGCTGGTGTCCGGACTGCCACAAGAGATGTGGTCCATATGGTCCAGGTATGCACCAGCACGGCTGGGTCACGCATTCACAAAACCTATAAAACCTATCAGAGATTGGCCAAACCTGTAACATAACCGAATTCGCTTTAAGAATTTTAGAGAGTTATAGGAGTTTTAAAAATACTTAACCTGCTCATTGGTCCAAACTCGATACACTGTACTAAGGTAGTCAGTGTTCTAAGTGCGTAAATCTAAAACTATACCTTTTAATCGATTAAAAACTATGAAGGATTGTGTACTTATAAACCACTTTGACCGAACTCGGATAAGGTCAATAATTATGCAACCGGGTCCTCCGTGGTCAATACCTTTTTGAAAGAACGTACAATTTAAAACATTTGAAATTCATTACGCTCTATAGTGGAGTGACTTAACTAGCTTAGTTTTTTTTATTAAGATACGATTCTTTTTTTTTTATGCGTCAAATCTTTCACGCGTTAAGTACCTTAAAAGATGCGGAATTTCCGACCGGGGTGGTGGAGATGCTATTCTATAATTGAAACATTTTTTTTAAATTTCTAACAGTTTGACATGTTATGTATACTTGATTCGATTTAGTCATATTTTACGCCAGACGACTGTGTCCAGGCAATTTTGAAAGTTATTTTTACCGCTGCTTACAATAAATCAACCCTATAGTGAAATCGAGTGTTTCAAGAAAGGGGCAAGACCAGGTGATTACACCATCTAGGTTTTTAGTTCCATCTAAAACGTGTAAAAACGTACAAGAGACTAAAAATCATAATTTATTATTTAATTAGCGTTGTCCCATTCCCCGAAAAAAATTCTTAAACACCCACGCTCCGACCTTCCTATATTTTTGATAAGAATGTCTCGGGGCGGTAGACCCCCGAAAAAGGGAAAAAATGGCCAAATTGCGCGATGATGAAACCGAGTCTTGATATACAGATTTTTTTTTTTTTCTAAGCTTACAGGCCACAAAGGACTTTTTCGCTTTCACCAAGTCTCTACATCATTCTCCATCTTCCACAACTCAATTTCCTTCATTCCGAGAGTTTCTAAATTTGTATTCACTCTATCCAAACCATCACTGGCCGGGCCTACCTCTTGGTTTCTTTCCTATTGGTTTATTGATTAGCACCTTAAGTTCGTATTATTAGCTCATCCTTCGTACACCAGACATTGTCAGTCCGTTCTAGTATTTTAAATTGCAGACAGTTTTATATAATTGATTTGATATATTTTTTTTTTTTTTTTTCATATAACTCCCTGATTCCAGACTTAGTGTGCATCCATAAATATTTGTATTTTGCTATTACGAATTCGCGATCCGGGGAACGAACAATCACGATGATTCATCCTTGAAATAACGACGCAGCCACGACGTAGATACTTTACATGACAAATACCGTGGGCGTAATGCATAAATAATATTAAAACGACGATTGTGTGCTGAAACTTTGTGATCTCTGTGACATAATAACGAGGCACAAAGTTTAACCTGGATAAACATCAAACAGATAGCAGTTAGTGCATAATTAGTGTAGGTACTTTGTTTTTAATTAATTTTTCCCCGTCCTCACGTCCGTTACAGGACGAGTTACAGTAGGTGCATATAGTTTAACAATAATGTTATTCTGACACATGCCTTTAAATTTTCACCGTAATAATATCATAATAAACCATGATAATTTACGTATCCGTTAAAAACTAATACTATCGTTCTCGGTGCATCGCCGTTTATACACGTTTTAATATGGTAACAAAAATATAACTTATTGTTCATTTCGTTATAGTTCGCCGGTATATTATGTATATCAGTAACATCGCAATTTCTTCTTCACCTTCGTTTTTATCCTAGCGATTTGGAATCGGCCGCCCCGTCCTAAACGTCCATTTGAACCGATTTCCCCCCTCGCATACAGTGGTTATTGCACCCAAAGACCTCTTTTTCGATCTGCCTCTTCCTCTAAAGGAGAAAACACTAAACGGAAAAATATCTAAATTTTTCATACATAAATACGAAAAACGAAATTTTCCCGATTTTCAAATTAAACACAAACTACCAACTAACTAACATTGTAGATATTAAACATTTTTTTTTGGGAGGAGGGGAGTTTATAAACATATGAATACAAACAAAGTCGTATTTTATTTAAATGCTATTGTTGTTATTTATGCAGATAAGAGAAATTGAACAGAATGCCCCTCGATGCACTTAATGAATATAATTTGTCAAACCATAAAATATTAATTAACGCCATAAAATCCGTAATTGCAGTAGCTATGTGCAATGTGCGTTCTTTTAGAATATTGAATTCCATTACCAATGTAAAAAATTATAAGTTATGACCAAAATAAAATTAATGAAAATAATAAAATAATAATTTACAAAACACTCTAAACGGAAAAAAAATGTAAAACTTTTCGGATGTGAAAACGATAAACGAAATTTTCCCAAAGGTTTTTACCCCGTGGTTTTGATCTGTATTACGAATCTATTGAATACAACTTTTCACGCCCCCTTTCTGGAAATTATAAAACGGCTTTTTATAAAAAAAAAAAAAAAAAACTGTATTCCTCGGAAATGCACATATGTCAGGTTGAAATTTTCATAATAAAAATATCTGTTGAAAATCGGCAACCTCAAAATAAAAAAAAAGTTATTTGTTTACGCGGTCATTGAGAAGTGATAAAAAAAATTTAATTTTCCTCTAAATATACGTCCCACTTAAAGAAAATCCGAGCGCGGTGTAACGTTACGTATAAAAAATGATTGAGCGATTTTTTTTTTTTTTTTATTATTATTATTATTATTATTTTCTTATTATTTATTCACGTGGTAGACTCGGAACGCGAGTTGCACGGCTCGGAATTCTTCGAATTTCAAAATCGCAGGAACAAAAGGTGTAAAATTAGATCAAACGATTGTATTGTGGGAGTTTTATTGAAAAATTCTGCACCGGCCGAATATGAGAACTTTTGTGCGTATCATCGCGTTCGAAATTGTAGTAGCTGCCGCCACTCACACCGCGATATATTCTCGACCTTTTCCCCGAAAATTCGACCCGAAATGTGCGGAAAAACGGTAATAAACAGATTTCGGTGTAACATGACCGGACGACCGTATAATCTTATTGACGTCGACGGCGATGATGATGATGGTAATAATAATACGTTCCCGTGGGAAGTGTATAAATTTTAATCGGTCGACGACGACGACGACCGTGTGTTAGGCGAAATAAAAATACCTACGCATGATCAGGACTCCCAAAATCGAATCGTTAAAAGACCGCGTACGTTATAATGCTGTGCACGGTTTCCCGCCGGGATCTAAGGATTTTTATGCGTCTGATAATATTCGATTTTTTTTTTTCCCCCATCGGATTTCGTGTCAGATACAAAGGAGGCGCACATTTATAGGGAAAACAATTATTTTCACCCCTAAAGGTCGAAAAAAATGAAAAATTACTTTTTTTTTTTTGTTGACTTTTCAACGTTTTAAAAATAGTCCTTTTTATAAAATATATTATTCCTAAAATGCGTATGCATTATGTACCATAAATGCATAACTGATCAACAGTTTCTTATTAGAAGTAGCCATTTGGATTTCAAACATTTTCAATTTACAAAAATATAATTTGTTCACACACTTTCTCCAGTAATCAAAACAAACATTACTAAGAAATTATTCGTCGGATGTATTCATATATTTAAAATTAAAATGTTTAGAACAATATCAATTATAAATCGGCTATTTTGAAAATGTCGAAATACAAACAAATAATTGGTAGTTTGTTTCTAGCGATTAAAGGGTGACACTACAAATTTTCCTCTAAGCATATATTTCCCTCAAATAAAATCCAGAAATAATTAACTATTAATGGTGATATAAGAATCGTCAAACTCATCATTGCTAATAAAAAACGATTATGAGCAGAAATTAGTTATACATGATTTTAAAGGCTGTAATATTTACGATTTTCGTTAAAATTTGATATAAAAAATTCTACATTACATTCAATCGTTTCACAAAGAACGACTTATACGTTATATTGAACCTCTTATTAAATTTTTAAGCATTTCTGTTTGATCTAAAAATTGTATCCACTGAGTATCCTACCGAATAAAAATTACGTAAAAAATTTGCAAAATTAAAATGTCTATAAATAACCCAAAACTGGCTAAAATCTTTTGAACATTTTACCGCATCTATAAATTGCTAACATATATTTTTCTGTCCAAATTTCAAGTCTCCATAAATATTTTTAACTAAATCACAATAAAAAACAAAATGATACATTTTATAAATGTTCCCGTTTTCTTACGTTTTTCTCGTTTCACTCACGATCTAAAATGGATGTTTTTCTAATTTTACACGGCTCATAAAAATTAACACATAAAACTCTACTTATGTTTATACGAGATAGTAGGTTAGTTTCAATATCGAAATTGAATTGTTATCTATCTATATTAATGTTTGATGAGCACTTACTGAACCAAATATCTCGTATCTATTCTTACGTTTTGAAAACGATCGTAAACCACCATATTATTATCATGTATACGTAACTAATTACAGGCCGGATCTCGCCAAAATCTACATTAAGTATACTTACTTATATGGTACTTACTTTGGTTCGGGTGGTAAAATATTCTATATAGGTCGAGGTAAATATCGTCAACCCGTGAATAGGTAATTGGATATTGGGTCCCGGAAAATAAACACCGAAGATGTAATTATTTCAAATTCACCCCGGTCAGTTCAAGACAGAATTAGTTATGTTGTTTGTCCACTATTTTATAAAATATGTAAGTTCCAAGTTGTTAAAATTAGGGATTCCAAAAGCTTAGCGACATCCGAAAGCATACAAATGGATACGCAGGTTGTTATTTTGACTCTTTCTCTCGTTTCCGGCTTTTACAACTGGCGGACGGTCGATCGTGATGGATAGATACTTAAAACAGATTTCAGATAATCCAAAAGCCAAATCAGAGGGAACATTCTAAAACTTTTCGATATTTTTCGAGTTTACGTATTTTTCGTTACACAATTTTACAATATCGTTATATTTTGTATGTATCGTACGTGTAATACCTATGTTTCGATAGATATTACACGTTATACAATGTTATCGTTATCGAGTAGGTTATATCGGATGTGTTTCATATCATATAGACATAATTTCATTTATTTATTATACATACGTGAAGTTGTGCCCCTCACTTTGGCCAATGCTTCCGGACAAATTGTAAACAATTATAAATCAATTTTAAATAATTGTAAATCCAGTCCTCGAATTTGTAAATTATTACTAAATAATATAAATAAATAATTATTATAAAGTCGTTTTTTGATTTTCCCTTTAGGCTTTTTAATAATTAAATAAAATCGATAAAAAAAACGGGAAAATTTACAAAAATAGTTCTTTAATTATTTAATTTTTTTGTTGCTGTAATTCATGAAATTTTGAATTTTGTGTTAAAAAATGGTAACTAGCCCGCAGTTATATTTGATAAAAACCAAAAATACCTCGTAAGTGATATTTTTGCATACAACTCATTTGCTGTCGTAATTTTTAAAGAATATTTAGATAATCCTAATTATAATTGATTCTAATTAGCAACAATTTTTATTTTTTTATAAAACCTTAGCTATTATTATGGACTATCAAAATGATTATATAAAGATCGTTTAAAAACTCTTCAGATTGTTTAAGGAAAACTATGGTGTGTCTGGAATCAAAATATTTAACGCCGAGTATAACGTTACATATTATGTAGTATCAGAACCCTTAAAAGATTTTCCTTTAAGTTATTTTATTTTATTTTTTCATGTTATAATAAAAATCCGTTCTAGAATGAGGGGAGATAGGTGCACTGTTGTAGGTGGAAAGTTAAGAAGGTAGGATATAGACGAGAATTTAATGTTCACCTGTAAGCAACGATTAACCATTGCTAAGAAAAAAATGATTCTGAGCGTAAATCAGTTGACAGAGTTGCTTTTTCAATAATGTAATATACGTTATATTATCGTAAAATAATTGCACATGCATTAAACATTTTATTTAATAATATTTGTTTAACATCGTATCTATATTCCCGTTCTTCCGGTTTCCCATATTTTTTCCTGATTTTTCCCATTTATTAAGAAAACTTCTTAGAAAATCAAAATATGACTTTCTTAAAATACCTCTTCAGTCAGATTTCCTTTCAGAAAAAATTCTACGATTGTAAATTTGAGCAATATCTCTGGTAGAAAAGTTGTTCACAGATTAAAAAAAAAACTAGTTGAGAAAAATCTGTAGTTTATATTCTTAGAGGTATTGAATTTTTTTTTTTTTGTTATTTTATTTGAAATATTGAACATCTTTATTATAAAGTCATTTAAATGTATTATATTTTTTTAGTTAATTTTATATTTTATTTGATTTAATTAATAACTAAATTTACTCACAAATTAAGTATGGAGATTTTATAATATACTAATGTATTTGGTATGATTTATTAATTTAGTAAATTATATATAGACACAACTCTTAGAAAATTCGAATTGCTTTGAAATAATAACATTAAATACTCGGAAGATTTTTTTCGTAGTATTAATATAAAAACATATCAAGCCAGATAATTCTAAATTATTCGTTGTGTCCAGAAATCATCAATATAGTTGAGAGTGTTTTTCATTTTGAAAAGTATGATAGTTTATACAATTTTAAATTGCACTATTATGTAATTTGAAATTGTTTACAATTTGTAAATGTACAATCTAGAAACAAGATTGCATGATGTATAAACTCGCGTAAAACGTTGAGGTACGGTATAAAAGGAATCCCAACTACATAGAAATCATTATTTGAGAATACACTGTTTTGTTATTCCACTTTGTTTTGTTGATTTTTAGGTTTTTAAATTTTTCAAGTTATTTACAATGAGTGAATAAACGTGTATAATTTGTCCGGAATCGATTGACCAAAGTGAGGGGGCTATGTGAACCTATAGGCCTCTCTATTTATTTTTGACTTAACGGCTGAGTAGTGGGGCATTTACAAATTTTGGAACTGAATTCACAATTATTTACAATTAGTCCGGAAATGATCGGCCAATATGGGTAGGCTACGTGAACTTTCCCCCCCCCCCTCAACTTGTTTTTGACTTAGCGGCCAAAAGGACGATTTACAAATTTGGGGACTGAATTCACAATTATTTACAATAGATTTACAATTGTTTACAATTTTTCCGGAAGCAATCGGCCATTGGGAGGAGGGGGCAACTTCACGTATGTATTTATTATTTTTTTCTTTTAATTGAAATTTAAATTGTTCCATAATTATGTGTTACGAATAAAACTGTAGAAGTATTAAAAATCTAATAGCGTTTTTCTGAGTAAATTATTATTACATAATAATTAATTTTAATACGTTTAACTATTAAACAATATAATATTATAATTCGCACAAAATAATAATAATAAATACAAATAAAAAACGTAAAGAAAAAAAAAACTGTTAAATACATCATTATACATTCATATATTTTGCATTAAAATAAATTATGCTGTTCGGGACCAAATTGCCTGGGCAAAGTACACTTTCCCCGATATTTCGCATTGCCCGTAACACATACATATTGCACAAAGCGGCGTAGATAGAATAAGTGGGGTTTGGGGCTTCAACACCTTGGGGTTCCTTGAATCCTCGGGAATGGATCGAAATAGATTTCCTAAAACATAATCGATCGTAAAATCGACGACAACTGCAATGCTAGATTATTATTATTATAAATAAGTTTATGCGTTTACAGATACCCGTACGTGTTCGGTCAGATATTCTGTCAACTCCGCGGGCTTTTCGCGGAAATGTCCGCCAACGCCACCGTGCTGACCATCACGGCGTTTACAGCCGAAAGGTACGTGGCCATTTGTCATCCGTTCATGGCGCAGAGCATGTCGAAACTGTCCAGGGCCGTGAAACTCATAGTGGTCATATGGCTGGTGGCCGTATTATTTGCCGTACCTCAGGTGAACTTTACCGTCAAATTATCGACTATTACAACAACAAAAGAAAAAAATCGAAAATTATGAAATCATTACAAAAAATTGCATGAAAAATAAAAATATAAACTCCTCAAAATACCAACTAAATCCAAATAAAAAAAGCTCTTGTAGTTTTTGATTAGAGCAAGATGTTTGGTAGAAAATTTGTTCACAAACACAAACAAAATTCACACATAATACATATTATAGTAAAATCGCTTTAATATAAAAGCAAATTAAGTGTATTAAACTGCATGTTTGTTTTTTCAAAATAAATGAATCCCCGAAATTTTTTTTTCAGTTTATCCCTCCGTTAAATTCACTTCAAATAAACTACTGATCGAGAATATTCTGGGAGTAGATACAAAAAATATTCTCACAAAATTGTTTGTTTTTTTTTTTTTTTATCGTTAATAGAACGCGATAACGTAATCATATTTAGTTAAAAATACGTGTTTTGTTATTTTTAATTGAAATACGATTTATAAATTATTTTAAATACAATTTGTTCACAAAGAATATCTACTGAAACATAAGACTTAAGGACTGTTATCTATTTCAAGTACCTACCAACAAAATAGATTTTGTTGATCAACTATCACATAAAAGTCATATGTTCTTAATTTTAACTTCAATAACAATAATATAATATATTTATAATTGTTTGTTTTTGTTTAATATAAACGTGTAATACTAAGTCACTTGTTAGTAGTATCATTAGTTAGTAATACAACTATTGATTGATAAGGCATGACAACAATATTGTCTTATCCAGATTTAGTACTCAATGAGTTATTATTTATTCCTGTAATTTGTAGCTGTACGTGGCTTCTAACAGGACTCTTCTAATAGGTGTCGCTGGATTGAACGGTCTTACGTCCGGAGTTCGGGCTGTTATGGAGGAGTGGCCGTGTACCTATACAATTACACTGAAATAGAGTTTTGTACGTCGTATTGAAAATATAAATGTATTGGCACGGTGTTCCGCATCGCGGGATTCGTTTTTACGACATATACGCGAGCGAAATTTAGTTTTTTTTTATAATGATTTCAAATTAAGTTTTTTTTATAATTCTGTTTTGGCGCTTTTTTGTCTGTATTTGTAATATTATTTGGTAAAATGTTCGAATCCCATCTGAATTCAAAATTCATATGCGATAAATCACCGAGTTTTCCATTCATCTGGCGGGGTGATTGAATAATAATTGTTGACAAAAAATTGTTCACACAAATCATGAGCTTATTTTCGAAAGAAATACGATCGATTTTCGTAATACCTGTCTAAAACTCCGAATAAAATAGCTGTTTATCGCGAATTTTCGGTTTCCAGACGTTCGAAATGTTTAAAAAAGTGTAAAATTCAATTTTGAGACTACCGGACACTACCTACGTCCATTTTAGACTACAACGTTTCTGTTTTATTAATAACCTTTTATCCGCGTCTTATATATTTAATTACTCTAATAGCTCGAATAATTAATAAGTAGCTAGGTATATAATCTTTACTAAATAATATAATAAACAGCATTATAAATATTTCGTGTCCGACTGAATAGAGAAATACGGAGAGTAGGTAATTACGTATAGTAAGACATTAGCCCCAACTGCATAATGCAGCATTTTGATTGGTTGACCTTTTATCTATCTATATTCATGGACCGCCATTCTGAATATTAATACTTATTATTATTAACATTACAATGTTTTTCTGAAAAAAAAAATCAATTACGTTTCGAAAGTCGTATGGTATACAGACATCATATGATTACAGTATTAACAATAATTTATTCATTGATTAGAAAACCTTTAGGCCATACTGATCGAAAATACAAAATAGTGGTCCAAGTGATAAGCTGAGTTTTTCACTTTCTTACTATATTGGACTCTCTATGAATACAAACCAAAACAATTGATAATAATAATAATAATTGCCGTGTTATGGTTTTCGAAAAAAAAAATGTAATTTTTTGTGTTTTTGGTTTGTACTAGAATTAAATAAACAGGAATATACAAGCAAAATATTTTTACGCATATACATTTCATACCACGGACTAAGATATACAGGACCGGAAACAAATTCTTTATCTATGAAACCAGAATATATTAATGTTATATAATACTAATTGGAAAAATATCGAATTTAACGTCATCTATGAGTCATTCACTGTCATATAAATAGTAATAAAATCTTGACAATGTAAGCTAATAGTTTTATATTTAACTACAATAGAAAAAAGGTTTTATAGTAAAAAATTAAGTTGTGACTCATTTGGCACACTTTTTTTTCTTCGAATTAATTTAAAAATAATAATATAATATAAGTTGTTTATGCCCTCAACAACCACGTAAACATTGATTTTATTACTATAAAGTAGCAAATAAACTATTATCAATAGATGAATCTATATTCGCAATTGAACCACAAGCGGCACAAGCAATACACTGAAGTTTTGCCCCCCTTACTACTCCCGCCTTTGGTTTTCAGTTCTGTATGTCTTGGTCTGGGGCACACCTCAAATTTGAAATAAACGATAAAACCATGGGAAGATCAATGATACGATAAAAATCAATTTAAAATATCACGGTGATTATACCGTTTCTTTCAAGAACAAAGGACCACATGCGCAATGATAAGGGAAACGTGCGTATGTTTAGTGGCATGTCTGTTTATTTAATCATTGTGATTTGTATTTTCTTTTCGTAAACGTTTAACAGTGCAACAGGAAAGATTCAATTAAAAATAAAAAAAAAACATTATTATTTTTAAAACACAAAAACTAACCACCGACTTCATATGATATATACATCACGCGTCTTATTCGTTGATACAAAAGCTTTAACGTTTCAGGTATGTACTTACTGATGCCTAAAAGAAAATCTAAATAATACCGTTTTAATAAATCGAATTCCGACTCAAACCCATGTAACAAGGTCGTTTTGCAAATTCGGTGATTACGGTTTTAATCCCGCAGTACGAATACCAATTCGAACATAAATGCATTTGATTTGTATTTGAAACGTGACATATCCATTTCGAAATCCGACAGCAGAATATTTATATTGCACTTACTTCGTATCATGTCGATTTAATGCCGTTCTGATGAGTTTTACTCGATTTTCTTTTTGTGTCACATTCATATACAAAACGTATTGGGTGATAAATATGTTTTACTATAACGATTTTTATTATTTTTTAATGTTCAACTATATACAGAACACAGTTTTCATTGTATACGATTTTTAGGCTATTTTTTTATTTTCTCTTACTTATGCAGTGTGACGGAGATATCAAAGATTGAAATTGACGCCGCAATTTTAATTTTTAAGGTAGAGAGGTGAAAAAATAACGAATTTCCGCATATTTATGATATTTTTATTTACCATGAAAAAAAAATTATTTGCAAGACCGATTTATTGCGTTCGTGCACGGAAATATAATGGAAGCGCTCGCTAATGTTCATTCTTTACTTTCTCCAACATTTCCACTGGAATTTAAGAGATTTCACGCCTAACTTCGTCTTTAAATCCAGAAGAGTTTCCGGCTTATTGACATAAAACTTTGACTTCAGATACCCCAATAGGAAAAAGTCACAGGGGGTGAGCAGGGTGTCCATTGAACGGAGACCCGCGCCACATTTCCTTGTGTCACCATGGGTGGATTACGGTTAAGCATCTTTGGCGCCACATTACCGTGTTCTCGAAAATCCTTAACTCGCTACAAAATCTATCGGCGGCGGTCGGGCACGATTACACGCGGGGGGAGACCGAAACGTGTGACGGCCACGATTGAATCGTTGTCACGTAAAAACGTCTCCACGGCGAAGTCTAACTACACAATGAGAGGTTTGGAGACGCTGTGCGACATCCCCGCCCGAAGCTACGTGAATTACAAACGTAGTATTATAATCTCCACCACTCTATGTGCCAAATAAAACTGCCTAATATACTACTTGTCAACTACGTCGGTCGTGATGTGAACACCCAATAATCGTTCACTGCAAGTCGAATGTACGACAATTATTGGCATATTTAGCAAGTACGCCAATCATGGAAACGCGGCTTGGGCGTATCATTTGTATTTATTATTTTATATCAAGTGCACAATGTAATAATATTATAGCCTATAAGATAGCGTTTCACGAAGAATTCCTGATTATTATTTTCGCGCCGAAAGACAAATATTATTATGTTAAGTTTCTGTGACGTCGAGGAAATCTCTGTTTTTACGAGTAACGAAATTGCGTTATTAATATTGTTGTCTGTACTAGGGCGAAATAAATAATTTAAAAAATTCAAATTACAATAACTGTACTCTAGGAATGTATTCTTCGAGATTTAGTTTTGGATGATGGTAACAATATAATCTATAGACACCTAATACTGTTATTAGAGATTGATTTTAATTTTTACATAACATTATTATTATGTAATAATATTATTAAATCGGCGTTACATGTGGCGTAGCTAATTGTATTGGTTTTATCCTCTCAAACTGTAAGTTACTATTAAGATCGAACAAGTTAATACCGAACAATATTAGTTCTTAATAATGAATAAAGTAAATCGATTAAAAAAAGTTAACTAGTTAAAACGTTAAAAGTTGTACAATTATTGTTTTATTAATCTACCGAGTCAAGTCAAAAGTTAATTTGAAAACTTAATTGACCTTTGGTAAGTTACATGTTTTACTGTTTTTTTTTTTTTTTTGTAAATTTGTTATAATCATATAGTATTTGTAACGAAAGTGATTAAACTTAAAGTTCATTCGGAAATTATAGGAAAATGGACGATGAGTGGGCGAAGGGAGTCTATTCTACAAATACCAACTCATGCATATTTATGTTAATCTCGGAATTCCACACTTCTTAGTTGAATAAAAAAAATCAATATACCTATTTATTTACAATCTTATAGGTACTCAAAAAGGGGTATAAATTGTGAATTTAAAATTGTATTGGTATTTTATTAATACAAAAAAAAAAAAAAACAATAATAATAATTAAAAACATTTTAATCTGGTATAGACTAAAATTAACTGTAAATTAACCTTAAAAATAAAAATATATTTCATAATATTTTAAACAATTTCAATAAAACTACATAAATAATATCGTGGAATATTATTTTCAGACATAGATACTTATAATAAGTATCGTTTTTTTTTTTTTTTTTGAAGGCATATTATGTTTATTTACCATCACGTAGTTTTCATTAGCGGATATAAGGAGATGGCTATGAGGATTTATATCCCTTGCTCAGCATGTGGGACTCAGCACTTACAAAATAAGAGACTTGCTCTAAATTATATAAATTATAACTTGTATTAAAAATACATTTTTAATATAATATATGAAAAGTTATTTTTTTCAGGTCCTCTCCCTATCTAATTCATAGAATCACACCTGGTGGTTATGATTTTTTTTTTTTTTTTTTTGAAAAATGAAGGTCAGGCGAGATATTGAATTCGAACACACATGACAAAACATTCGCACGGAATTTCTAATTTTCACATGTACATATTATAATTATTTAACGGTTCTGATAATATCGAAAAATAATATACACGGCAGTTTCTCCACAATTATTGGTTCTCAACACGAATTCGATCATTTTAATTTTGCCTAGGCAATCATTATCATTATTTTCTTGAATTTCCTCCTCCTCCATAATTTGTTCCACGTGTAATAATTATTCACGATATTTTGTCTTTAAATGTCCTAAGTCGCTTCCCTCGAGATTTGTAATTTCCATCAATATAAGAACATAATATAATAATATGCTGCTATAAATACTATACGATTTTTATATTATTAAAAAATAATAAACGGTAATCTCTCAATAATCTGTTCTCGAAACGAATTTGATTGTTTTAATTTGATCTCTGATATTCCTTCTTATATTATTATAATAGTTTTTAAATTTCCAAACTGAATTTTCATTTCGACATAACGAAAAAACCTTGTCCTTGTCTCGCATAATATTATAATTACAGTAGCTTGTATCACATTGCTCGTGTTTATAATATAATAATATTATGATCTCTCGTCCGATCCGAGCGTACAATAATCTCCGAGCACAATAATTATTATGATAATATATACGAGAGTTGTGCTAAGTCTCGAGACAGTCCCGTCTGGCCCGTTAGTTATTAATCGTCGTTAATAAACGGCATTGTCGTTTAAAACGATGTTGATCCTGTACTTTGTTCGGCTCTTGTCCAGCGCAGACTGAAACGCGGCATAAGTAATGTCGATTCGTATGAATAATTATTGTCGTCGAGACGATAAAACATTTTACAGAGACTTCCAGTCGTCTGTGAATTCGATTAATTTTGCCGTGAAATAAAACGACGCGAATAACAACAATAATTACACAGCTGAATATCGTAAGGTGGCAAATGTTAAATACCAAGTAATAATTTATATCCGCGCATTTATGTTCCGTCGTTTACTGCAGTATTGATCAGAGCTTTTTAAAATACGGTCTGGTTTTACGTTACTTTATTTTAAAAACGTTAGGAGACTTTTGCGTTTTAATAAGTTGTTTATAATGAAACAATAATGTAAAAACAAAAATATTAAAATAGCTGATACTCGTGTAAATAAATATAGTAACTAAATATATAAACGAAAATGTATACATAAAAATAAAATTAACGAATTAATGAACGCGTCGCCTGGAGTATTCTGAAAAGTGTTATTATACGACCGGTTTCGAATTGAAAATCCATCATCGGGTACATCACAGTCAACATGTAAAACGCAACCGTTACTTATCATGATACTCCAGACGACGCATTCGTTCAGATACTTATTTTATTTTTATATGTACATTTTTTTATTTATATTAAACGTTTACTGGTTTTGTTTGTTTAACCCGTTATTTAAAAGCCGGCATTTCGGGAAGGAGCTACAGAAACAACCGAAACTTTTTCGGTAGATTTTCTCTTTGCGATTTTCGTTATTCGACTTTACTGTCATTCCGTAGTACGGAAATATTCCCGACGGTTCTGCGTACCTATTATACAAATAATCGTAACGTGACTATAACGTTTCCGAGCCCTGCATTTATTACGATAATATCGATTGTGGCTCTTAAAAGATTCTGTATAGTCGTAAATCGTGGTTTTCGAAAACGCACCGAACAAGAATAAAATAAAATACATATTATACATCGGTGGAACAGTATACGGACGTAAGTTCCGTTAATGGGTAACGGCACGCGTGTGTATACGAGTGCCTATACAGTAAACCGCATCGTAAGTCACTGAGTAAACTCGCGTCTATATAGGATTATACAAAATATAATAATGTACAGAAGACATTGTGAAATTCAAGCCTACACATACGCCGACCGAATGTTTACCGGAAAACTCAACACAAAAACGTAACCCTATATCCGCGTTGTTTGAATCGGCTGCGTAAAGTACACGAGCGAAATTGATTACACGCACAATATTTGATTGCGGAAGACAAAATATTAATAATCTCTTAAACTCGCTTAAACGTTATTACAGATTCGTAAATCCCGTAAAATTAAGTTTATATCAGCCAAAGACGAGGACACGATACTATTGTCTGTATGATGTACGGCGGGATGTACATCGGTTTTGTGAGTTTTTGAATATTACAAATTCGTATTTTAATTTTGTTGAATTTCAAAATTAATTTTACAAAGACGTTTATTTGTATTTATTTTTTTATGTGAACAATTTTTCTACCAGAAAGTTTACTCTGATGTACACGACGTAGGCCCTTTTTTGAAACGAAATTTTCTCGGGGCGATAGCACGTTTTCTAAAAATAAACCTGACTGGGAAAGTACTCTAGGGAGGTCGATTTTCCAAAAATTTTTCCCAGCAAATGTGAAAAACCAGGGAAAAACAGTACAATATGAAAGAAAATATATAATGCCTATTAAATTGCATAATATCACATATATATTGTTGAAAAAAGCGTCACTATCAACCGAACTCCGCTCAGAATAATCTTTAGTGAGCAACGGTTTATCGTTGCTTACAGATACAAAATTAATTTCCCCTCTATATCCTACCTTCCCAACTTCTCACCAATAACAGTGTCTGCACCCTTCCCCATTATCCTGGGACAGATACCACAGGTATTGATTCCGAAACCAGCCCATGTTATTCGTATACTTCCCGATGTCCAGTGCATTGTATCTTAATTCGTGTACGGCACTGTAATTATACACCATTTCTGGCGTATCGAGATGGCTGATCCAAAAATGAATGGATATATTTTTGAAAAATAAGTGCCCCCTCACCGTGAATTTAGTGCCTTAGGTTTTTGGTCCCGGCACGTCCGTAATTTTAATAATAATTCGTTAAGTTAATTTTATATAATCGTAATTTACAACATTATTTGTTTCGTAAGGATATAATTTAATTAATTATTAGTTTTATTTGTTAACGACTTTCAATTTGTTATACAACAATTATATATTATGGTTTCTTTTTTATCATGATTATTATGAATTGTTTTAAACATGTACATTATATTTTAGATTCCGAGCGTAGCGAGGGAGCTATTGGTTTTACAACGCTGTTTATTTCTTTTTTTCTTCTTCTTCTAGTCTGTGGACACGTTTTTTTCCGAGTAAACTCTCTCCAATTTGAAGAGGTCATTTTTTGATTTTCGACAACATTTTTGAAATAAAAGCACTTAATTGGAGAAAAAACGTAGGAAAAGTACAATTTCACAATTTCATAATTCTATAAAAACACGAACGTCGTTTACCAGAAAAATTGATTTAATCGAAAAATCTCAAAATACTTTTTTTGTTGCCCTTTTGATTTACTTTCTTATGATTCTTATTCATAAAACTTTATAGCCAGTTTTGAGCTTTTAAGGAATTTTAATTTTTGTAGCTAGTTTTCCGTGCACAAACGCGTTTAGATTAAATTTATCGAAACGGCAAAAAACGAATCGAACAATAAAACTGAATTTAAATGTAACTAATGTAACTAAATTAATTATTTCAAGATGGACATTTTATTACAAATTAGATATTTTTTTGGTTTTTTAACATTTTTACACCCATCCCCAGGCAGTGCAGTTCACCGTCGCGCCAATGAACGATTCCGATTCTACGGACTTGATGCAGTGCAACCTCCGATCCATACAGGTGATGGACGTCGAACTATCCACGGTGTCATTTACTGTGTCCACGGTACTGTTCTTCGTGCTGCCCATGACGTTCATCACAGTGCTTTATGTGCTGATCGGACTCCGTCTCCGGCGCACCGACCGACTGAAGCGCACAGTCACTGTCCGGTCATCCTCGGGCGAGAAAAAAATCTCGTCACTCGAGTACAGAGCCAACTCGTCATCCAAAGTGCTTAAAATGCTCGGTGAGTGCAGATTCATACGTAGCTATTGCGCTTTTATTGTATTCTTATTTTTCCAATTTAAACCGACAACAATGAGGTATCTGTAAAATTCAAAATGCTTCTCATTACTGTCATAATTTATTATTTATGATACAATTATGAATATACACTATACAGAGTGATCAGCATAACGTAAGAGACTCATTATCCCGGAAAATATCAACTTTTTTCGGAATTTGTTTTTTAGATCATTTAAGAAATGAGTAATTCTTAAACGTTACATTTTAATTTTTTTTGCCCTTATTTTAAGGAGTGATACCACTGCCTACTTTTAATTTTTAAAAAACAACCAATTTTACAAATTGCATAAATACATAATATATGGAGTGTAAATTTAAATACATTTTGCTGTTGAAATATCTGATTTTCGTCAACCCGTTAATGAGATTTTCCACTCTTGAGTTTAGGTAGGGGGAGAGTAGTATCTAGTGGAACATTATTAAAACGCCACGTGCCATACCACTACACAAATGATGCACCACTACTGCCCCTCTCCCCCGACGAAACTTAAAAGTGGAATATCTCGTCAACGGGTTTACGAAAATTCAAAATTAACTTAAACTAATACTGTATCGATTTACGGAAGTTTTTCATAAAGGTTTCATTTGAAAATTAAAAATAGATAATAGTTTTACCCTTAAAAAACAAGCGTGACAAAAAATAATAGTTATATAACATTGCAGAGCAAGACTTATTTCCTAAATTTTCTAAGAAACAAATTGCAAGTTACTACTTTCCGGGACAATGGATATCTTACGTTATGTTGATCACCCTGTATACACTAAATCCTGTTTTCGCCTTCGCGGGGAAGGTTCACATAAAACAAATATACACTTAAACAAAACAAGCATATAAGTGCCCGTCGCATCTCCTTGCATTAGACATTACTTATGCTAACGCATCCTACGTCGGCGCTACAGTTTTCGTGGGCCAGTTTTCGAAAACCCACCATCCTGAAAGCCCATTCTACTCATCCTCTTCGTGATCCAATCAAAGGAGCTGCCGGCACGGTCGAAATCCCGTTCCAAATCCTCTTTTGCTGCCCGGTAACGCAAACACCAGCTGACCTGGACACTGGTATCTATATCGACTGACCGAAAGTCTCCATTGGACTTTAGTCTTTAGCACTTATGACTTACTGTCCATTTTTATTTTTAGATTCTGAGCACGTTTTACTATATATACATATTGACGGTTCTTTGTTAAAAGGACGACTATCGAATTTCACTTTTTTTTAGGAAGCAAAAATGTAGTATACGCCCTTTTAACAAATTAATGGTGATTTGATTGTATTTCAATAGGGCGTCTGGATATCTCTTGATAGACATTGCCAACTAAATTTTCTGTATTTAAATACGCCCTTTTAACGGTTTATTCTCCTAATTTTTCTGATTTTTTTATACCAAAAACATATTTTTCGATTTTTAGTGGTATACGCCATTTTAACATAATGCCATCGACATTATATATGCTCTTTTTTTTTTTTTAACTATAAACAACTATCTTACCAGAAATTTTGCTCCGATTGTGTAAAATCTTTTTCGAAAACAAATTTTGTCTAATCGGTGATATTGATGAGTACATTTTTCTTTGTAGTTCTTTTAATAATTTGTAAACCGTGGGAAGAAACCTTAGGAAAAATGGGCATATTTACAGCAATTTAACGGTTCTGTAATTGTTGATTTTGTTGTAATTCGATTATAAGTAATCGAAAGATATTTAAACTTTTTCAAAATACTTATATTAGACTTTTCCAAACGTACACAAATTTTAAAATTATTCCCGTGACTTATGAGATATTATTACAGGCGTTTAACATTTTCGATTTTTTTAGTTTTTATTCGGTTTTATTTGAATAAAATTGTATTGGCCGAAAATTAATGCTTAAAACAATGTTGTATTATTATTGTCAGTTGATCATTAACTATTCAGTGTCTTTAATATTTGAGTATCTATAAGTAAGTGCACAGTTTTGTACGTAAATACTTAACAATGTATGTTTCAACAATTTAACAAAACTTTAAAAAAACTTTAATTCAAATATTTGGTTTCATTAAAATTTATATTTAGAATATGTGTGCCGCAAAGATTTGCAGCATTATAATTTGGCACTAACCTTTGTAAATAATTCTATGGCCATCATAATCCGTCATGTATGACTTGCATACAACTAGTATGGAAACAATATAAACAACCTCCACAGCAATATTATATTATAATATTATGTTTGTGAATAACGCCAGACGGCGCGTGGTGGTGTACGTGTATACAGAACAAGATTGAGGATCAAACAAATTGTCGAGGCGTTGGCGTTTTTGTGGAAGGGGTACTGTGGATTTCCGCCCAAAAGAACACATTTCTATAATTATTAGTGGCCTTTAGACGAACTTAACTGTCTAAATTGTGATAACGCACAAGTCGTAAATACGTTAAAAGATTATTATTATTTTTAATTTCTTCAAAAAGATAATGAGGCCCACTGAACAGGTTCGTGTGGGTACCATAAGTTCACAATTTATAACAAGTAAAATATTACAATCAAATAATAATTAAAATTTAACTTTTTTTTTTTACAATTTTAGACTTATATAACTAACTTAAACATATACAATGTAGGTTACAATAATTAATATATGGAGACTTAATGTATAATACAGTTAGATAAAATACAAATGCAAGCATCTAGCTTAAAGGTATACAAATATTTTAAAGTTTTAAATTTGGTTTATTTTGCAGCCAGTAAGTTATTTTATTATTTTTTTTTTTTTCAATAATAAACGAGAGAGTTGTTTTGAAATCTAATGGTAGCATATTATATATTTTTGGTCCTATTTATAAGTAAGTAGATTGATTTAGTTTTCTGTGCATTAAGAGAACAGTAATATTTGTTAATTGCCTTGTGTTATATTCATGATCAATACTTGGTGTAAGGTTATTTTTAATTATATAAATTACTGATGCATTATATAACAGTTTTTTTAATGATAGATTTTTTAATTCGTTGTACAGATATTCTGTGTGATACAAATGATTCTTTTTTAAAATAATTTATATTATTCTATTTTTTAATTATTTTTAATGGATTTATAGTGTTGTATCGTAGGCAACGCCTCAAATAATAATACCATAGTTAATGGATTCTACTAGACCTTGGTATATAACTCTAATTTTCTTAATTTCAAGTAAATTAGCTAAATTTTTGAAAGCATATATTATTTTCTTAGTTTTATCGTTGTCGGTTTAATGTGGTCATGCCATTTTAGGATATAACACATTTCAATGTCTAAGTATTTACAAAATTTTACTATTTTTAATGAAATTTGACATGTACACAATTTTGGATTCGAGCATTCATGTTCGTGATTACACAGGCTGGTTATATCTGGTGGGTTTGAATTAGTTACATAGTGTGGTATTAAATAAGTTTTATCAACATTTAAGAATAGGTTTTATTTGCACATAACCAATTATTGGTTTTTTCTCAGGTCATCTTGTATGAATGAAATTTCTTTGTCCCACATATTGATTGTGTTTCTAGACTTAATGAATTATTAATACAAACTATTTTTATTCCTATTTTTTAAATACGAGCTTAATGAATCGTAGGCATCGACTTTGTATGGATTGGATAGGTGGATAGGTTTTTGAACGGTTAGTAATATCTTTAATTATTATAATATAAATATTATATTAAAATTGAATTATCCGTTAAATAAAAAATATATAAGTCCAGTGAAAGTCCAGTGAAGCAAAAACATAATTTAAAAAAAAAAAGATATTATTTACACGGGATATCAAAATGAAATAAATTGTCTCTAATCATCTGGATAAAATTAATATTTATATACGATCAACAGGTGTATAATAATATAATAGCATTATTAGGATTTGGAAAAAATTGATCGATTCTGCTGTTAGCAACATGGACCGTCAGTTCATTAGTCTGTTTGTATTTTATGCTCAGCGTTTAACGAAGTAGCTATTAGTTTTACAAGGATGTGTTTTTTTTCTCCAAAAATCATTTTTTAATTAGTAAAAATGATACGATTTTTTTATGGCATACTTAAAAATATGATGCGAAACATCCTGCTATTGGTACTTTATTTAAACGTTTAAACGATATTTTCAACAAATCATACTATCTTGGTCAAACTTTTTTTTTTTTTGTTGATTTCTACAGTTACCTCGGAAACAGAAGGGAATAAACGACCCATACTACGCATCGCTAAGAATAGTTTTTCGTCTCCAAATGATTTATTGTTTCGTGTTTTTCTTCTCCCAACTATTTGGAGTCTCCCACCCTCGTCCATTTAACCCAATCAACCACATCATCCTTGCATGCACTGACTGTCATCATATCGTTTTCAATCGCATCCAACCATCTCGCCTTTGGTATTCCTCTCTCCTCTTTCCTCCTGCGTTTATTTGCAGCATCATTTGCAAACCATTTTATTCTATATCCCTAATTTTTCCTCTATCGAACCAGGTCTATGTACTATCTCTTATTGTCCTTTCTCCTTATCCTATCGTCTGTTGCCATTCCACTAAATAATTCTAAGCATTCTCATCTGATATTATCGATTTAATTTTTATTTTTCTTGTAATACAGTTCAAATAATCTAGATCTAATAATCTCAATAATCTAATAGAAGCCTATTATATTCCAAAAATATCTAGTTTTTTTAGTTTTATTTGGTTTCATATAGGTTATTGTGTTGAACGAGCAGAATAGTTTAAAAATTTAACAAGAAGTTCATCATAAGTTATATTTAATGTTAAAAAAGTTTGGTAAATTGTTCTTTTGTATGCATTAAAAGTTCAAAATCACGAAGTTTCGAAACACAGTTTAACCGAATTTCGCTCAGAATCCTATTTCATCAGCAATAACATACCGTTTCATACAGATATAAAGTAAACAATGTTATTTAACCTACTTCCCACCTACAACGGTAACACAACCTTCAGCAGTATCAGGGCTTTTTTTTTTCTTAAATTATATCTATTTATAGAACGCCAATTCTACACCGTATTTGATAAAATGATAATCTAAAAACAATAATAATAATAAAATCCGCTCTATACACTTTAATGTGTACAATGGAATGAAAACCAATAATAATTTTAACTATATACTCGTGATGTTCAAACAAAATTAAAAGAAAAAACATACCTAATAACATCACAATATGTTGTGTGTATTTCGAAGCCTGTGATTTTTAACGACTACAATATAGTACATCATAAAATAAAAATAATAATTAGAAAGTCCAGGAAGCGGTTATTTTTATGATGTACCATAAAACATCCAAAACGAAAATCGTTTTTAAAAATTAACTGCGCAACCTCATATACGGTACTTTTGTCACTTATATTTCGCTGTTCGTTGTGCTTTTATGTCACGTTGTTTGTCAGTTTTATTTATAGCGGGTACCCACATAAATTAAAAAATTATATATTCTAAAAAGGCGATCATCTTCCCGTGACATCGTATGCCGTGTCACGTGCGCCTTTTTTCGTGTTCTAATGGTCCGATATAATCTCGGTAATAATCGCGATAACCAAGACCTGTACCGGAAAATAATATTCTTGAGTTGGATATAATTATTAATTAAATATGATATAATTCAGATTTTATCTCGTTTGGGTTACAAAGATTTGTCAGTGTTATCAGCATGACAGCACTAATGGGGTAGCCAAGAAGGAAGACAATGCTTGCTCCCCCAATGACCGTATTTTTTAAATATTTTTACTATAATCGTTCATATTTATATTACTTTACGGAGAGTGTAGTTTATATCATATTGCATTGATTAATTAAGCAGGCAATTTACAAAGAACAGTGTGATTTTGGGATTTTTCGGCACCCTCTGTTGACTATTACTGGCTAAGCCACTGATTAGCATTTATAATACTATATATTTGTGGACATGACATGACTTACACGATGTTCCTGAAATACCGCCTTCAATTTTATAATTTCCAACCCGATCGGTCCATCTACTTATTTCACTCCACGCGCGTCTCATCAATCAGCCTTTTGCGGCTATTGCGAAACCCTTCGGCAATTTTCTCAGGCAAATAAATTATTACTAGGTACTAATTTGTTACACCAAAATGGTCCGCGTTTTCTTTTATTTTTTATCCATCCGTCGTTTTCTGTAGGTCAGCCTATTAATCTCGTTCCGGTTGAATTCCAGCCAAAATGGGGCCATCTCGTAATTTCATCGGGACGTTACTTTTGTCATGTATCGCATATCGTCAGAAACAGAAACTCGTGGTAAAAATAAACCCCCCGGTCGTAATGATCGCGTGACAGCGTGGAAACAAAGTTGACCATAAAAGCAAAATAAATTATTGCACACCCTTGCATACTATGCATGATTTCACATTTGTTTGGCGTCGTCATTGTACAATGTACAACTCCACACCAAAAAATTGACCGCAGCCATCCCATATTCCTAAAAATGTTATTATAATGTAAAGCGAAAAATTATACTACACAAATAAAATGCCTGTCAGTTTCACGGTCTCTTGATCGCATTCCTATACAAATTTCGCCAAATCGTTTCCACGAGCCGATTTGTTAATGCGGCTGTCCAAGACAGTCTCGTGAATTTGATATTTTTTTTTTAAAGATAATTTCCAACTGCAGTATTCTGTTTTAAAATAATTTACGACTTGAAGTAACTATATAATCTGTATTAACGATTATGAAATAGATTCAATAAAAAAAAAAAAAAAACTATTCTAAGCTCAGTCCAATTCATAATGACGCTTTGTCAACAATACATATGCATATTATGGTCAAATAATTGAATAGGCATTAAATATTTTTTTTAATAATATTTGTAAAATATTTTACCAATTTGTCCCTGTTTTTTTTTCCGATTTTTCCCATTAATTGGAAAAAATCCTGAGAAAATCGAACAATTGCCTTCCTTAAAGCACCTACCCAGCCAGATTAGAAAAAGTGCAATAGTTTTAAAAAAATTTAAAAAATAAATAAACATCTTAATAAAACCAATACATTCTTCGCTACACTCACAATCTAAAAATAATAAAATTGTAACAAAATATGAAACGATTGCGGAACTAATGTTTCCAGGCACAATACTTTTTTTTTTTAGTTATTTATACTATCATTTGAGGATTTTACTTATATTTCAACAGTTTACTATAATTTAGTTACATTTATACCGATAATGAAGAAAAAGATAAATAAGGTAAAAACTAAATATAACAGATATTAAAAACAAAAAAGTTAAAATTAAACACTCCAAAATGAAATAGAACTCAAGTTCTTTAATATCTGTAAACACACATTATAGCAAAAATTATAACGTTAAATGTAAAAAAAGTACTAATGTCTCACAAAAAGTTATTTAAAAAAGTTAAAAAGTTTTTTTCTTGAAAATTTGACAAATAAATTAGAATTACGGCATCATAGAACCAATAGACAACTAATTATCTCTACAAAGAACAACAAAGTAACGAAATATCCAAATAAAGTATTTGTAATGTGAAGCATAATTATTAAATATAGATATTGTCAGTGTTCTAAATCTTTTAAAATGGCTTTACTAGTTTTCCCATAAATAAAATAATAAATTATCATTGTTGAAAAATAACTGATGTCTCCAAAAATACTTAAAGAGCAAATACAAAGGCGTGTCTGAAAAGAAAACGATGGCATGCTCTCCAAAAAAAAAAAAAAATCAAATCTGCATCGAAAATTGCTTTGATTGATATCAACATTTACCAAGCGTTTATTAATATTTTCAATTTCTATTCCTTCGTTTCCCTAGACTTCCTACTTTTATCAAACTTATGTCAACTTGACCTTTGTTAAGTATTTCTCGCAAATAATATTTTACTATAAACATTTAACAAACCTTTAAAAAAAAGCTTGTTATTTTTAAATGTACATGTTCGTAAAAATGTTAATAGATATAAAAATGAAATTGTATTTTGTGAGTTGTCATTTAACATTCAATAGTTAATTACAATAATGTCGAACGCAATACAACTTAGTTTATAAATATATTTTTTATATTATTATTTTATATAAATAATTTAAATCGATTTAAAGGGTGGACAGTAAATTCATTTTTAAAGGTTTTTTGTTTAAAAAGAAAAAAAAAAAAACATTAAAATTTTAATTAAAATATATTAATCATTTGTTTATCTCTTAAAAGAAAATATTGCTTATTGTTATATTTGTTTCCGACGCAGTAATGCGTGTCATTATGAAAAAATAACAAAAAAGAAACAAAAGTTTATTATTGAACCGTTTCCTTTTATTCTACTCGGCTATTTATAAATTTTAATGGACAACAAACATATATAATATTTTATACGATTACTCGAGCTTACGTCGTTTATTTCGATAGATATGTATTAATAAGAAGGAATCTAATATTGGTCAGTATAAAATATAATTACAACAAACGATTGTAGATGATAATTATAAAAGAAAATATAGTTGTGACAGATATAAGAAGGTACAATTCAAACGTAAACTGCTGATATTTCTGATAGATATTTTAAAACGATTATGAAAAAAAACAATTAATAGATAACGCTCGACTTTTTTTTTACAATTGAGTACAATTAATAATGAACCGTGTTCAATTTTGGTCAATCAATTTTTTTATGCACAAAAAAAAATGTAAAATGACTATAAAATTATGAATAGCTCGTGAATCGCCAAACAATTTGAAAATTGTACACAGGCTAATAAGTATTTTGTACGAAATTTTGCTCAATACGATAAAATCCAAAAGCGAAAATAACGAAACCATTAATGCCGTGAACTTTCCCGTACTCCATACGTTTTTTTCCAGTTTTTCCCATTTATTTTGAAAACTGGTTGAACAATCAAAACACGACTTTCGTAATCACCAACAAGATCTAAAATTTAACAAGAAATATATTTTGGCTTTTTTTTATTAAAGCAATATTTCTGGTAGAAAACATAGTGCGTAAAAACTAAAAACAATAAAAACGGTAACACCGTAGAGTGCTATAAATATTTGTCCATAATTCATATACGTTTTTTTCCTGTTTTTCCCAATTATTTTGAAAACTCCTTTGTAAATGACCTCCTAAATGCACCAATTAGATCGAAAAAAAAAATGTTAGATGCTAAAAGATACAACAAAAATGTTCTCTTATCATTTCTATATTAGAGTAAACTTTCTGATCAAAAATTTATTTGCAGATACAAAAAAATAAAATAATAACACTTAATAAAAAAATCAATAGAATTTTGATACACTCAGAATCTAAAATGAATAGCAATTCCATATCTTGCTTACTTCGCGTCATAAACCACTGTTGTGGGTGAGAAGTTCGGAAGATATTGGATTTTGGATAATCGAGTTTATATGCAGAAAACAACGATGAACCTTTGCAACTACAAAAACTATTCTCAGCAGAGCCCACTTAAATGATAGTAAATGTATATATTATAATTAAGTGCCTTTATTGTAACCAAGGAAACCCAGAAATCGACAAAAATTACACAAATTATTTTCAGTAATTTATCGTTAATTTTTTTTCCAGTTTTTCAGAAAAACTATCCGGAATCTAGAAAAACGTTACGGGTAATCTAAGTACCGCTAATCATAAACCGTACAAATTAGAGAATTTCACACACCTAAAAATCTTTTTCAAATAAACAAATCTTTGTAAAACGAATTGATTTTTTGATACACTCAGAATTTAAAACCATTATTTATCAATTATGAGTATTACAAAATAATACGTTTTTTCCTTATTTTGATTAAATGTTTTTTTTTTTTTTTTTTTGTAATCTTTTTGACGATTTTATGGTGATAAAGAGTATAGTGGTAAATAATAAAACTTCACGTCTATACGAAAATTGTCCATTTTATACGTTGACGTTTTATTTATTGCATGTCTAAACTAACCTATACTAAGAAGACCGAAGACATAATCTTTACAGATCAATTTCGAAATTAATTGTTACCAATAAAATAATAAATATTACCTCAGTATAGACAATTGTATTTTTATATAGTTGGAAAAAAGTTTTAATGAAAACCGTTAAAACTCTCTAATATAGGAGATGACCTTAATTTTTAAAATTAATATTATAAAATATATTGAAATATTTAAGTTTACTTACAAATCAAAATATAAATGTATACTTGTTACGTTTCCCTCCCCCACCACTTTTCAAGCACGTCGTATTTAAAAATAAAAGCCCCTTTACGTATATATATATAAGCTGATAAAGGTTCGCCCTAGTTACAGAATTCCACATACGACTTTATAGGTACCATAAAACTCAGTGGCTAAAAAATAATTACAATAATAAAGCGTCGTTTCGTTTTCGATATCTTTTGTGAACCGTTAAAAAAACCGAACGCAGAGGTATATTTTTAAATACAAGTTAAACGACCAGATTTCATTAAAACGTTTCGCAGTAAACATTTTGTGAATTCTTTAATTGCGTACAAAGTTATAAAACAATTTTTCATTCTGCGTCATATTATTTTAACAATATGAGTTAGGAATAAATGAGATTTGATTTGACTCTTTGTGCAGTGAAACAGTTAGCTCTCCTAAATTGTGTTTATTTCTTGGAAAACCTTATTTTCTGTTAAAAAATATACTATTTTGTCATGCCATACCGTATAAGATGTAAATCATTCGTCTGTAGTATGGTACTTTATTTGCAAAATTGAAATTCGAAGTTCCCATTAACTTTTCGAGATTATTTTTTTTTCTTTTGTAAATATTTAAATGCTCAAATTATTTTACGCTAAACATTAAACGATACGAAATTTCCACCCAGTGTTACTTTAATTAAAACGTTTATTGAATTTTTTAAATTTTCTACTTCTAAATTCTTTTTTGATTTTATTCCTCAAAAACAATTTTTTGGGTTTCCCCAAATTTTTCTCAAAATACATTGAAATATGTGGATTTTCCCTAGATTCCCGAAAATTTTTCAAATAAAAAAAAGAGCTGATAATACTAATGTGTTTGTCACCATTATAGGTATAGTACGTTAGGAAGGAATTAATAGGGGTACATACATTTATTAAATTCATATTTGTTCGCAATAGTAAATTAATATTGAAAAAATACAATTCTGAGCGAAGTTCGGTTAAACATAAATTTAAATATCACGGTATTTTAAGCGACAATAACGGCAAACAAGTTGTTAACAGACAGACAAAATATAAATTTAAAAAAAACACATTATAATAGTACCGATACATTCCTCGCTGCGTTCAGATTCTACGTGTGATTGATACATATCAGTTTTATTATGTTTACCATAATTTCTGAATTACCTTGACTACACAGAATGCAACTAAAACACTATATAACCTCATCTGCAGTATACCAAAATCCGCTCAGTATCGTTTTTCAATCGCAACGGTTTATTGTCGCTTTTAGTATGCAAACTAAATTGCCCATTATACAATATCTTTCCAATAACTTCTCATCTGCAACAATGGCCTTCGCAACATTATCGCATATAAAACTAATCTGGAATTTGATGTCACTCAATTGACTAGGAAATTAAAATAATGATAAAAAAAAAAAAAAAAACTATTGTCTCTTCCTCTTTGAATTTGATAACGAGGAGACAACGGTTACATTCGTTCGTTTCGGGCGAAACCTACGCGTCCGATTGCGCGAAATTTAATTTTAATTTAATTTATCGGTACAATCATGTGGCTAGACAGAGACGACAAACGCTCTTTGACATGGCAATGACCTTTTAATGAAATTTAATGTGTATGTGGTCGCAAACTGGGCAATAATAATATATATCAATTGGCTATTTTTCGTATCTTACTCGTAAATTGGTTTCTGTTTGTCCGTCTTGGTGACCATCGTTATTTCGCTTTTAGATTTATTATTATTATTATTATTATTATTACTATTTTAAGGTTTCTTCGATCAAATAAATTATCATCACATGTATTGTAAGTATAATAATGACCCCTAATCACATTTTTTTTTTTTTTTTAAATAACTATATATTCAAACGAATCCAAGGAGATTTCACGAACCTTACACGCATTTATATCTGTACGTAATAATGGTTATTATATAATTATGTGAACCGCCTACGAGTACGGGTAATTTTATGGATTCTCGCGTACTGCAATATTATATTTATATCAGTGTGCCAGTGTTTACTGACCCTATGATATTTGACCAAGGGGTACAAATACTTTTTTGGGTCAACTGAGGGTCAATAATTACCAGTGATCTTATATCTTCCTTCCCCCTCTCTCCGTCAAATAGCACTAATGAATATTTACACCCAGCCAATTTACCCCGTGACAGTTTATCGAGGAGGTAAAAATCATCTAGTGAAATTTTACCAGTGGTCAAATATGATGGAGATCTATGTTCTCAAATACGCCGGTATCGCAGTACACCTATTTTACATCCTTAACAAATTGTAACCCCAGCAAGATGAAATTATTAAAAATATTAAATTGTAGGAGGTTCAATACAAAATAATAGAGGATTATTTTTACACCGCCTGTTATTCAATTTTAGGGAGTTAAAATACCCTAGAATAAACATTTAATTCAATTGTTGAATTGAAATTTCGTACCGGGAGCTCATAAGTCGCCGGTCGTCGCGTGGCTTCTACACCGTCCCATGCTAAACTCCTGGTATCAATTTTCGATTTTATAACCATTTATGCGATAAAAATCAATCATAAAAAGTAATCTTAAAAAAGCATCACGAAAATGTACTCTATTTTCAGTGGCCGTCGTAGTGGCGTTTTTCATCTGCTGGGCTCCTTTCCACGCGCAACGGCTGATCGCCATTTTCGGATCCAGCCAAACCGAGGATGTAACGTTCCTGCACCAACTGTACGGCATTTCCACTTATGTGTCCGGCGTGCTCTACTACCTGTCCACTACCGTCAATCCGATACTGTACCACATTATGTCGCTGAAATTCCGGACTGCGTTCAAGGTATGTATATGTGGTACCCGTTTTGTACCCTCGGATACTCGCGATGTGATGGGATAAGAACGGACAATGCTGTACTTGAAACATCTCTAGTTAAAACTGACCGGGATCGAAATAATATTACATTACAGTTTCGGGGAAAAATTAACGATGCCACGGCTCAGAAATCGTATTTTTTAGTTCGGTGTTCAAAAAGGCTCTTAAGACACGATTCCACAATGTGAACCACAGTCTATTCCGTTTCTCTGCGTTCACACAATGCACTATATTTATAATACCATTTGAACGGTAGAGAAACACACCTTCCATATCCCGTCCTGAACCGATAAACTGTTGACCATTGTTTCTTTGGTAGTAGCATGCCTTCCATATTCTGACCGGGTTTATTAACTAAATATTTATTTGTAACATATGCTTTTGGCCACTCTTCGCTCCATTCTTTTCTACCACAACATTTTTTTACGAATTAGGTTCTCTGCTGTCAGCCATGTTAATTTTCCAGATTACAGTCTGCATACTGGTTTTTCTTTTGATATTTAAAACAATAGATATCTCCTATCGTTCATACACGATTCTACGGTGTTGAAAAGAGCTTCTTTCCACCGAATATAAGGTGACGTTATGTTTGTGAGCACTGAGCGCCATTGTGTTTGAGTTGACTTTACAGTACCGCTGATAATCATCATTGAATTGTTGAGTTACGAGTCTATTTGAATACTATTAACCCATACTGGAGGTACTGGAGCTCTATACTCAATTGTTCTACACACAATAGCCTCTATTATAGTTGCCCACTCTTTTACAGCATTTTATTTAAACTCTCTAAAAAGAAAGACAAATAATACTTTGGAAATTTTTTCTATTTTTTTTATTTATTTTAACGAACTATACAGTATTCGGGGAAAATATTGAATGTGAGAACCTAAATAATAATATACAAAAGAACAATTTGCAAAATCGAAATAATGTCTAATCCTAGTATGCGTAGCCGGTATTTCCGCACGTCGCGTCAAATCCAATTGGCAATATATCAATACTATAAAATAATAGTTTTTCCGTCGAGTAAATGTATAGTATAATGATAAACGAACGCGATTTTCATGCGTGCACGATGTGAGAGATTTTTCAATAAACATAAAAAAATACATTTTCGATATTTTGTTCGGACCACGGTTGCCGATCGACGATATGAGCACACGTCATATTGGTGAGAAATAAAATACACTTGGGAGATATTTTGTAAAATAAACGACCGACGGCTACCTAAAGTGCAACTGTTAAATAACAGTGCACCGGGTGGAGTTTATCGGTTTATCTAGGTAATGTCCGTAATAATATTTCGTAATGTGTCTATACTGTAATATACCGTGCACTGAACCAATGGAGGCGTGAGCCACTGTTATAGACGCAAAATCGGAAACGTTGAACAGGGTGATTTGGTTTCTAACAGTACGTATTGCGTACAGATATAAATTTAGGTAAATTTATCGTTGAGTATAGATGGAAACGATAAATCGTTGTAATCGGAAGACGATTCTGGGCGAAGTTCGGTTAAACGCATTTCGATAAATTTGAATTTAAAATTGTGTTACGTGATTTCGACATTAGTTTGAACATCGATCGAATAAATTACAACATTTATATCCACATAAAACAAACAAGAAACTTAACAATTTTTCAAATAGCTATCAACAAAAACAAACGACTGATTGTTTTCAATTTATTTACCGCGGTAATAAAGTGAAGATAATATATAGCTCCTTAATATTCATTGATGGTTTCCAGTTTTGCTGAACTCTAAGAAAAAATTAAAAATACTCAACAGGAATATTATTGCGCGAAAATTCCCATATTTCGTTTTGCTCCATTATTTAGAAAACCTTACGGGACTATTCAAAAAATCACTTACTCGACCCGACGAAATATTCCACCAGAAACTGATATTTATAGTCGGAGTGAAATTTCTTGTAGGAAATTTTTCAACAAATATCAAAAAAAAAAAAATAAATACATTCCACAGTAAAACCAATTTAAACACACTTGAGGAGGCAGAATCATAATTTTTCTTTAGTTTACATCAAACGATATACCATTGCAAACGAAAAACGATTCTGAGAGAAATTCGTTTACACGTGATTTAAAAGGCCGTAACACCTACCTAGTTTTGGTAAAAATTTGATTTTAAAAATTATTTCCCCCCTCCTTTCATATCAAATTTTGTATGACAAAATATTACACTATTACATATTAACAACTATTATTTCAATCGTGTAAGACGGAAGTGTATCTTGACCAATGTAATATTGTATTCTGTTCATACGGGTCATGTACATTGCTGTTAGTTTTGGCCCCGCATATTGTGCTTAAAACGCTTACGCTAAAATAACACGAATATTTTTTGCACGTTGTTTTCGAAAAACATGATTTTTATGTACTCGCATACTTATATGATTTCCGGAAACACGATATCGACGCTTTCCTTGTGGACTATATAAAATAATAATAATACATATTAGTATAATAATTATTATGTTCAAATTTTTGGTTAAACCAATTTAAACAATTAACCTCAATAATTTGCAAAATTATAGCCTCAAACATTAAACAATTTAACATCAAAACGGATAATTATACAGACTGTCCCACAAAGATGTGTGCCTCTTGAATATCTCCGGAGATAATAAAGATAATCAAATTCTGTTAATTTTTTTTTTTTTCATTCACGAGGTTAAGGAATACAAATATTTATATTTGAATTGATTTTTTTTTTGTTAAAAAAATTAAAAATTAACTTTTTATTTTATTATTTTCGATATTTTCGGCTATCGTTAAGATAGCCATTTTGTAGAATCTATTTTTCTAAAAATGTTAATGTACTACACATTTATGTCCTATGAATAATTTCTAAGTAACAGCCGATTTAAATTCTACTAATCCATGTGAAAACCGATGTTATCGCGTAACGCAGTTATTCTCTTAGAGTGCGGAGTTTTACGTTGAAATAAAATGCTAATAATTTATACCTACGCTCAAAAAAAAAACCTGAAATATGTTCATAATATTGGAAAATATGCTTAAACTTGAAAAATATACACTTTTAATTTTTAATTTTATTTTTATTTTCGTGGATCGAGTCACTATTTTATCCATACTTTTCTACATTATTATAAATCCGAAATGTCTAGAACAATATTTTCGTTCTCCTTTATCGAGGTAAAGTTAACCATTTAAAATACATTGGTTTTTTCGTTTATTCTGAATTTTGTTTATACGAGGCATAAATAATTGACGTAAATATTTTTCTTGCACGGAAATTATCAAGAAGATACTTTATTAGGGGGAAAAAAATATATATTAAGCATTCTATGGCACTTTCTTTCTGGTAAACTTTAATTAATTTTATTATAAAATGTTAACATTAACCAATTATTAATGTTGTTTATGATAAAAGTTGATATAGCATTCATGACCTATATTCGATGTTCAAACAATTTTCAAAGATGAGCCACATCATTAGGATATTTTAATCAAATTTAACGAAACCGAGAAAAAATGAATGATTGATAGAAAAAAAGTGATATAGAATACTTATCTCTCTCTAAATAGTACCTGGCACTCGTGTGCCCCAGTAACTATTTAATGCTATCCAGTGGTGATAATCGTGTCACCACAGAAGAATGACTGGTGCCAGTGTGCCAATGATCAACACATTATCATAATGACCCAAATTAGTTAAATAAATTTTATGATAGTCATCATAAAATATGCACATACAGATATTTTTTCTCTGCAATAGTGCAGCACTACAGTTGTCAGTTGATGTTGTTGACAAACGCTATCGCTGTCGTAGCTTAATAAATACTATTTTGAGTTCTTAAACAGTTAATCGTCTACAAAGTGAATTTTTATCGTAAACACTCATTATTTCGCAAAGTATATACTTATATAAAAAAAAAAAAATGTTTGACAATTTAAAAAACAAACAGATCTAAAATGTTTCTATTGTTTTTCGTCGCCCTTGTTTTAAGGAGTGAAACGACTATCGACTTTTGATTTTCAAATGATAAACAATATTAAAACTATCATATACAGATAGAGTATTAGTTTAAATAAATTTTTAGTATTAACATTTTTTATTTCCGTCAACCCTTTCACGATATATTTCACTTTTAAATTTAGGTAGGGGGAAAATCATGGAGCATTATTCAAACGCCTCGGGCCGTTCCGCCACATAAATGATACCTCATATTCAGGCTATCTCTACCATTGGTCCAAACTTGTAATTTTGTTTTATTTTTTTAAACACTATTGAAAAATATATTTGCATATTTTCTTAAGATTTATCGATAATATCGGGAATGTTGGTATTTCGCATCGCACTGTCGCAGTTATAGATTTCAATAGATTAGCTTAAGCAAAAGTGTTTAGAAAGAAGTGTTGGTTTCCCCTTTTACTGAAGTGCCAACCAGCAAACCTTACTTAAAATACGCTCTGAACTATAAGTTGTTACATATGCAATAAATCCAAACAAATTCTCGAGAATAATAATAGTTTTCAATTCGAGTATTATTGAAAATAACTTTTCTCGGACTTAACGGTAGTCACATATAAATATGTAAAACAAAGTATAGCTTTCTCGGTTGTGAATAAGAGTATAAGTCTAATTAGTAAGTGTATACAGACTCGCATTTTGATTCATTATACAGGGTTGTCCATTTGATTGACTACACTCAATATTTTGAAAAAGATTCTTTTTTCACCGTTTTTAACAATTCAAAGAACAAGCACCTCTAAAATGTTATAATGTTATATTTCGACTATCTTATGTTACCGTTATTTTAAGGGGTAAAACGACTACGTAATTTTGATTTTCAAATGACAACCTATATTAAATATTATTGACGAGATGTCCCACTTTTAAGTTCGGGTACAGAGGGAGATTAGTGAAGCCAAACTAAAACGCTGTACCGCCACATAAACAATGCTACACTTCATTCCAAAACCACTACACTCCCCCTATAACCCATTTCCCTTTCAGAAGGGAAATATATTTTCAATCGTTTTTAATATAATTTGCCATTTTAAAACAAAACTTCGGTAGTCGTTTCATCCGCGAAAATAAAAGTAACAACAAATATCTGTAACGTAAGATTTTTGAGCTATTTGAATTGTAAAAAAAAAAAAAAAAAAACAATGCGTGTTGACAAAAACATCAATTATACCTTTCGAAATATCGAGTGTAGTCCACTTAAAAAAACGGATCACCCGGTATTCTCGTCCGGCCGTCTTCTTATAATGAATATAAATTTATTTGAACCGCAACTTTATCGCAATTAAAACTTTAGAACATAATAGTGTATACTGACGTAGTTGCAGGTGTTAGGTTGTTTTTAATAAATCAACTTTAGTATTCAACTTTTAATTTTCTATTACTTTTCAATCAGTTTCGACTCTGCGAATACAAATTAATAATAATGATTATGATAAAAATAATAATTAAATAAAATATTATAATACTGCACATGTATTTACAGTTTTCTGTTTCGCAACAAACTGCAACAAAATACACAACTTACTACGCGAATACTCATTAAAAAGAAACTGAAAACCTGCACTCCGGCATAATACGTTATTTTGTATTTTGTAGTTTTTTTTTTTTTTTTTTTTTCGTTATCATTTGATCGAGCAACTTCATTATTATTGTTATCGTTATTGTATTTAAAATCATTGTTAATAATATATTAAATCGTATTCCAATGTATTATACTGTATATTTTATTTTAATAAGCTATGTAATATTTCTAAAGAAAAAAATGATAATAATATATCGAAATATAAATAATATAAAAATATATTAATAATAATATAAAAATCATAAGAAAGTCGGAAAAAATGTTTATCGTCTCTTACCAATATAATAAAATGTCATATTTATAAATCGCTCTCCCGCACGCTTTTTTAATTAATAATATCCCAATAATTTTGTAAAATATTTTAAATTAAGTTCTCAATGTCATACAGATGTAATACTAAAATATTATTGTGATTTTTTTTTCACCGAAATACTGGTATTATTTTAGATTCTGAGTGTAGCGAAGAATTTATTAGTTTTACAAAGATGTTTATTGTTTTTTTTTTTTTTTTTTTTTTTTTTTTTTATACTTGTGTACAAAAATTCTACCAAAAACCTTGCTCAGATATATACGCGTGGCACCATTTCTGGAAGGAAATGTTGTCAGATATTACTTTTGAAAGATCATTTTGTGACTTTCCGAGCGGTTTTCATAACATATAGGAAAAACCAGAATAAAACGTAAGAAAAACGAGAAATTTACGAAAATAATATGCTTTTATTATTTTTCAATTTTGTTATTTGTCGTAATTCTATTAAAAAAATTCGCAGAAACTTGAAATTTGGACAGGAAACTTATATTTGCCTTTTTTAGACGTGGTAAAATTATCAAAATATTTAAGCTATTTATAAACATTTAAATTTAACGAGTTTTGTACGTAATTTGTATTCAGTTGGTACTCTTTGATATAATTGTTAGACTTAACAGATATGCTTGAACATTTAACAGAAGGTTCATTGAGAGTATTACTTTGTGGTCAAATAAAATTGAGTTTAATGTAGTATTTTTTTTTATAAAAAAATTGTAATAACAAATTTTGACAAAAAATTTTTTTTTTTAATATATGTATACTGCCGATTTAAGAACGATGGTGAAGTCAGAATTGTGTGTACTGACTAAATTTCGAAATAATAGCTTTTTGAAGTTCTGATATTATGCGGATATTATATGTCATATAATTTTATATTGTATACTCTTCATTTTTTTTTGCCATAGCCGAATGGTCATGCATACCCATCGATATCCTAGGGGTCGCGGGTTCAAACACGTGTCTCGAAAACATTGTTTGCACTTATTTTTTCCCATTTACCTAAACAGGAGAACAACGAAGGATTTTAGTTGTAGAGCTAGAGACCTAGCTATCACTCGATCGGACTATTTAATCGCAAAATACCATTTAATTTGTTATGCAAACTTTTCTATCGGAAATCTTGCTCCGATGTATTAAGTGTAGCTTATTCTCTGAATGAAATTTTATCTCCGTTGTAATTTAGGAAGGATATTTTTCAAACGGTTTTCGTAACACCGGGGAAAAACCGGGATAAATTGTCGGGAAACCGAAAATGTACGAAATATAAGTTTTAATAAAAAAATATTTTGTCCTTTTTTTCTATGTACAGCTTTTCTACCAGCAATTTTACTCCAATTTAAAATTATAGCACTTTTCTTAAAGAAAATCTGATTGGGAAAATATTTTAAGGTCAATTTTCGATTTTCCCAGGTGATTTCTCGGCAAATGTGGAAAACCGGGAAAAACATGGGAAAACCAGGAAAATCGCTATAATATTAAACAAATATTATTGAAAAAAATATATAATGCCTATTTAATTATTTTACCATATTATTATGGCATATATATTGTTGCCAAAACATCAATATCAACTGAACTGTGCTTAGAATCGTTTTTCATTAACAATGGTTTATCGCTTACAGATATACATTAAATTACCTAGAAAAGTGGCTGTACCTGCCTCCATTATCTTAGCATGTTTTTATTTTTATAGTTATACGATTCCCTTCCCTTAGCCTTAGCCTTAGCCTTAGCGGTGTGATTAAGTTTAAACCTTAATCACACCACGCGTCTAAAAAAATGGAAAAGTACCTTAGAATAGATTTGTTTTGTTTTTAAACATACAATACCTATATTTTATGTAAAGATTCCGAGTACCGCAGCTTCGCGTACATCAGACTCTCGGTATAATTTAAAAATAATTTACACGTATTTTATTAAAAACTGTTTGCCGACATTTTTCTTCCATTTTCATTTTATTTATAGAAATATACATAGTTTTTTTTAAAAATAAGAAACTTTTTTCAATTTATATTCCATTAAATTATAATTATAACTCGACAATATTTTTTCTCCACATTCTCGGGGATTATTTTCGCACAAAAATTTGTAAATGTATAACTTTATTGCCTCAAATAACATTATAGGTATTCAAGTGCCTAAATATGTATACATATTTTTTTTGTTTTTAGAGGGTTTACGTATATCAAGAGTAATCCATTTAAGCGTCTTCAATTGATATTTCAAAAAGTATTAACTTTTTTCGGAATTTTTTTTCTGTTTTTATCGATTTATAGAGCAACCAATTCTAAAATATTGCATTACCGTTATATTTTTTGTTTCCTTTGTTTTTGGGGGTGAAATCATTACCTAACGACTTTTCAAATAGCAACCTTATTATTATAACTTATTATTAAGCGTACATTTTTTATTCTGTTGTTTTTTTTTTTTTTTTTTGATACATTATATTTGTTTCTAATATAGCATTTTTATAATATTTTTGTCAATTATATAATATTATATTAGTTTCCTTAATATTGGTAATTATTTATTTCAATTACGTTCGAAATCGTCTCATTATTTATCGAATGAAGTATTCAACTTGACTCAACAATTTTGTTTTTTAGTACTGTTTAGACTGATTCATTTCAAAAAATAAATGTCACAAATAGGTGTCAGTGGCGTGTTTATTGGAGGGGTCCCATGGGTCTGGGCTTCATTTATTAACCGCATTAATATCTAATATAAGTCATAACCTTGTTTTATTTTTATATAATAACGGGGGAAAAAAATTATATATTTTCTATTACCATAATATTATGTTTTATCAGTGTGGTTTCCACTTTGTCAGTTGGAAATCAAAAAAGTGCAACGAGAGCAATAAAATTATTTTAAAATGTTATCACGGACTGTTATCCCGATGTCCGTTACTTTAATAATTTTCGTTTATCAGGTTATCATAATTCAAATATCGTGATCATTTGTTTTATCACCTTGTACCGATCGACAAAAACTGTTTATTGAATTCCCTTTTGCTTTTAGAAGTCTAATACGTGTGTCCTGTTTATAAAATGAACTCTAAAATAACACATTTTTTTACGACGGTAACGTCTACCGCGTTTACCTGTGCGCCTGCTGTGACAGTCGAAAAATCACACAATGAAGAAAATAATATGGAAAATGTGAATAAATTATTAAACACTCAGGTATATTAATATAATTTACAACAATATAGTGGTGGGGGAGGGGGGTACCAAGTATTTCTAGCTAAAATACTATTTGTATGAAATAAATTTACTTAACAGATATGTATTCCAGGGAGGATAAACTCCAGACGATTTTAAAGTATAGATATAGCGTAAGGAAATTTGTTAATTAACATTTAAGAAATATATTAGAAAGTTTTGGTGAAAGGAACCAAATATACAAGTGTCATAATCCAAAATCAAAAGTTTAAAGCGTGTAATAAAATTATACTTAAAAATATTGTTGATAAAGTAAATTCCTCTAAATCAAAGCCCCCCACGACACTGTGCCACTTAAATTATCAGACCCTCTCACACATGAAAAATTCCTAAATACTCCACTGCTAAGTATCAAGATCTTCAAACACAAATATTTCCAACAATATTACCATGTTGATGGTTTGAACTTACACGAATACATAGTTATTTTGTAATAATAAAATATTTAAAAACGAAATTTACGTTTAATTTTTAGTTGTTTTTGATATTTGTTAACTCGAGTACTCGACTGTTGAAATCGACTCGATTCGAAATAATGAATAACAACTAAGACTGGTCGACTCAACTTGATTTCGAAAATATCAAAATTCCTCAAACTTTAAATTATATTTAGTATAGAATTGTGTTCAAATTAGATTTTTTACGATTTTCTTTCATAAAAAAAAAAAAAAAGTCTATATAAATTAACGCGGAGAAATATAATTGCGTCTACTGATATTTTTGTAACATTATAACGGTCTCGACAACGGACTTAACAAATATGTTCAGTCATTATAGTCATTATTAATGACCAAGTTTGCAGATTATTAGTTAACACGACTTTTATGTTTTACTAAACGCATCACCGTTAAATGAATAAACTTTAAAATAAAGCACTCGTAATCTATTTAGTTTGCCAACGTATCGCGATAATTTAATTCGTATTGTAAAACACTGTTGAAGTTACCGTTAAGATTTCGGAAACGTCACTTTATAAAATCAACAGCACTCAATATGGGTAGGAAAAAACGGTTGGAAAAACCATAGAAAACCTTAAAGCTTTTTTTTTTTTTTTTAAAGGTATAGAATATACCGATGACGACGATAAATTATCGCAAACGAAAAGCGATTCTAAGCGAAGTCCAATTAAACACGGTTTGATAAATTATTTAATTGAAAACTGTATTAATTCGTAACAAATGTGAAATAAAATACCTGACCTTGCTACGTGTTTTTTCATTACAAATTTCGGAGCATTTTCGCTGGATCTGCCAAAAAATTGTTGTTCCCAGATATTTTATGACCAAATAAAAACAACCCGAAAATTCTAAATGGCTGTACAAATAGCTCAAAAATCACTAATATAATGTAAAAATTGTATCACGTAACATTTAGAAAAGACTAATGTAAGTGTTCGGGAAAAATTCCAATATCTACGATAATTTTTAACCGAATTACAATAAAAAAAATACAAAATCGTAAATAAGGGAAACCATAAGCTATTAATAACAACTGTCTCGTTTTCTGGTTATTGGGAAAACTACAAGGAAAATCGAAAAATGATTTTCTCTATTCACCAACTAGAACAAATGTTTGATGATCGGAAAAGACTTCTGGTATAAAAGTGCAGGTTTACAGGGAGAAAAAATAATAATAAAGCACACGCCATATTATAATACGAAAGTATTAGTAAACCGAATGCATTACTAGCTAAGCTCAGTATATGTACAAACACGGACGATTTAAAGCTGAATATTTTAGATTCCGAGTGTAACGATGGAGCTATTGGTTTTACAATGCTGTTTATTTCTTTTTTCTTCTTCTAGTCTGTGGACACGTTTTTTTCTAGTAAACTTCCATCGATGTATAAGTGTATAGGTGTAGCACTTTTCCAAAAAGCTCAAGTTATCTAGATTGCACATTAAGCCGGTCATTTTTTGATTTTCGACGCCATTTTTTAAATAAAAGCACTTAAGTTGGGAAAAACGTAGGTAAAATACAATTTCACAATTTCATTGTTTTATAAAAACACGAACGACGTTTTCTACCAGAAAAAATGATTTAATCGAAAAATTACAGGATACCTTTTTTGTTGCCCTTTTGATTTACTTTCTTATGGTTCTTATTGACAAAACTTTAGAACCACTTTTGAGCTTTTAAGGAATTTTAATTTTTGGAGTTTGTTTTGCTGTAATTCGATTATAAATACACGTAGATACTTGAAACTTGGTAATAATACTTATATTGGACTTACATATAGATATTATTCTATACACATATTATAGACGTGGTAAAATTATCAAAATCACCGGACGACTTTTTTGGTTTTTAATAAGCGTTTTGAAATCAAATTTAAACGAAAATCGCAAAAAAAAATTACGGCACTTCAAATTATGTATTATTATAAATTGTCTTTCGTCAAGCAATAGTTTATTGTTGCTTACAGATAAAAATAAAATATTCTTAAGTATCCTACTTTCCCAACTACTCACTTACAACAGTGGCTACTCCCATCCCCATTATCAACTTTTTTCTTTAAATATTATTTATTCGGTTTTATGTTTTATGTTTATTAAATCGCAGTATTTTCAAAAACGCCATTTTTCATCTTTAATATATTTAAAACAAAAAAACAACCGAATTATTATTCTAAAATACCTACGTAATACCTCATAATATATTCGCATCGCCATTTTTCAGAAAAATAATATTATGTCACCGGCGATAGATAATTCTCCTGCAAACTTGAGAGCTTGCCGCAATAAGAATAATACGATGTGAACTATGCGATACCATGAGGTTTACATACGTGGGTAATTTTTTTTATTATTATTATTATTATTATTATTGTTTAGTATACGCGGTTCGATATATTTAATAAAAATATTTTTAAAAACTAAAATAACGTACAAGTACAAAAAATTTAAAAAAAAAACCCCGTTATTTGAATATTGCAATTTTTTATGGGTATACACGAAAAACGCTACACGATAATAACAAAAAGGTAAACTATATAATATAGTCCATTGTATTCAAATACTATACGAGTTTAATTATACGCGGGGCTGCATCTGAGTTATACAAAATATACAAAATATATAAAATATAAAAAATATAAAAATATAAGAAAATTAATTTAATAGTTTAATTGATTCCGTTTATATTTTGCATTATTTATAAAATATAAACTTTCTAGGTTTAATCTTTAACCGGTCAGTAAAACTTAAAACTTAGGTTAATATAAATTGTACGACTACGGTAACAATATATATACCTATATATTATTTTCATATGAAAATTATATTGATTTCATAAGCCCTTCAGGCGTTATTTGAACGTATCCATGGTCGTAAAATAATAATTTATAAAAGAAACGTATAGTATGTATAGTGAAAAAGGTAAAATTTAAATTGTTAAAAAAAAAGATATCAATTTTGCTTTCGCAAAAAATTTCAAAAACAATATTGAACGCTGGAAGGGCATTTAAAACTAATGCAAAGCGTATAATATAAAAAGACGGACATACTTCGCACGACAGGTGAGCCACTGTTGTAAGTGAGAAGTTGGGAAGGTAGGATATACAGAGGGGAATTTAAATTATATCTGTGCCCAACAATGGTTATTGCTCACGAAAAACGATTCGGAGCGAAGTTACGTTACACATATTTTGAAAGGCCGTAATATTTACGATATTTGTCAAAATTGGATATTCAAATTCTTATAAAAAAATAAGTAAAATACTATACACCTACACTAAACTCATAGAAATACGCAAAATTAAAATCTCTATAAAAAGCTCAAAAAAGTGTATAACGGCTAGAAAGGGCAAATATGAGATTTTTTTTCCTAAGTTTCTGCAAATATTTTAAATTGAATTACAACAAATAAACAAAATTTAAAATAATTATTATTTTCGTTAGTTTTTTCGTTTTTCCTACGTTGTTTTACAGTTATTCAGAAAAACCACTAAAAAAATCAAAAAATTACCTCTTTAGAGCATCACCCCAGTCAGATTTTCTTTCAGAAAATGTGCTATCGTTGTACATCGAAGCAAGCTTGCTGATAGAAAAATCGTTCACAAGAAAAAAAAAGGCCGTAATATTTGACTTATACATTTTGTATATTTTCCCTTTACCCCGGTTTTCTCCGTTTGTTATGAAAACAGCTGGCAAAAGGTTCCTCTTAAAATTACCAATTCAGTCAGATTTCCTTTCAGTAAAAGTACTACACTTATTAATCGGAGCAAGATTTCTGGTAGATAAGTTGTTTACGGATAAAAAAAAAAAATAAAATAAACATAATTGTAAAACCAATATATTCCTCGGTCCACTCAGAATCCAAAATTTGGTAAGTGATGAAATTGTATATAATATATTAAAGTTTTTACACGTTGGTAGTGTTATTTTATAATGCAAATAGTGTTTTTTTATTGATATGTACAAGATCTCATGGCGGTCCGTGTTTTAATAATAAGGTATATACCTATAAAATACAATATATATTTCAAATAATGGTAATAAAATAAAATCATTTTTAAAATCAGGGAAACATAGAAATAATTGTCTTCGAAAATTTAAACCACAGCAATGATAAAACTGAAAAAAATAATTTAAATCACCAAAAACTTAATAATAAATTAAAAAATAAAACTGTTGATATTTGTTAAAAACCAGCGAACTTATTTATTAAGAACTTTCTAATAATAATGTTACTTTATATAATATTGTAGTAAACGTTCTTTTTATTAGAGATGGACTTGGTAGGTACCTATTTTTTTTTTTTTTAATAAACAAACGGAATATTGGTACATTAAAAGGTTATTTATACGAACTCGGATACAGCCAATTATAAAAGTTGAACTAATGAAAAATATATTGTCTACCTACGTAAGTAAATATTGTTTTGACTTAAAATGAAATATAATATATTCTAGTATTATATTTATATTACAATTATCTACAAACACAAAAATAAAATTATTTTTTATAAAATGAATTATGAAAATATTTAAAAATGTGTGTTGTTAATCGTGTGTTCGCTCGAGAAAAAAACGCATGAACAACAGAGCTCAGTCACTGGAGTGGAATTTTCCCCCAACCGGCTTGTTTCAAATTAAATATTTCTTGTTTTCTTTTTTTTTTTTCAAACATGATAAAGAACTAAACCAAAAAATGTTTATTAAAATAAGTCCAGTAGTTCCCGAGATGTTTGCCTGTCGCTTGATTTGCGTTTAGAGAGAGAGAGTTGAAAGTTTAAACCCCTAAAAACCGCATCATTTGACATTGATACTAGTTCCATACATACACAACATTTCATTCCCGTCACTTCATTTGGAGTGTCTGTTGTGGTGTACACCGATAAAAAAAGAACTAATAAAAATAAATTTCTTACAACAACTTTTTATCCGAACCTAAGTGTCGATTCATCCTTACTCAATTTCGAAAATTGAATTTAAGAGTATAAGATCCCTCGTCCTCGTCCATCAATCGGTATTCGTTTGGCCTTATAAATTGTACCTCCGCTGTAATTACATAAAGTCGACCGAATCACTGCGTGTTTCTGACAAATTCAGACCAATTTATGTCCGCATCAGTGTTATTTTCAAAATTTAATTTGCTTGTATTGACAATTATAAACAATTTACTTGAGCCCAATTTCTTTGTGACCAAAACAATACTCTACGGCATTCTAGATTTTTTGTATATACTTATTTTATGTATTGCCTGTCCCTACGAAAATGAATTACTTTTGCCCGTTGGTAATCAAAAATGAACTAATGAAATTCGATCGATAACCGCGTAAAATATCAACTGGTTAGATTAGTGGCGCGGATGATCTTAGCCGCGGAAAAAAAGTACTGTACCTAACCTAATCTGACGGAAATTTTAAACATTTGAATAAAATAAAACCTAAAACTTTTGAACACAAACTCGATTTGTATTGCATATATATATCTGTAAATATAAATACGAAAAACACTAATATATTAACCCATATAGATCAAAATATGACGCACGTGCCGTAAACTAAATCATATGTTCAGTAAAATATTTATCGGGAAAAAAAATATGAAAGAGTGGGCAACTCGTAAGATCCGCATAATACTCTTGAACTTTGGTCTGTGGCCGGTCAGTGTATTCGGACCGAGTCAGATTCAAACGAATAGTTTTAAAAGTGATTTTCAATATAGAGCCAACGTCGTAGCAGCCGTTCGGTTTGTTAATTTTAAACAACATAGTTTCGCAAGTTTTTTTTTTTTTTTTCCTTTTTTTTCCGGTGACTTAGTAACGTTTAATTTTAATGCGATAACCTGATATTAGATTCTGAATGTAGCGACGAAAAAGTTTTAATATGACGTGTGCGTGTGTGTTTTTTTCCCCGGAAAACACTTTTGAGCTAGTAAAAATATTCAGATTTTTTCATGCCGTACCTTTATAAAATATGCGGATTTTTTCCAGAACGATATTTCGAATTCCCAATACTTTTCCGAAAAATTTCCCTTTATGTTTTCATTCAAAAAAATGATTATGAATTGAGTTCGGTTAGTATTGGTCATATTTTTTTGGCACCGTGCACTTTCCGCCCGTGCGTTTTCAGTTCAACACCTTTCTCGTGCTATTTTCACCCGTTAACGTATAATCTTTACCTGCTGAAATTATGTAAGGTGGAATATTCGCTCAAAAATTTAAAATTATAAATTAACGTGCATTTAATATATTAAAATATTGTGTTACAAGTACATAATTGCTAACTTGTTATTCTAACTTAATACATAACTTACGAGTACATTATATTCATGTTTTATAATTGTCTAATCTAATTTAATTTTTTAACAAACGTTCGAGTAAATAAACTTTTCTTAAATTTTTGACTTTTTAGGAATCTCATTTTTATTTATCTGATACGTTGATCTAAATGTATTTATGTATATTTTATACGGGTTTTTTTTTTGATACATATCCCAACCTTAAAAGCCTTCCATTGATGATTCCGTTGTATTGTATTAGTTATGATGGAAAATCCATACGTATAGAATGACGAGATATATAATTTATAACTATACCTATTAATTATCATTTATTCAAAAATCTGAATCATAACTATAATAATTTGACAAATGTAAACAATTTATATATAACTTTACATTTTGAATGATAACAATCCACCTCACATACTCTCAGCTGCCGATAAAGATTAGTATAATGGGCGGAAATAGCACAAAAAAAGTCTTGAACAGAAAAGTCACGGGCGGAAAGTGCACGCCACCGTTTTATTCACTCTCGTAGCCAGAATCCAATACCTAACCTAACCTAACTTAATCTCTTGAACTTTGGTCTGTGGCCGATCAGTGTATTCAGACCGAGTCAGATTCAAACGAATAGTTTTAAAAGTGATTTTCAATGTACAGCCAACGTCATAGCAGCCGTTCGTTTGTTCATTTTAATAGATTCATTTCGTCAGCAATGGTTTATCGTTGATAAAGATTACAGATATAAATGAAATAACCTTATGTATCCTACCTTCCCAACTTCCCACATACAATAGTGACTACACCCGTTCCCAGTATCGATTTTTTTTTTTTTTAATTTTATTTTTTGTCCACATACTAATATGCGTTAGTAATCTAATAGTTTCTTTGATATTTATACGCTACTGCAACTGGATACAAAAATTTCGTTAATATATTTACTTTAATATCGCAGTTTAATAATATGCGTATACAAACACAAATGTATCAAACTCATATAAAATTCATTCTGAAGGGCGCATTAAACAAAAAAATGACTGTAAAACAATAGCATTATTTTTTTTAGATTTTGGGGTGATCGAGTATAATAATATATTGGTTTTACTACGATGTGTTTTTTTCCTACCAGAAATCTTGTCTCGATGTAAAACTTCATAGGAATTTTCTTATTACATTTTTAATCTACCTATGTTTGGAGTATTGAGGAAGTAATTCTTGTATATTTTTCTTGTAGTTGGGAAATGGAAAATACTGGCAATATTCTGTATAATTTTTGTAAATTTCTGGGTTCCAAAGGAACAAGGAAAAATTACGACTGCTCGTTTTGCAATTTGATTTATAAACAACACAAAACAAATGTCGATCGAATACGCGTTCCTATACAACGTAGCAAACAAAAACAATTAAAACACGCAAATGCATTAAATTCACAGTCCCGGTTTAATAACAATATCATGCAGTAGCACGTACCTCTTGTCAGCCGCGTTTATTTCGAAAATTGATTCGTTTTAATTCGGGTTACTGCATTGGCGTCCGGTAACGAGTGTAATACCTTTTACTTGATTCGTCCGGTTACATATTTTAAACGAATTTGCAGAACGTGTGTTTCTAATTTCCCTTGACAATGAAATTTCCATTATATATTTGCTCAGTGCGATCACAATCAACGTAGAGATAAATTCGGTGACCCCATTGTCCCCGTTGGCGGGATATAGATGCGGAAACTTATATCATATACATGTATACACATTACCGGAACCGTACCCGCAATCAAGGAGACCGTAAAGTCACAGCAGAACCTTCCAGAGATTCGAGCACGTTTACGTTTGTACAATAGGAGGTCCGTCAGTAAATAACACACACACACACTCGTATATACCGCGGTCGATCAGAATTTTATACTGCAAAAATTGTCTCGTATGAAATAATCTAACTAGAGAAAAAAATCGCAATATACTTGGGCTTGACATTTTAAAACGCCCCTTCTGGGGCTGGGTAAGATCCGATTTCGATTTACGTTTATAACATTAAATTTCAGTGAAAATATTAATCTGTTTTTACATAAATATTCCCGGTTTTCCCCCGTTGTCGTCATTACGAATACTATTATAGGAAAATCAAACAATGACCTCCCCAATACATTAACTGGACGAAAACGTTATATCAGAGACCATCCCTGCAGTCGATGATTGGAGCGATATTTTTGATATAATTGAGAACAGACGGAAGGGGGGAGAATCGTACATATCGTAGTAACAGCTTATACAAGATTTATCAAATTTCACGTCACAGTCAAATTATCCATGAGATACTTTTTATTTTTATTTTTGAAATCATATAATCTAAAATTTTACATTATCCTTATTTTTGTCACCTTTATTAAAATCATTTTTGATTGTCAACGTACGTTAAAAATTCCCATAAACAAGTTTTTATTTCACATTTTGGTGTTGAAATTTTAAACATCCATTAACTCGTTCGCGAAATATTCCACTTTTCAGTTTGAACAGGAAGAGATTGCCGTTTGAAAATCAAAATTAGGCAATCGTCCTTTCACTCCCAAAAATAATAAGAGTGACGCGAAAATTAACGAAAATTTAATATTTAAGTGTTGATTTTTCTGAAACTATAACAAAATCGCTGTCCTGGGATAATGGGGAAGGGTACAGCCACTGTTGTAGATGAAAAGTTGAGGAGGTAGGATATAAACGGGAATGTAATATGTATCTGTACGCAACGATTAACCATTGCTAACGAAAAAACGATTTTGAGCGGAGTTTGGTTGATAGTGGTTGCTTTGCCAACAATATATATGTCATTATATCATGGTGAAATAATAACATATACATTAAACATTTTCTTTAATAATATTTATTTGATATTGTACCTATTTTATTATTCGTTTTTTCCCGGTTTTCCTGTGTTTTTTCCCGATTCGTCTCATTTATTGGGAAAATTCCTAGAAAAATCAAAAAATGACCTCTCTAAAGTGCCACTCCAATCAGATTTCCTTTCAGAAAAGGTGCTACCGTTGTGAGTCGGACAAAATTTGCTGATAAAAAATTTACCAACAGAAAAAAAAATAAATAAACATCATTGTAAAACCAATACATTCCTCCACTCAGATGCTACAATTCCGAAAAATATTTATACCTTCCGGGGTATCGCCACGGGTGCCATATCTTCGTGGAACACCCTGCATGATATTAGGCATTCCTTGCCACGCCTGAAATCTAAAAGTCGAAAATCCGTCGATTTCCACAAATACCTGTAAACTATAATGCCATGAAATTGGCATCGGTCATTTGTTTATTGATGTGTGCACTTGTTGTATACTTACATGTGAAGTTAACAGAGAAACAGTGTTTTTTGTTTTGTACCGACAGGAAACGGTGTTACGGTGTTGTAGAAGCAGCGGACGGACGAGCTCGTTCTGCGGCGGTGCCGTCATTGACGCCGTTGGCGAAGAACAGCGATGGCCGCGGGAACCGTGGAGATGGCGATTGTGGCGACGGAACCGTCGGCGACAACGACGGCGGCCCAGCGATTCGCCTGTTGCCGCGACAGCCGACGTCCGGAGACAAAAGTACCGGCGCGTTTCCGGACGGGCGTCGTCATCCTTCGAACTGTCCGCCGACGACGGTCGTCTTGCGGCTGCAAATGGGTACACCGTCACCGTCATCGGCCCGGCACGGTCGTCGTCCTCGAACTCATCGTCGTCCGCCGGTCTGGCCGACTGTTGGCGGCGCGTGCTGAACGTCGGCGGCTCCGGAAACGCCGCCGCTCGGCATCGGGTCCGCGACAACTACGACGACGACGACGACGACGATTCGTCCGGCCCGCTGTCGGCGTCGCGTCTCCGCGGCGGCTGCGTCGGCGGCGCCCAGAGTTCGGCGGGACCGGTGGCCCTCAGCAACTGGACCATGATCAGCGACAGCAGCCTCAGGGACGCGAACTGCGACGACCTCCGCGAAGAACTGTTCGGGCGCGGGTACGTCGAGGCCGGGCCCGCGACCTACGCGGTCACCTGCAACGTCCGTGCGGTGACCAGCGCCACCGCGGCCGACTTGGACGACAGCGGCACCGCGCGAGTCGACGTCGGCGACGATTACTATTGACCGCGGTATAAAAGAGAGTGCGCGTTTTGTCGTTTTTCTCGATTCGTAAAAATGATAATAATATCGCCGCCTGTAGACCGCGACAGAACCGCAGACCTATGTAAAGTATCCAACTGACCGATAACCGACCGAGAGGTCCGGGGGCCGACGTTGTTAGAAAAATATAGCGTCGTGCAGATATTCTGTATGACGCTGTTCTATCGCATTGGCCATCTGTTTCTAACAACGTCGGTACCGAACCCGACAGGAGCGATTTTAGGAGGAATGGGGGTGTGGGCGTCCGACCCCTCCGACCCCCGAATATCGACATTCGGTATTTTTAGAAATTCTCGCATTCTCGAAACGTCCGATACCGTTTGGTTTTATTTTTCGATTGTCTTCGAACCCGCGCGTCCTAATATCAGATTAGTTCGGATTCGATTATACACGCGCGAACAAATTTCATTCGTCGCATTTCGTCCTTTGAAATCGGCAAAAAGTTCTCTGGGCCCTCCTCTCCCCCGCTCCTCTAAAATTAAACTCTAGGATAACCCCCTCCCCCCTTTAGATACGGTGGGGTACGAGGGAAGCGCAGTCTTCAGATGAACACCGCAAAGTAACGCGTTTGACACAGTATTAAAATTATAAAAAGGCGGGTGTTCACCCCGAGACGTCTGGCGGCTATATCCACTCTCTTTTATATCTATAGGTTCTCTATAATACTATTACTGTACATCGAACGCGGTCGTACTATATTTGTTTAATAATAATTATGACCTATGTGTAATATATTTGACTTCTGTTCGGCGAGACTGATGGTCATTGGTGGTCGTAATGATTAAAACAAAAAAAAAACCAGCATTTAGTAGCTATATTATCGAGTCCTTTGTAAAAAAAAAATCAACCTGCTGTGTATACCTACTGTAAATAATTAAAAAAAACCGACTTGTATTGCCCGATTATATGAATGATAATTATTATTCTTCGGTACTTTAAAACTAAATACCTATCTGTCTATACACAGAACGGTCCGCCAATCAGGAACCAGCGATTTTCTCGGAAGGTAACGAGTGGATTTAATTTCTGTTTGATATTATTGTTTTTTTTTTTTTCAAACGTCGCTCGGATAAAGATTATTTATCCATACATGTCGATATGCATACGTGTTCCTTTGAACTGAATACCGGAGGTGCCGGGAGTTTATGTGCTCATATCGAGGGTATACATAAAGTCCGTAAGCGGTTGAAAACGGCGTTAAAATAAAACTTGTAGAACGATTCCGTATAATGAATTGAACAAAAAAAATAACAAGTTCACCCAATAATCCTCTGGTTAAACGGATCACACCCTGTATACATCATAATATATATATGATAAAAGTAAGTAATCTCCAACATTGAAATAATTTTGCAAATTCATAAATTACAAATTTCAAAATCATAATATGTAAATTATTAAAATTAGTAAAAATCGATTTATAGTTATTAAAATGCATAAATTACAATATAATATAATACATATTTTGTTTTATAAATTATTATACGCGTTCTATAACGCGCCTTTTTAATGGAGTCATGCCGGGTTTTTTCATACAGTAAAATTTCATCTTGTCCGTGTTTTATTTTGTGCTCATTTATGCACTCATATTTTGAAATTATTTTTGTCCGCCTAAGCCGCGGTACGTCACTGCTTCTAATTGTTGCGTACGTTATATTCGTCTGTATATTCAGTAAAACGTTTACAAATTAAATACAAATTCGGATGGTAATGATAAAAAAGACTGTTAAATTTGGAATGAAACGGTTTGCGTGCATTTATTGTATCATTATTACACCATAATTTTGGAGGAAAAACTAAATACGAAAATATGTAATTTTCAGCTAAATAGTCGCAATACTGTTCAACCGTATCGTCAGATGGTTTATTTTCTAATCAATCGAATAGAAAACGATTTTCAGTATCATTGGCATCCGAGAGTGGTAAACCAAAGGCATGTACTAAGAATTTTCAATTTTCAGATTCGTTATTTGTTGTAGTGATTTATTGTTAGGCCTGATTGTTAGATTTTTCTGAACCGATTTTGGCTTAAATGAAAATTGCAACCACTAATTTCCGCTGTTGGCCAAATAAACGGCAAATAAAAATTCCGTATAGGTACGTTATCGAAAGGTTCGTGAATTTCCGATACGATGCCTTATATACTAAGAATATTTTTACTAAATTTGATATTTTGTTATTATTTTAAAATTACGGTTTTATTGTAATATTGTCTGCAAAAGAAAAAAAACATACTTACAAGACATACAAACTAAAAATATAGTATGTAGGAAACGTTGTTATATGCAATGAACATATTATACCAATCTCAAACTTGAAAATATAAAAAAAATTACACCATCTGTTTGACAAGTAAACAGGGACTATGTAGAAGTTTACACTGCCTACGTATATTAAATTCAGGAAAAAAGATAACATTTGTAGGAATTAACATGTAGTCATATAATATACATATACTTGTGTATTGAGCGTTATAGACAAAAAAAAAGACATCCCCGACGTGATCGACCGGTCGTCTCTCGCGTTCGGCATCGAACAATACCCGAAATCTGGAATTCGATTTTCCTACTCTCTATGCACCGCGAGACACTATTATAATAATATTATTGTATTCCGTTTCGTTCCGGAAACCTTTTGACGCGGAACCGCCGCCGTTTTAATAATATTATACATAATTTTGAGGCAAGACCCGTTCGGCCCAAATTCGACCTATCCCGTTTCGTCCAAATGCCCGTTTCGCCCACACACATTTTGGTCATTTTAATATTCAGTTGGCAATCGTCGTTAACGATAGTTAAAACACATAGAAAAAGTTATTTAAAAATGTAACATTTTATACAAATTTGTAACGTTGAAATTCCCAGAAAAAAAAAAAAAAAAGAAAGACAAAAATATAATGAAAAACGTATACTATTATATTTTAGGTCTGGTGAAGTAACTACGAGGTATAAATTTGTATTTTTAGATGGCTTTTTAAATAATTGTTTATGTGTTTCGACTATTATTATTCAAAAACCATTGTCAACTTAACTTTTAAAATCACTAAAATGTATTTGAGCGAAATGGTAAAGGTCGAGTTTGAGCGAAACGGGTCGTGCCCAATGTATTTAGGTAATTCACTTTTTGCGGGTCTCGGAACGCCCGGCGATGACTTTTACAATATTTTTGAAACAAATCTTTAAAAACAAAAATCTATGTTCTCGACATCTCTTCTCGGATGGAAGTTTTCCGCCCTCTTTTTCGGTCTTTCGACTCTTTCAACTCGACTAGCTAATACGCGCGTTACAAAAAAAAAAAAAAGGACAACCTACTTATATTATTTCCTCGGCTCTGTGCGTATATTTATTACTTTTTATCCGCGTAAGTGACCTCAAATAACATTCAAAAAATTTAAAATAAAACAATGACTCGTGATTCCGTTTTCTGCGCGGCTTAAATACCTAGTGTTTAATTTTTAAATTATAATTTCCGATAAAACGTTTTATATTATGGAAAAAAAATCCTCACTACCCTCAATCTAAAAAAAAAAAAAAACAAATAGTGACCCACTCGTTAATGATGAATATTCAACCGTTTTTCCCGCTTCACAAACAGAACGCGTGATGGAACAAATTACGTATGAACGTCCCCCCCTTCCCCTTGATTTAATTATTTTTATCTGCGTGAGCGATAATAATAATAATGCGTACGAACTTTGCAGATACACGAAAAATAAAAGCTATTGTAAAATTGCGTTTCACGTTAATATAAAACACACTTACATACTGTATACAAATTAAAAAACTTAACGTTATGTAATATTAAATCATAATAGCCCAATGGATTATTATGGTTTCGTTCTTTGGTAAAAATGAGAAATACAGTTATGGCAAAAACGTATGCATTTTTCCGGCATTTTTTTTCAATGGGAAGGAACAGTGGCAGTTAAATGATTTTTTCATGAGAGGAGAGGGGATAAAGATAATTTTCAAAGACTAAAGGACTATTATTGTTTACATAATATATAAAATATAATACTATACATATTTTAAACAAAATATCAGGTAATGGGGACAATAGATCCTCCTCATCTCCCGTTTGACCGTCCCCGATAAAAGGGAGGGCTAAATATATTAAATTAAATTAATTTCTATTATAAATGTGAGCAAAATATATCTTTACTTTTATTATAAAATGCCTTTTTCTTGAGGTTATTTTTCAAAATACATAATTTTGTACGATGCATAGTATCTGCAGCTACGTAATAACTGTTGTATAACAATATACGTTTATAGGTACAGTGCAAATTTACAATGATTATTTGGTCTAGTTATCAGAACTAAGTTTTTACTACCGAGTATTTTATATAATTTTTTTGTACTTTTAAAATAGCCAATGGTGGAGCTAAAGTCCCATAGTTTCTCTGTCTGAGTAAAACACCACTGTTTTCCTATTACTTGTTCGGTGAATTTTTTCGCGAAAACGATCAAAAGAACCAAAATACATGATTTGCATGAACAGTCTACTTATTCTACTCATTGTGATACCTACCTTCTTGTTTTATTTTATTTTAGTTTTTAAGTCGCAACAGATAAGCAAAAGTCCGTTGAAGAAACAATGTATCATTTTTCTTCTAGTTTCGAAGGTTATTTTCGATTAAAGCCCCAGAAGAGGTATCATTGGATTATTTGAGGTTATTTTCAATGGTTTTTTTTCTTATCAGACATATATACGAGGAAAGATCCAACCCCATCTCCTCTCGGTTATTATATTATACAGATCGCAGAGATCGTGACTAACATTCGTAATAACCGTTTGCACGGCCGGCTGAATTGGAGTTAATTTTGTTGACGCACATGTTTAGAATAAACACCCAATGTACACATATGAATTATTATTATTATATACGCCCAGAAGGGGAGGGGATATACATATTTCAGGTTATCAAAGAGAAAATTTTTGAATGTTTCCCTCTCGTATGCCGAACAATCAATTCGTATAACAAATACCTACCGGTACAATTTCTCACCTCACTTTATACCACCTGTAATATTAATCCATATTATATTATACGAAGCCCGAAAATTTAATAGGACTCAAAACCTTCATTTTTTTGTTTCAATCCAGCTAAAACAGTATCAAAAAAAAGCACTAACGTGGCCTGAGCATAATTTACTTAATTTTCATTTTAGATTAAAAGCACCTATATTATACAAAATTAAAATACAAATGATCAAAGCGTGTTCTACTTGGGCCGTGCAAATATGATTTAAAATTGTTTTTGCTATACGTAGGCCGTTAGTTGAATCAGATATCGCACGTTTTGCCTGTGTAGAATCCTTTAAAAACGAAAATCAGTTACACAGTCGTCGTCGATATGTTTCTACGGCTGATAAAAATGACAAATAACAACACAGATATTTTTCACTATTTTTTTTTTTTTTTTCTACGAAAACGAGGAGAAATTTAAAATTAAGTATCAATCCAATATTATATAGACAGATAGATATTGTTTTATCGAATAAAATAATTTCAATAACCTTATAATCTACAAGGAACAAAATAATAATGTATCTATAATGTACGTTTTACGTCATTCAGTAACGTATACTCAAGAGGGGCCGTGAGAACATGTTTTAGTGAATGTTTCACTGCATGTCCACTGCACTTCCGTTAAAAATCTCCACGGGCAGATAGACCAAACTTTTAGACTTACCCCAGTTACCCCTCTTTCCATCAATGAAAGTATTCCCTAGGAAATATAATAATGCGTTGTTAGAAAGTCTACTATCTCAATCATTTACGATTTATATTCTAACGGACAAGCGCCATTTTATTTTATACTGTATGTTCATTTGGACACATAAAACCTCCATAAAAATGACTTTGGGGCCCATTGACCGTGTTAAAATTTAAAAAAACGAACATACAACATAAACTATTCAACCTTCCAAACGTATTGCTAATAATAAAATAATAATCGTTGCACATTTACATTACTTACTCAATTATGTATTTTAAATACTTACACAAATAATTACACCTACAACTAAAAATTATGTATTTTGCAAACAATAATCTCAAGATAAAGGCTTTGAATAACATAGATGTAGACATATATTTTACTTACGTTATTAGTTATTAGACAAAATTTCCATTTAGGTACTATTATAGGTATACGTTGAAAAATCCCCCTCGAAAAATCGTGGGTAGGTACCTACATACAGGTGCAGTGCGATCATTTAAATTCGAGACTATACTACTATTATGGTTGAAAATGTACTAGGCACGAGTATGGTAATAAGTTCAATGTTTTATTATTGTTGGAACATGTTTGGAAGTGATTGCGAACAGACAGTCGCGCGTCGATAAAAATCAAAAACTTGAGTCCCTCGACTACCTTTAATACTTAAAAGCATATATGATATCTCTTGATGTGACCAACGATACAGCATTATTTTATCTATCTTCGTAATATAATTTTATGTATATACAATCAATAAATTATAATATTTTCCTATTGTTATTAATATTATGATAAACAAAATGTACCAACCGTGTAAAAATATCCATTTATGTATCTAATACCCATTATATACTAAAAATAAAATGGGTTCTTATACCTATCATGTATGTATTTATATTAAATTATAATATATGTATGTATACATTTTAATAAAACGACGTTTTCGAACAGTTTTACGATTTGTTTCTCTCGCCTCCCCGATAAATAAGACGAGAAAATCCCTCCACTTTTTCACCGAAAAGAGAAGTTATTGAGACACAGTGCGTACAATGTCGTTTTATGTACTTATTTATTGTACAAGATTTTGTACATTAAGACATTATCTTTTTCCACACGACCTAATAATATTATATAATAAAGTATTCGAATAAAAAGTATTTCGATACTATTCAAGATACTTCAGAAAAAATATATTCGAATTCGTATTCTGAATTTCTGAATACGTGTTTTTGTATTTTTATTTTTATATTGGGAGAGGTACTTTTTTCAAATAAAAAAAAAAGTGAATGAGCTATTATTTTGTTTGAATGTACAATATTTGATTCTACAAAATTCGTGTTACTTCAGATAAAAAAAAAAAAATATACGGTGAATTAAATGTTATACGATTAAGAGGCCGCCACACCGACATCTACTGTTTCTGTCTTACAAACGCGAGACAACATAATAAATATCAATTATTAATATAACTATAATGATTAATTATTTTAATCAAAATAATAACAAAACGCCAACTAAAAAATGGTTGCGAATTCGAACATACGGGACGTACATTAATTTAGTACATTATTATACACTGTAGCATGCAACGATTAATCGTTACAAACTAAAAAACGATTTTAGTGGGATCATACAAGTCATGTATTTTCCCTCGTCGCCAATAAGGTAACCCAAAAATCAACAAAAATAAAACGACAAAAAAAAGAACCTAGGAGATGACTGCTATAAATGTCGAACAAATATTAAAATAAATTATCGCCTACATCTTTTACATATGACAGGAACAATTCCGAACATTTTTACTAACAGTAAAAATTTTTTCCGTGAAAAAAAACTAGCTCAACAATAGCCAAACGTTTTAAAAATGTTACCACGTCTAGAAAAATTCAATATAAATCGTTTGTGAAAATTTCAAAACGCTACGAATATTTTTAAACGAAGAACAGGAAAAAAACATTGAAAACAATGAAATTGTTATTTCCGTGAACTTTCCCGCTCTTTCTACGTTTTTTTTCTCGATTTTGTCCAACAGTTGAGAAAATTTCGCGGAAAATCGAAAAACGACTTTCTTGATTCCCAACTGAATCGCGGTCAAAGCGAATGGATTATTGAATTTACAATATAGCGACATCCCGTGAAAAAATGCGAATTAACGCCTCTGCATAAATGATAACCACCGATCACGAAAACGAACGAGTTTTCAAAATGCGGCGGCCGGCTTATCAGTGATAAAGTTTTATCACTGCAGCCATATCACGACAACAACGATAATAATATTGTTATCATCATTTTTGCATCACCGACGTTCGTAATTGTCGTCAAACGGCTTCGATTCGCGAAAAAAAAAACGCCGAACTTACGACACGGGCTCGTCCGCGAGCGTGCGCTAACAATAATAATATTCGGAAAAGACTTTTTCACCAAGACATGGCCGATTACAGAGAATTCGACTTTCCGCCCGAACTGTGCTGTTCGCCCAGCCCGCTAATCGCTGTCGCCGGCTTGGACACGGTCAATAACGCCGTGCACAGGTCCATTTGGGACGCTTTCCACAGCCCCGTCGGTCGCGAGAGCAGAGCCGTTTTGAATTTCTTCCACCTGACGTCCGAGTACAGGTTTCCGGCCACTAGCGAGAAGGTTAGTGGGTAGTTAGATGACCTCGTATATAACGCGGTGTACGCATAATTATATTGCATTTTTTTTTCTCTGGTCATTGTTTTCCTCAGCGGGTCATGCCTTACATCCCGAAGGGTGTGCTAAAAAAAAATTGGATAGAAAAGCACTTGCGTTATGATCCCGCCGTTGTAGTCATATTCTACGACTGTGATTGGGACGACGAATCGTGGACGGAAAAGATCAGCGAGTGCTCTTCGAGAGTGCAGTCAATCAGGTAATCGGTTAACGTTTCGTATCGTCGATTGGTTTTTCTATGCTCGCGACGATATCGTTTGAGTTATAATACCGTAGTGCCCAGCGTTAGATAATATTGTAATATTTATGCGAATGATTTTACAGGTTATCTCTGGAAGGAAGAAAATCAAGAATCGTTGTAGTTTTGATTCAAAAACGAATGCCTATTCCGACTGTGGATGACGCCGTTACAAACGTCAGGGCCGCATCATTGTGCGAAGCATGTACCCTGAACCCAAAAGCGTTATTTATGCTTCCAGTGGTGGACAATATACACGGCTATGCTATTAGGTAATGTGCCTAGATTCAATTGTATACTTTAGATACAATTCTAAAAGTGTTGATGATTGACTTGTTATAGGCTAGAAAATGCATTTTATGATTTGGCGCAAAATTACTACCAACAGCAAATTAGAGCAGTGAAATTGAAATTAGAAAATCTCAGTAAAACTAGTCATCAATATCTGATTGTCAGGTACACGTTCAAAATTGGATTTTACAACGAGCTCAAACAAGATCATCACAATGCTCATAAGTTAGTATAACATTTTTTTTAAATTTTAAATTCGTACATTTTAATTTATTATGTCGAATATTGTAATTTTCACATTTAGGCACTATCATCAGTGTTACATGTCTTTGCTAGAAATACGAACTTTTGACACAAACATATATGAAGTGAAGGTTATAGCAGCTTACATTGTGTACAAAATAAGTAGATTATTGTTTGCCATGAAGAGAGCTCGAGACGCACTCACGCAATTTAATTCTTATATAAATGAATTTAAACTGAAGACAGGGCCCCCAGAATTGTTGTTTGAACACTACGGTTGGTTGTCGAAACAGTAAGTTTTTTTTATACCTACAACTTGTTTCCGAGTTTTGGGCAGTAAAAATAATATTTTTCCAACAGATTTTCTATGTTTGCTTCACTGTTCGATGATACTACAGCAGAAAGTTTTACTGCAACTCAGGCATTGAATCCAGGATTTTTTTTCAAAGAAGCTGCCGAATATGCGAAAAAAAGAAAGATTAGCGCTTATGAAATTTGTCAGGTTAGGTCTTAATATAAAATATTATTGTGAATCAATATTACAATTTTTAAAAACAACTATGGGGCATTATTTTATTCTTAATCAATATTTTTTTTCTCGACAAAAACCTAAAAAATGAGCTAGAAATTACATTTAAAAATGAATTCATTTTTTTCTTTTTAAAGTATAATATTTCGTATAAACTTTATTAATATTAATTGTGAGTCAGAAAATTTTGTCCCAGTAAATAAGTGTTAAACTATCTAGGTTTTGAGCATGTGATAAATTTATTGGTTTTAATGTGTGATTATTTTTTTTTTTGTATGTAAACAACTATTATTTTGCTCTGTTTATTATGTGTATTTTGTCTACTTGGTGCATTAGGAAATAAATTGGGGAAATGGATGCAATAACAGTTTCTGATATTTTCTTTTTTGTACTTTGGTTAAAAATATTTTTATAGATCTGGCATTTGTATTAAATACATTTATTGGCCTTTTTTTAAAATATAATATCATTTTTAAAACATTTTGATTTTTTATATAAACAAAATTATTTTAGCCCAGTACAAATTTTCGAAAATTTGTCACATCATAGGAGTAAAATAAAAATGTTGAGTATAATGTAGTTTTTTTTATAAGTATTTAAAGTTCAGATTTTGATCAAAATCTCAAAATATATAGCATTTCACATAGTATTTTCCAATTGTTGTAAATAAAATTGATTTGCCTATCAAAAGTTCTATATGAAAAACAATAAAATTGTAATTTATTTTGATTTAAATTAATACAATTTTCAATTTACATTTATCAAAATATGTTCAATTGAACTTTTTTGCTCAATATGATTGTTTTTTTGTGGTAATTTATTATTGAATACAGATGTAAACTAACTTATGTTTTATATCCTAACTTTCCAGATTTATCTTATTAGATAATGAACCATGTAATTTAATATTAGAATTTGTAACTGTATAAATAATCCAAATGTATAAATGTTATCATTTAAAAATACTAGTTTTTCTACCAAATGCAGTGACAGTCTTTAACCACTGCAAGAATAAATCAAAATAAATTCCATTATATTTTTATGTTACAAGATCAAAATGAATTTCAAATCTGTTCTATTGGGTATTTAGTTTTATTTAATTACTGCCAATTTTCAGTTTGTTTCATTCAACACCCCAGCTTTGGTTTAGTTTGAAAATCAAACAGTTTGTAACATTATTAACTTGCAAAAATGCTTACTGTTAAAAAGTCTCAAATGTATTGAAAATTAAAATATCGGTGATGTTGCATATAATTTTTAACAGATTAATTTGTATGCCATTAGGGTGTCAATGTTTACCCGGCTAGTAATCCATTAAGTGAATGGAACAATATAGAATTCTATGGTCAACGACCTTGGCGACTAATGAAAACTCTGAGTAATGTAGACTATGACACTGTTGAAGCAGACGGTATTCAAGCTTTACGGTATTTCGAAAATACCAAAGTCGATCATTCGGTATGTACACATAGTTTAAAATAATGAAAATAAATAATTAAATACTATATTTTATCATTTAATGTCTACATTAAACATTGTTTTTTTTTTTTTTTTTAGAAATCAATCATCAATCTTTTAGGAAATGCAATGAAACAGTTCAAAAATTACAAATGTCCTAGAATGAGAAATTTGTTGGGTACTTATATTTTTATGAACTATTGTTAAAATATTATTCAAACCTTTTTTTCAGCTGTACAGATGGCTGACGAGTATTACAATGCAAAAGATTACAGTAAAGCTCTAACGTTAGTATTAGCAAATAAATTATATACAGCTGACAAATTATAATTTTAATTCCATATGAAATAGATTGTGGAGTCACATGTTATGGGATTATCGAGACGAAGGCTGGATAGCAATTGCCTACGAGTTAGTAAATAAATGTCTGAAATGTGCTTATTTAACAGCGAGTGTTCAGAATTATGTGGAATTAAATCTAGAGGCCCTAAAATATTACCAAAATTCTGATCTACAAAAAGCTTTAAATAATATTGGTGCAATCATACAAGTGAATAATAAAATTATTCTACAATAAGAATAATATGACATTTAATAATAACATTTTTATTAACTTTCAATATAACCTAACCATTTAGTAAAATAATTAACCGTGGGTTTTAGAGACAAATTCCAGAACCTGATAAAGAACTGAGCGACTATGAGAAAAATATTGCCACAGAAATGTGGCAAAAATGTGATGCTATGAAACCAAAATCTATTTTAGAAGTTGACATGTCAGTGACAAATTCTACAGTGGACACAAAAGTCGTTTTGAAAGAAGTCTCGTGTGACGGCATTGAATTTGATATATTTTTGAAGTATTTGTATTTTCATTGTTTTATTATGGGTACAATTAATCATTGCAATATTGAGTTTCAACTTTTACAGGGCAAATTTTCCTGTGTTTGTACAGTTTTATAAACTTACAGCTTGTGTTACTTGTATTGATAATTCATACGATGTTGAAGTTTGCACTAATAAAAATGAACTTGTTTATGGAAAATCAAAAACATATAAATATACTTGTAAATTTGTACCCTCACCAAATGACGTTGGGAAAGAAATCACTGTAAGTGTATAAACTGTAACTTAATAGTTATTGCTAAAATATTCATTGATAATATTATTTAGTTTTTTAAACTGCTGCTAAATATTTATTTAGCATCATTTTAATATGAATATTATGAAAATAGTATTCACTATTTTCAATTTTTTTCCTCTTTTAGGTAAATTCTATTCAACTCCAATTAGGAAATGAGCCTGAATTTCCGATAGTATTAAAATTTTATTGTTCTACTAAAAAAACCAAAAATTTCGAAAGAGAAATTAATAATTTCAGGTATTATAAAATAGCATTGTTTTTGTATAAATGAATACACATTGCATAAATATTATTTTTATTTCAAGTTTGTCTAAGACTTCTGATGACGAATACGATCGATTGAAACAAATTACGTCTGCTACTCTAAAGCCAAGAAGTTCGAAGCTTGGTATGGAAATCAAACACGATAATCCGGCATTACTGTTAGAATGGTATAAAGTGTCTGTGTGTTTGACTAATTTAGAGAATCAACCTGTTAGCGACGTTTGTTTAAATCTGTCACTAGATCGCAGCAACAATGAAAAAGTTGAACTCACAAGTAAGTGCTTAAAATAAAATTATATAAATCCATGGGAATGTTATTATAATCATACATATTTGTAAAAATACGATATTTACAGCTGAAATATGTGAGGATACAAACTCAAATTTATTATCATTACCAGTTGATTTCAAATTGGACAGAATGCTCGTCGGAGAACAAAAAACCCAATATTTTTATATTCGTTCTTCAAGTTTGGAAACCAGATGTTTTCAGCTTATGGTTAGAAAAATATTACTTTATATATACAAATATTTACTTACTATATACTTTCATTAATCTTCAACCTTATTTTCTTGACATTTAAGAATGTTTAGTGTTTACTGAATAGGTTAATTAGTTATAACCGTTATAATACTGGTCATTGTTCCAGATAAGTTATATGATGAAAGATGATAATGAAACAATGATTGCTTGTGTGAAAGATGTTGAAATTGTGATTGACGTGGTAGTTGTTTTCGATATATCCGTAACTTATATGTCTTCCAAGTTTGAACCTGTAACAAAGGTGTATATGGGCGAACCATTAATAGTGATGCCAAGCATAAAATGTCTTTCACCATGGCCAATATTTATTGAGAATACATCTTTTCAATTGGTAATATTTAATGGGGTGAAAAATTAAATTCAAATATAATTTTCCATTTGTTTTTTATTTATATTTTAGGCTGAACACGTGTCTGTTTCTTCTGGAGGTTATCAATCTGTACTAAATGAAGTGGTTTTAGAATCTGATGAAGTTGCTACTGAAGTAATTTGTATACTTCCTTCTGAACTCAGTGAAAACTCTTTAGGACGTTTCACCGTAAACTGGAAAAGGTGTGTTAAATAATCACTTAACATGAATTGTTTATACTTGTGCGTCTTGTAAAGTGCAATGCATATTTCAATTACTGTGTGTTAATAATATTATAATTGCAGTAAATAGATATTTTTATATTATTGCAGGTCCAATTTGGAAAGTAAATCCAATAGCGGTTATTCCAGTTTAGAGTTACCTAAATTAGCTATTGAAAAATCTACATTCCTGGTGGGTGTACTAAACAAATACATATGTTTTTATTCTCACATAAATGACTAATAGATTTTATTTTCAGGTGGATATGAAAATACCTGCCCATGGATGGCTACATACGCCAATGAGTGTTGTGTACTTATTGCACAATAACTCTGAATCTCTTTTGACATTAGACGTTTCAATGGAAGCTAATGAAGCATTTATGATGGCAGGACACAAAGACGTATGTGTACAAAATGATAACATTGCAGTTTTAACTGTAGTATTCATTGAATATTTTCCTATGGTTATATTATTATAGTTAAACGTCACAGTTCTGCCAGAAAGTACATACGAGCTACATTACAATCTCTATCCACTTGTTGTTGGGGTGTCTACATTACCAAAAATGCATATTAGCTGTACTTCCGAACCTAACGATTTCAAAAATATACTTAACGATATGCTAGTCAGATCTTTGCAAACACAAATTTATATAATGGTGAGTAATAGTATTCCCAAAGAGAAGAATACTAAATATTATTAATTTGTAATAGTATTAATGTAATCTATGTTGATTTAAAATTTCAGCCTAAACATGTACCAACGAATATTGCTGCGGACGTTTAGAAATGATGTGTATGGTTATTTTTTAACTTTAGTTTTTTTACTTTTGTTCTTACAAAATTGTTCATTTTTTTTCAACTACAATTGATTTGTTATAATTTATATTTATATAAACTCACAATTTATTTATTACACTGAAATGTTTAATTATTACTTTTTTTTTTATTTTATTAGTAATTCAAATATTTTATTTATTATATATATATTTATTTATTTATTTTAGTAATTGCAGCTGTTCATTATATTTTAAAAATGAATTCATTTTGACATTTTTAAATGTGTTTTTTGAAGAAAAAATGATATTTAAATAGTCAATACTAATTAATATTTAATAGGTATAATATAAGACATCAAGTACAGTAGATTTTAAAGTTGTCATTAGTACCCAGCCATCATTTAATTTCCCAATACCCAGTACCTGGCTGGTTTAAAAAAATACATAGTTGAGTATTTAAATTTTAATAAAAATGCAAAGCTATGTACGGTCTCATGTGTTCTACTAAAAATAAATAGTATACGATTAAATATATATATAATCCAAAATACTATTTCGCATTCACTATCAAGTATACATTTTTTAGTTAACGTATTTGAAAATAACATTTCTATTAACAATATTTATTTATTTTTATTTAATAGGTTTTTATAATAATATTATGATCAAATCAATGTGTGTGCTACCTTGATTCCTAAATTTAAATTTAATTAGATAAGTGGTGAAATAAAAAAAAAAAAAACTATTATACAATTGCAACTAACAACAATTCTTTAAAGTACAAACGTCAAGTTCTCAAGAAACAAATCGATCGTCGACATCGTCCGGTATCTATTACAGTACTGTTGTAACGTGCTCAATGTAGGCGAACGGCCGAGTGTGCGGATTCGTGAGATACTTACACCCAACACTGACAATCGCAATAAAAGCACGAGTCCAATAATATTTCATGTACTTACTCTCGTATCGGTGCTTTTGTTTCGACATTTTACTCGTATCGGCATTTCAATTCGATTCGACACCGAGTAACAGTACTCGGTACATTTCTTTCGATAACGCGTCCCCGGCCGGTTTCCGTTACAACAAAACGGCGCGATACGGTGTCGTAACGGTGCCGACGCTGGATAAAGGTACGGTTTCCTATCGGCGAGTGGCCGCCGCGTACAGACTAGTCGTACTGCCGAACTGCATTTACGCCGCGAACGCGGTTTTCCAACGTGCGGTCGCGGTCGCGTTCGCGTCAAAAAAAAAACAGCGGTTGCGACTCGCGACTGTACCGATCCGATGGCGCTATTGTCGCGCGCGTGCGGTAATCGGCATTTCATTCAAACGCTTATTTAACTCGATAATAATTGAAAATGTCGAAACGTGTAACGTCAAGACGTTTGCCGGACGAAGACGAAATTTCAGTTGTTGGAGTGGAGAAGGGCCGCGCGATGTATGCCAAGTCCTCTCGAACAACACAAAGAGACTATGGTCACACGAGTAAACGCTGGAACAATAGTTCGGCTGCAGTTGGAAAATCACGCGAGTGTCTGTGGGATTAATATTCATTAGAACGTTGCGTTCTAATAGTTAGGCCAAAGCTCGGTATACATGCAGTGAATAAACGTTTTAATTTGTTCCCTAGCTGTGGATTGCGAAAATCGATGGCGGAATATACGACGATACCTACGCGAGGCACAAAAAAAAAAAAAAATCTTGGATGTGGATCTCCGGCAATATTGTCAGAAAAAAAAATTTCAAAAAAAACCTTCGTCTTCTCGAGTTGTAAAATAATTGCCTATCGATTTTCTTTCATTTATGTCTAATGGATTATACATTTCATCTTCTTCGACCTCCCCCTCTAATTGAAGACTTTTTATCAATTTTATTGTTATTAATAATAATTTCCTCCGTCACAGTTCGTACGGTTTGCGGGTACAACAAAAATGATTAACACAAAAAGTTATAAACTAAACACGTCTGCGCACTACTGAATGTCGGAACGAAACGAATTGTTCTACACCGGCCGGCAGTCCCAAAGTAACGTCGCGCACACAGGGAACCGGTCGGCACGCAGCGTGCGGTAACGCGACCAGTCGCACATAGGAAACCGTACCTTGACGGTGCGGACAAGGTTTTCGAATTGTTCGAAATGATTAAACTCGGACTCGAGTCGAAACACAAGTCCAATAAAATGTCAGCAACGTCGTCTTCACGATTATTGTGCTTGTCCGAACAATTATGCGGAGGTGGCCAAAAGTCGCGCGACGCCTACCGTCGTCTTGTGTGGAACGCGCGTTACTACGGCGCAGTTTCTCCCTCCGCGTCGTTTCCGTTACGTCGTATTGCAACTTTGGTCTCGTTATCTTGTTGTACGTAACAACAACGGCAAGGTTTATAGGAAAAAAAACAAAAAACGACACGTTTAACATGAAACAACACGACAGTTTCATAAAAACTGTGTTGCGAATTCGTTGCGCGACTTTTGGCCACCGCCGCATTAACCGTCGAGAACGTTCCGAGTTCAATTCGATTTCACAAACTAACACAAGTCCGCGTAAAATTAAACGTGCGACTGTGTGAACGCGCCCGGTACGTACCGCGGTGGACTCGCCGTCCGATTCGACGGCGATTCGAGCGGCGTTTTCGTAATACACGCTCGGGATTCCCAAATGGAAAAATAAGACGGTTGAATTATGGCGTATTCGCCATAATCGTCTTTCTTTACTGACTAAAAATTTAAAAAAAAAAAAACCGTTCGTTTCGTTTTAATTACCTGCTCGTTACTTATTCTGTTGTTTATTTCAATTTATCCTCGGGAGGGTGGGGGGTGGTATACGCTATTATATTCCAATAGCATACCTTAATAAAATAGCCTAATCAACTAGTAACTAGGACGATTGATATTTGTTTGTATCGTTGTCGATTTATTCGTGACGTAGTCGTTTTGTTTTTTACTCCGCGCTTGTCGATAATACAGACGCTGTTCGTTTAACGCGGACCGCCATCATTGCCGCCGGAAGATATTTTTTTATTTTGTCGTCGTCCTCGTGTACCCAGATAGTAATTACACCGTGCCCAAATAATCGCGTACAATATAATTGCTATTGAATTACGTGATAATGGAATAAAACGTAATAACGCCCCCAAATTATTACTTACACAATATTTCTGTTACTTTCAATATTTTATTTACTCGTTGTATTACTACAGTATTGTACCTGCTATAACGGTGTTACACGTGTCCACACGCCACCCGCTGATGAACACGTGCGAGCCCACATTAAATATTAGTTGATACGCGTGTAACCGAACACCTACGTCTGACATAGATAGATCTGAGTAATAGAATGCTGTACTGTAACACCTTGTAGCCCTCAGTTTTGATAGCCGGCACACGCCGGTCGTATCTATTCAAATTTTTATGAGGATGTTTTGAAAATGTCCTATATATATATATATATATAAAAACTTGTATAATTTGTTGTGTTGGCTGTCAACAAATTAATTAATGGGTCCATGGATTTAATTCCAGTGACGACAGTGAACTGTAGGTATCTATGATGCAGACTTTTTGTATGAATGTGGCATAGGAAATTCCAAAATGTAACTGTAGTACAGAAAAGCAGACTGTTAACAATATCGCTTTTGAATGACAAATCTGCTCCCACAAGAAACCCAAAACTGACTATAGCCAGTAAGGCTATTTGGGTAGAAGTAGTAAACTTCTACTATCAGTCGTTGATGTAGGGGTGGCAATATAGCATTCCTTTGCTTTTTATAATTAACATTTCCATCCCTCCAATTATTTTGTCTAAAATAATAAATCTCGGCACTGATTATGATATTCCTGTAGGTTTGGTTATGAAATTATGTATTACTCTGTCTTTTATTATGACACTTTTTTTTTTTTATTATTATCAATGGTATTATGTAATATATAAAATATAAAAAATGTATTGAATAAAAATAAATTATGTAAGAATTAAATATTTATAATTTAGAAAACTCATTAAAATAAAATTCAAAACTGTTCACAAATAATATAATTAATCAAACATTAGAAATATCACAAATAATAAAAATGGAATAATAAACTTATGAAACAAACTCTAATAGTATGACTTATAACAACATTATTACAGTGATGCTAATCTTTACCAAATGAAATGGCTTGCTCGGGTTGATCAACCCGGATCAATGTTTTGGCCACATTCAAATAGGCGGTGTACTTGATAGTGGCCGGTTCCGTATCATAATGATAATGTCCACCTAGGCCATGTTGGCTGAATAAATGAAAATGCTGTGGCCTTAAATCCAAATTCTGAAAGGCAGAAAACAAATAACTAGATTATTTGTATGTTGTATATATTAAGCAAATAAACATAATAATAAATGCAATTTTAATATACGGGAGGTTCAATTAAAATAAGCTAGAAGAAAATTAACTTCAAAAACAAATTATTACAAATAATAAAAAAGACATTAATACTTCACATGATGGGTGGGCCACTGTTGTAGGTATTTCATTGGGAAGGAAGGATTTAGCGGGGAATTTAATATATATCTGAATGAAATGATTAATCGTTGCTAACAAAAAAACGATTCTAAACAGAGTTTGGTTATACATGTTTTGAAAGATCATAATATTTACATTTTAAAAAAATATGATACTAAAATTCTTATGGAAAAAAAATTCTACATTACACTAACTGAATCACAACAAAAAACAAAATTTAAATTAGACAATTTTCCTGTTTTCTATGTTCCCCCCTTCCTAATTTTGCTCAGTTATTATAAAAATCCCTCGGAAAATCGAAACAAATACCCAAATAAAGTTAGGACCCAGATAAAATTTCCTTTCAGAAAGTGTACTACACTTGAAAATCTGAGCAATATGTCTGGTATCTACTTACTGGTAACTTATCTAAGTTGTTTACAGGTTAAAAAAAAAAAATAATAATAATAAAACATCATCGTAAAACTAATACATTCCTCATTTCGCTCAGAATCTAAAAGAGCTGATACCACCATTGTAGGTAGAAAATTTTGAAGTCATAGTAAATCTTACTCCAATCAAAAAAATACGAGAGACCTTTTTAGTTAATTTGTAGATCTAGTTGGTTAAATATATAGGCTATCATTTTTTGATTTCCCTTTTATTTTTTAATAATTAAGAAAAATAGGAAAATGTATAGTTTCATTATATTTTATTTTTATCATAATTCAGTAAAAAATTCTTGTATATATCTGAAATATTTACAGAATACTTATTCTAATCTTATTGATGTAATACAATGTTCAAAACATTCAAGCAGCTTTTGAATTATATTGAGGCATTTTAAATATTTGTATCATGGGATTTTGCATAAAGTGATATGTCACAATATAGTTGTGTATGAAGATAAAGTAATTATCCAAATTTGTATTTTCATTTTTTTTTTTTTTTTTTTTTNAAAACAAAATTTAAATTAGACAATTTTCCTGTTTTCTATGTTCCCCCCTTCCTAATTTTGCTCAGTTATTATAAAAATATTTTTTGATAAAAATTGTAATTTTAATATTAATATAAATGTATATTCATATATTTATAGAATAATATACCGTTTTAAGGTATGTGTTAAGCTTGACCAAGTGAAAAAACTTTACACACCTTATTTTTTTTATGTATTAGAACACATTTTAGGGGTGTAACCTAAAAAATTTTACTTCTATTACTAAGGACCACAATATGATATTTATAACAATGCCATAACAAGGACTGTGAATATCTGATAAACCTGTTAAAGATGTTGTTTAATATTCAATGTTGAAACTTTTGCTTTATATTTTTTTATATTAGTGATTGTTTAGAAACCTACAATATTATGGTTTGTTAAACCCTGTGAATATATAAAGCAAACAATTTGTTTTATATCTAAGTGGTATTAAATTATTATAGCTACAAATAAAGTTTTTGTAAAAACAAAATTTTATAAAAACGATTTTCTTAATATTATTCTCTATTATTTACTCTTTTTTTTTTTTTGTTTTTGTTTATGCAAAGTAAATTTTGAAATTTATAGTCCCAGTCATGATAATTATGATCTATAAAATTAATGTCTATATACCGGATCGCTGGAGACCAGATAGCCTAGACCCACCAACGGCGTGGTTACATTGTAAAACTTGAGCCATTTGTTCAGCTCAGATTCAGTGTTTATGGGCGTTTTTGAAAAATCACGCATGACGTGGACATTCACTGTACCGTTTTCAATTAAAATCACTCCTCCCAAACCTGAAACAATAAAAATTACAATACGATATACATTAGGTATTAAGTAATATATTGCTATAATAATGATGATGAAAGTACTAGGCAGTTGCAGTGCTTGAATTGAAAAGGACTGAATACCCCAGCCATTTTTTTCAGAAATTATAGCGTATCCCTGCCCTATTAATTACCCCCCCGAGTTAAGTTGAACACAATCATTGTAATGGCTAATTTTTTTAAATATTCTTGTCTCCTTCCATTTATTTTTTCAACTTGAGCACTGTATAGGTGTATAATATATGACGAATGACTTACCTACCGGGTCGGTACCGAAACGTTTGGCCAACGCTTGTCTGACGGACGTCACAAAATCTAATGGTCCTTTGCGCGACTCGCACACTATTCTTAAAACCTGCAGAGTAGAAAAATGTCAGATACCAGCTATTAATTTGAACAAACCGTCGGTCGGCTCGCCGCCAGTCCATTTCAAAACAAAATAGATGTTTTACTATGATTAATAGATGATATACTATATAAAAGTGGTAGAAAAAATCAGTTATAACGAAAGTTCGATAGTTCGAATTTTCGGAATCCGAAATCTAAAATCTAAGTAAAATTGTATGTACCAAAAATGTAGGTATTTAAAATATATACTTGCTAATATAGCTAATATACTAATATAGGTACTAATGTAGCTTAAATACTATAATAGATTTAAAAAAAACCAAACTATGAAATCCAAAAATTTGAATTTTCGTCATTTGTTCGAAATCCATATTTTCGAATTTTATTGTCTGAAATCAGGATTTTTCGTTTTTTCAGACAATCTGGATTTACGTAACATCACTATATTATAGATATTATTGAACACGGTTCCGTGATATTTTCATATTTATTTACTTCTCCCCCGAAGCCGTTACAAGTGTAGAAATTGGCTAACAGCGCGAATCTCGTTTCGTTACGGGGTAAGTTTTCGTGCACTTGGTCTTCAGTCGTCTGCCGGTCGACGCGGTAAACGTGAGAACTGTTATTGACGTGGTTGCACGATATCTGTACGTTTCCGACAAACTGCAAAAAAAAAAATGAAGTTATTTTGTTAACGGGTGTGTCACTGTTGAAAATGTGAAGGTAGGAAACATAAAGCTATTTTATATATATCTGCACGAAATGGTAAATCATTGCTAATGAAAAACAAATTTGAGTAAAGTTCGATTAAACATTATCATAGACACTAATTTCCAGAAATCAAATAATATAATATTTTAGTGACTATATGATATTGATAAGGTGTATGTTTCTTAAAAATACTATAAATTGAGCTGGACACGTTTGACGCAGCCGAAATCCGTTCGTACAACGAGCGTGGTTCGCGTGGTTTATGCGTGAAAAAGACTGTTTGGAAAATCGCGGCGTATACGATAGAGAACAAGGGACGATTATAAGCATAAAATATTACATAAATTGGATTGGGAACGCCGGAAGAACGGTTACAATATGGTCCTAAACCGTTCTGTTTAGCGGCCGAATATTATTGACTTTAATGAGTCTGAAAATACATAGGGCTCGAGCCCAATAAGATTTTAAAGCTTTAAAGGTTCCCAAATTTGTTTGTTTCGTAAATCACGAGCCGATTTTTCCTATACCTTCTATTGATATATTTTTACGTTTTTCAAACGTGCTTTTGAAAGCTGACGCTGAGAATCACCTTAATAGAGTTATACTGTGGAAAGAATATTATTTTTACATTTGCTTATATTCGTACCTTTATTAATTCAATTTAAATTATTTATTAAATTCGTTTAATTATTAAAATGACAGAAAATCCAAATTAAATAATATAACTTTCTTACATAAATCAAAATTTTTAAACATAGATATAAGCCTGGTGTTTTATTGAGAAAAAAAATTGTGATATTTGACTACAAGTTATTCAGGTTTAACCTTAAATCTTCTCTACCAATGATTTCCAATCTGTTTCTTCTTGGTAAAATTGGTAACTGTACTTGGAATTCTTTTTTCATGGTATATGAAAAAGAAAAAGCTAACTATCAAAAACTTTCTTGCGATAGTCCATAATCCAGAAATAATACTTATAACAGGCGTTTCTCTGAAGCTTAAACTATTATTGATTCATATTTACATTTCATACACCCCGGTTTTTTTTTCGCTCACACGAACCCCTTGCAAGTCAACAAATCAGAGTCGATCCCTGATGGTCGATATAGACAACTTTAGAAACTTTTTATTTTAGAGTAAACAAATATGATAAGTCAACGTATTAATTCACGGCTTGAGATGGCTCAGGGTGGACTAAGCCCTCGAACGCCCTTCCTATTATACCGATTATCTATAGTAAAAATAATAAAACTAAGAACATTAGTAATCCTATATATATATATACATATACCTTATCTATACGTCTGCACTACTATACTTACTTCACAGTTGACGCCAATGTGTGGCCACGGGCCGGCGCCAGCTCCGACCGCGAACATAGGATCAGATCCGGTGACTCGTTTTAGATCTCCCATGTCGTACAACTTGTTCCGATCGACCAGAGGCAGCAGATACGAAGGACTGCCGACGTCGATCACGGTCTCGTCGCCGCTTAATCCTATATTCATAATAGATAATAGTAAGGACCAATATAAAATCATTTGCTACCCATACGTACACAACACATATTCAAAAAATCCAAACTTAACGAACTTATGCAGACGGAATATTTCTATTATATAAATCACTAGTATTACCTTCTTGTTATTTGGTTTTACTATGTGTGCTTATTTTTTTTTTTTTAAATGTTTTATATTTACTATCTGTAAACAGCTTTTCTACCAGAAATCTTACTTCAATCAAAAACGATAAGAGAGATTTTTTTATATTATTTTGAATCTTAATAGTGCAACAAGGGAGTTATTTTTTTTTGATGTTCCTTAACGGGGGAAAAAAAGAGGATAAATTTCGTATTGTTAAATTTCTGTTATTTTCAATTTCTTTTTATTCAGTTAAAAATTTTATTTGGTTTTATATAGACAAAATTATTTTGGCTTTTCTTATCAGATGTCTAACCGAACTTCATTCAGAATCGTTTTTTATTCGAAAAAATTAAGCGTTGCGTACAGATACAAATTAAAGTAGGCACCTTCCCTAATTCCCGTCTACAACGGTGACGCATCCATTAGTAGTATCGGCTTTTTTTTTAAACTTGCTTTGCTTTTACTACTGTAATAATTTATTTTAGCATATAGTTTACCTTCGGCGGCCAAATTGAAAGGTGATTGAGTCAAATCAGGACACGGCACTGCTTCCACGATCACAGTTTCAAAATTGTTCGATAACTCCGGTAGTAATGCTGAAATCAAAATCCCGCAAATTATTTCGTTGCTAATTAAGTTATAATTAGTATTGTATAAGAATATTTTTCGGTAAAAATAACAATACAGTGATTATTTTTATAATGATCAATTTATTATCCTCCTCTACTCCTCCGATCTAAATTCTAAACAGTTATAAAAATCAAACAGTAAATCCAAATCAACAATTTATAGAAAAATATTGTTCGATTTCTTGTGGAAAAAAAAGGGCAAAAACTTGAAAGTCAAAAGTTAACACTAATTTAAAGTAGCTTTAAGAATTAAGGGTAAAAATTGAAAATAGTTTTAAAATAAACCTTAAATAATTCCGTATAATAATTTTAAAAAACAGAAATCAAATCTACTTATAGAATGATCCGAGAAAGTAGCTGGATAAAAGAATAACTCTGTAGTACATAATAAACTCGCTTCTCCTCGCCTTTCCTCCCAAAATCTGAAGTTAATAATTTGGGTTAAGAAGGTACATCCCTGGGAGGAGAGATCTAGTCTTTGTCCTAGTACCCCGTGCGCCGTATGATATTCTATATTTCACAAAATATCTAATATCTAAAATTGATTTTCAATAATTTGTTAATGTTTTAAACATCATAAGTTGAGATTTTATATAGGTACATAATATTTTTGCGAAATGTCGAATTTCTTATAAAAAAAATATGCCTCACTGGGAAAACTCTCACGTTTCGTAGAATTATTAAATGTTGATGTTTTCTTTTTATGTATCTGATAGATAGATTACAAAGATAGTCTTCACTATCTAAGGTTACCTCAGACGTATGTTACACAAATTTAAAATGTTTCATAAAAATTGTACATGTATATAATTATTACAGATGTATGTATTACAGATATAGGTATAATTATATATGTTATTTTTAATTATAAAACAAATTATAGACAACGAAAACATCGAAGCTGAACATTTTTCAATTTAGTTTGTTTTTAGTCGTGTTTAGCCGGGTACTTCCTGACAAAAATATGGGTAGGTAGGTACCAGAGATTAACTAGGTTCCATTTCAACCCGGATGGGACCGGATTTCGGACTCAGTCTGATCCGGTCAAAATTCTTTATATAATCTCGGTTATGATTCGGGTCTGGTAATGTAATCAGTTGGATTTGATCCAATCATAATAGGTTGTTAAACACTGATGTGGTAAGGTTAGGTCTTAGTCCGGTTCGGTCTGGGTTACGAGTTACAACAAATTAGAAAAAAAGTATTTCTTCTTTTTTTTTTTATCAATCAATTCAGAAATCAATAAATACCGGTGAAAATGTTCATAAATGACCGTGTTTGTTTTTATTAATAATTTATGGTCCAGATAGATTTTTTTTTTAAAATGTATAATACAAGCTGAATTGATCCGAGCTTTTGAAAACTCTGCGAGCCTGGTTTAAATTGGTCTGGGATAAAAAATATATTTTACGAATTGGTCTCGTCGGGTAAACAAATTGTTTTAACGATCAAGCCTGGTTTCCATCCCAGTTTCATAGGGCCGGACTGACCTCTAGGTAGGTATTTGTTGTTTAGCCATCACGCGGTAAATTATTAAAACGAAAGAAACAAAATTCAACTATACGAGCATTATTATAATAATGTTCGTATACGCACGATAATTAGACACGATAAAAATAGGACAGTATGTACAATAGTCAATATAATAAACAAAATACGACTTACGAGAAAAAATTTCTGATAAAATACGTTTACTGAGTAATTGTTTTTAGTCGCGAGCTGCAATTATGTTCGGTTGACAGAACCGTATATTATATACATAACGGTATTCATTATTTCATATATAAGCATCGTTGTGCTTTAGCTGTTACGCTGAATTGTAAAAAAAAAAAAAAACAACTCCCATAAACAACATCAGTGTAGACATTGACTTCTTTTCTAATTCGAACTAGCTACCAATAGATAAGTATGATACGTTTATATTACGAACTACATAATACAGCGGATGTCCATAGTATTTTCCCGTTGTTAATATTCAATTTTTTTTTTATCTATCGGGAGACACGTATTATTATATAGAGACGTGTTAAATTATTCAATCTCGTTTCGTCGAAAAGTCCGTATAATATTAAAACGCCGGGAAATAAATAAATAAAAAAAAAAAAAAAAAAAAAAAAAACCGGGAACAACCTTTTGCTCTCCAACGATAGCCAACTAAAACACTCCGTTTATTGTCACACGTCTTTCTGTACTCGAAATGAAACTGTATCACCGCCAGAACGCGTTTTCGTGCTGAATGTTCCGTCAAGAATCTAGATGTATAATACGTCTATGATCATAATGTATTCGTGCATTAGGCGATTCATTTAAGCGGGCACGCTCATCATCTCCGAAAGTATTAATTTTTTCCGGAATTTGTTTTCTAGAGCGTTTTACAAAACAAGCTGCTCCAGAATTGTATATGCATGTTATTTTTTTGGAGGTAAAACCGCTACGTATTTTGATTTTTTAATGGCAACCTTTTATTAAGAAGTCCGTAGATATACGGAGTATTAGTTAAGATGAATTTCAGTGTTGACATTTTTGATTTCTGTAAAGCTGTTTGTCGAGATATTCCACTTTTAAATATGCGTTAGAGGAGAGTAGTGGTGCACTATTAACAAGCCATGTTTAAAAGTGAAATATCTCGTAAATTGACGGATTGACGGACATCAAACATTTCAATACTAAAATGTATTTTGACTGACACGCAATCTATTTATGGGATTATTAATTTACTTACGTAATATATTATAAACTCAACATACTTATCTATCGGTAGACGTATATCTAGTTCGAATTAGAAAAGAAGTCAATGTCTACACTGATGTCGTTACTGATGACCTACATATATGTAAATACTCGCGTTTTAATACAATATGAGTGTTCAAAAATATGTTAAGCGCGTTTTTAATTGTACAATTAAGTTGTTAGGATCCAAACAATCAAATTACCTATTACTGATAACAGTTTGATAAGAAGTGCGTGACGCACTAACAGACTAACTGATCGCCGCGTATTATATTCATTATTGATAATTGTAAAGAAGACAAGTTCAGCGTTCGTGCAAAGCGCGAAATATTTTTTCGGCTTGACAAAATAATAAATAACCTTTTCCTAGACGATTCGTTGATTTCCCGAACATTGGCATGGAACGCTCAAAGTGAAATAGGGATCGCACAACAGAGATCCTCGGTTGAAGATTACCTAAACTTGTTTATAACAGCGAAAATATATTGAAAAAATGCAATACTTTGTCAAATTGATAAATTGGGAGTTTAGAAATTAGTTGGGTAGATAAAAAAAAACTGCAAAAAACTATGGGATCGCCCCGGTCGTCAGTTTCGAACTCGGGTCCTCGAGATTACATAAGACGATCGTTACCGCTAGACTACAATGACACGTAGATGATAACACAGTTGCATATTATATAACCTGTATCTTTGTATCGTTTGTAATAGGAACGTTATAACCTTTCAACTCAAAAACGTACGATTTTTGCAAATTTGTTTTTCGCGCTATTATTTTTGTAACGTTGAAAAAAAAAAACCCCCACATTGGCCGCTAAACTCTTTTTCCATAACGAGCGTTGTCTGGACTCGTTACTACTTTTTTGTGACTGTACCGAACGGTATCGTCACAAGTCACAGAAATTCCCGTCACCAAAAACCAATACCTATTAAAACGTTCTCTGGCACTCACCTTCGACAATTCGGCTCAGCGGCGGTGCGGTGAGCTGGACGCGCGTAATGGGCAATCCGTTCATGTCCAGGGTGCCGGGCAAGCATTCGGCCATCACGGAAGTTTCAAAATTGGCCTGCAGATACGGCGGAGAGAGACGCGGTACAATATTATCGACGGTAAATTATCGCGACCGCGGTACAGGTGACGAATGGGACGGCGCGCAGAACACTACGGACGACGACGCGCGACAGCGTTACGCAGACGACTGTCGGGGTGCCGGTTATCGTTCGTGCAGTCGTCGTCGTCGACGATTTTTGCGTCGCGCATTATTGCGGTCGGGCACTGTAATGTTCACGGGACCGCGGCCGTCAATGGTGGGGGGGGATGGAGGGGAGGGGGAACGATGTCGCGGTAACCGTTTAGTTCACGTGCGAACAGTAGATAATAATTATGGTTACGAATCGAACAGCCATTATAATTATTATTATCTACGGTACGACGCATATCAACGCCGGTAGGTGTGCGTACCGATAACGCGTCGAAACCGTAGTCCGCACGTGTATGCTGTGGCGTGCGCAGACATTAAACGCGGCGTACGCGGACGTCCGCCCTGCGTGCCGTGACGCTGGAAAACGGATTGGCCGCCCTATGGTTTTATCGTGCGGGAACGAACGCGGGTGTAGAAATAATATAATAATATTTTATTTAAAAAAAATACTTCCTAAGTACAATCTAGACAACTTGAACTTTTAGAAAAGTTGCTATACGCAGAAATCGGGGCGAGTTTATTAGGAAAAAACGTGTCCACAGACCAGAACAAAGAAAAAAGAAATAAATACCTTTGTAAAACCAATAGCTCAATACACTAGCAATCGAAAATATGAGTTTTTCTAACAAATAAGAAAAACCGGGGGAAAACCGGGAGAACGGGAAAATAGGTACAACATTAAACAAATAATAAAGAAAATATTTAATGCATGTATAATAATTATACCATAATATGACATAAATATTGTTGACAAATGAACACTATCAACTGAACTTCGCTCAGAATTATTTTTTTGTTAGTAATGGTTAATTGTTGCTTACAGATATATATTAAATTCCAGTCTGTGTCCTACCTTCCCAACTTCCCACCTACAACAGTGGTCCACCCACTCGCAAAGTATGTCAGTCTTTTTTTCACATTCATTTCCAACCCGTATCAATTATATGTTTGGGAATATCTGTCCATGGGTCTTTGTAAAAGATGCGTACTGCCAAAGAGAATAACAGTGTCATCAGCATACTTTACATTATTGACACATTTACCATTTATTTTTATTCCCATATGTTTATGTAAGATGGCTTCTTCAAATATAGCGTTACTGTAGATACTAAATAGTAATAGAGACAGTATGTGTAGCCTTGTCTGACATCTTTCATAATTTTTATTTGTACCAACTAGACAAAATTTGCTACCCACACCAGTACAGGATTTTCGTTGAAAAATTTGACCACAGACTGAAAAAAATGCACATACATATAATAAAACCAATGTACATTCCTCACTACACTCAGCATATAAAATTATGTATTTTCGATATTTTAATATCGATACAAGAATATGTAACTTATTATAGGGGATCCCTCGTATTCAATATTTCAGCCTAATAAGTTTCATAGATATAGTTGTGTAGTGTTAGCGTATAGTGTGTTGTGTATACCATAGCCTCTAGGTAAGGTACCTCCTACTTATACAAAGAATTAAAAACTGCATGAAATTCTGCAAACACGAGTTTTTTTTATATACCCGGTTTAAATGTAAATACCCATAGCAACACACTAACAGTGAGTATATACGTATTGAATTTGGGAAAATAATGAACTGTATGTAGGTACCTAACAATTTTTAAAAGGTATATATAAGGTAACCTTCGGACACGCTTTCAACTTAATACTTAGGTAATCACTGAAATTAAAATAGATACGGTTTTTACGGGTGCAATTATAGCTGTGATTTACATTTCTTTCGGTTGTATAGTAACAGGCCAACGACGATGTCCACCGATAATAACGACCGACCGACGACGGACGAAAATTTAGAGAAGAATCCAGCGGGAGTCGGCGACAAAGAGACGCCACCGGTCGTTGTGTACCAGACGACCAGTTACGATGCGGACGACGAAAATTCGTGCGTTTCGTTACCGTCGGTGTGGAGAAAAAATGTTCAGACGAGCACCGTCGGAAAAACCAAAGAAGTCGATCAACAGGACAATGCCGTGGCAAAATAGATTTTGTCATGTACAATACAAATGGGTATAGCGGTTATGCCAATATATTTTAATCATTTTTCATTTTTCTATCACTATTTTTAACAAAACATGTTTCTATATTTTAATATTATGTTTTACGAACGATTATATAGGTTGTATATATACATACCTATATAATATACTTTAGTTGAAATTATGTCTACTAATCCTCAGAATAGTCCTTATTGAGAGAAGTTTTGATTTAATTCGTAATAATTAATGTTTAACAGCTATAGAATTTGGAAAATATATTCTTTTTTTATTGTCTGTCATAGGGTAGGTATGCATAGAGTTATGCTCTTTAAAAAGTTTTAAAAGGATAAGTTGACTATTTTGGTTACAAAAACATCGATAACCCTATTAAAAATATTAAAAAAATATGTTAATAAGTGTTGAATGAAGCCAGTTCAAAAAGTTCTGGGTTAGGTTGATGGTTTCTATTTGTTTCTAAATCTTCAAAATATCTAATTTATGGTTCAGCCTGTTTTGTTCTGTTATTGGTTCAATCCTTGTTGCTATAGAAACTTGGGTTCATGATGAGTTGAAGCTAAAAGATAAACCTTACTTTACTTTGGAGAAAAGTTTCAAATTCATCTATTGAATTTAAAATATAATTGTCTTCTATCGTTGGTCTTTTCATAGAATCTTAAAACTCAATTTTCTATATTTTAGTACCTTTTATATGTACACGCATATTAATTAAGTGGTTAAAAGCAATAGTAGACTGTTCTTAAGTCAATATGTTTTTAAAACTTCAATCCAAACAAATAGCAGATAATAAACCTTTGTTCTTCATTATATGCTGTTCCTTTATAATTAAACACTGTACCTACCTACCTATCTACTAAATTATTCGAAAGCGATTTATTTAATGACTGTGTTTGAATTTTACAAGTAAGCGATGCTTCATTAAAATCAGTTAATGTCAGTTATTTAGATTGCAATTTTTTTGTACATANACTAATAATATAATATTTTTCAAGCGTGTTTAAAGTAAAATTTCATGTAGTTAAACAGTTCAGAACTGGTGATAAGATATAAGTCGTCGTATATGATCAGTGTTTCTGTGAACGCATACGGCAGTAACCACAAGTGGACCTCGACAATTTCAGTAACCATCTTTACTAACCTAGGTATTTAAAAATTATAAAAGTGTACTTTAATTTTTAACTTTTTTTTTTATAATATAAAAAAATAACACAAATATCAAAGAATTTTTTATCAGAAAACTGATTGAAAAAATATTTGTTAACTAAAACTTCTAGAGGTGCGGAAAATCTACAAAGGGGACTATCATTTATGTTAACAGTTGATCGTCCCTGTACCCTATTACAGAAAAAAAATTAAAAGGGACAAATTCAAACTTGGTAAGAGGATTGAGTTCCCCTCCACTTTAAAGTTTTAAAGGCTATTCCTACTAAAACTATTCTGCACATCTCGCAAAAAAATCCTACGCATGCCTATGCTTCCACATAGTATACTCCGGGCAACGCCAGTATTCTATACTGACGACAAAAGCTCTAACAACTTACCAGCAGCCAAACCTGTGACTTGCATCATTTCTTGGCTACTAATGAATTCCTCTATTCAAAACGAAGAATTATCTTTTAACAGCCTTTCTCAGGGCTTCCAGACTCATGTTTTGTCTTCAATTACACATCCTACAACTTAATATTAAGGGAATTAGTTAAGCAAATCTGATTACTTAACAAGAATACTAACTTCATACAAAATCGATATTCTACTATTAGAAAAAATGTATACTGCAAATGAATCGCAATTATATTCACGTGGTTGCATAATACATGGCTATAAGATCGCTTCGGAAACTTATGATCAAAGATATGGTTCAGCGGCATGCATTAAAAATAACATCACAATAAACTAAAGATTAATAGAATCTACAACCGAAAATAATATTTCTATAATTACAGTGTACGTGGCTAGGATCACGACACAAAACATTAACAAGCATCTAAGCATAAATTGGCTCGTGAATACTCTCTCGATCATAAATCACCAAACCGTATGCATGGGTGATTTCAGTAGCCATAATATAATTTGGAACTATGCAGATAACGACGAGAACGAGAAACATATTTATGATTTGTCCTCCAATAATAATATCTACCTAATTTTTGATGTAAAGGAGAAAAAGACGTTCCATTCAGGTAGGCGGAATAAAGGCTACAATCCTGATCTATGCTTTGTAATTCTTAATAATTCTGTATACTGTATATTAAAAATTATATTTTTCAATATCTATATTAAAAATGTTAAAATTTGATTTGAAACCGCCATTAGGATATGATATATAGTGTTATTTTGTTGAGCGTAAAATGTTAGAATAGAAAATTATCTTTTACATTAGAACTAAGAAATTGTCGCTATACAATACTATGAGTAAATGGTATAAAGTAGCTGATGGACAGTGGTGAACCTGGTTTTACTATAGTGAAGCATTTCGATGAATTACTCATCCTGAATATTAAAATGTTATTTTAGTTGTATTGACACTAAAGTCAAGGATGAAACAATTATTTATAATATGGTTTTGGATAAAATGTGCATAAGAGACCATATAAAGTGGGATGGGCAGAAAATTAATTGGTTTGTTAATATGGGAGTAAACATTGATGACTGTTATAGTGATAACCTAATTCATGATAAAAATACGTTATTATTTATGGGCTTATGGACATTGGAATCGATTGGAAATCGGCCATTGGAAAATGCAATTAGGATATTTTCTTATTGGAGGACTGAATAGTAGGAACTGAACGTAGTCATTTATTAAGTAATTGCTTAAAGGTTTACTCGTGGATAACACAGGAGCAAAAGTCCACTCTGTGACTTCCGATGATGCTTACTCCAACAGTACTATGTATAAATACTAGGGTACTTATTTTAACATAATAAGTTACGACGATGAAAACAATTTTTGTTTCAAAAATTCTTATATTAACGATCCAATATATTTTTTCTATAACGCATGCCACATATAGAAATTAATACGAAACACTTTGGCCGATTATAAATGTATTTTTGATGACAAGGGGCGATCAATAAATGGGAACACATATCAAAATTATATCAAAAGAACAAAATGAGGGCTTACAAGTAGCGACAAAAATAACTGACATGCACATTTGCAATGAAAAGATGAATGTTAAATTAGCAGCTCAAGTATTAAGTAACAGTGTTAAAAAAAAAGGCTGAGAATGGCAGCAAAAACTGGTTTTATTAGCATATTGAAAACTCGAAATAATCTGCTGAAATTATATTCTTTTATTCATAGTCAATATACTCAATTGGTTATTTATTGTCATACAAATTATCTTAAGACGATTTAGAGACATTTTTAAGCTATGTGTACCAGACGAGGATTTAACAATAATTCTATATGCTAACAATTTAAAACAGCTCATAAGAAGTTATTAATTCATATTGAAATTTCTGAGTCACAATATGGAAACCGTATTGACATTTTAGACAATACACAAAATATGTCTGTTGTAAAATGTAGATCCAGACTGTACTATAGAAAATGAAAAAGAACAAAAAAAACTTAGTACCTACTATAATAATCCCGGATCATGATTATTATAAAGCCTTGAAATATATTTCGCCATATGTTGATGATATTTCAAATATTCAATTTTTTTTTTATTATTATAAAAATTATGCTTTTTTAATTTTGAGTTTCAAAAATATATTGTATGCATATGCGATTAAACATATTTTATGTCGTCAGAAATGAAAACACTGCTATGAGGATACCTACGACTTACCCCGCCAACCAATATTTTTAATATTTAATCTATGGTTAAAATACATTTTTTTCGTTCATCGAATTTTGTTACTGAAGTTTTTATGGCGTTAATATTTTGAACATTTACTTATAATAACCCAACAACTCCGATATATATTTCGTAGTTCCATATAAAAAAAAAAAAAAAAAAAAAACATTAAAAATGACTTCCGAAGAAGAAGTACACAATTATACAGGACTGAAACGCATTTTTAATTCAACGACTGTAAATGGTCGGGTCAATGTGAGTACTTATAATTTCTATACATATATTATAATTGGGGCAAATATTTATATGTCTCATTAATATATTATAATATGTAGAAATATATAATAAAAAAGACGATCTAGGATGATGAGGACGGTTGCGAGCGGCCACTGTTACAGATAGTTTAATGTATATCTATAAGCAACGATAAACCATTGGTTACGAAAAAAAGATTCCGAGCGGAGTTCAGTTAATAGTAATGCTTTCTAAACAATATATATGTCATTTTATAGTAAAATAATTAAATAGGCTTTATACATTTTCTTTAATAATATTTGTTTAATGTTGTACCGATTCTCCCAATTTTCATACGTTTTTTCCCGGTTTTCCCATGTTTTATGCCGGTTTTTCACATTTCCTGGTAAAATCAAAAAAAATTGCTCCTTAAAGTATCTCCCTAGTGAAATTTCCTATTAGACACACTACTATAATTAAATGTTTGAGCAAAACTGCTGGTAGAAATGTTGTACACAGAAAGAAAGAAGGCCGTAATGTAAATGTACGAAAATCTTAAATAGGCTCTAAAAATGAACTGAATCATTAAAATTTCCCCAAAAAATTTTAAAACTTCAAAATATGCAATATCTTTAAGCTATGGACACATTTATATATACCTTAACTAGTAATTTTTGTTTGATCAACCAATAAAAATATACAAAAGCATATAAATTATATCTGCCCTACATATAATATTATAATGAACATGCCTTATTGTATAATAATATGTATATAAATTGTATACTATTGTATTATAAGTACATGGTATAATTTTAATTTAGCAACCTATTGTTATTTTTTTTATTCTCTTGCTCTAGCTAAGTAATGTACAAAAAGTTTTGTTTCTTCTTAACATCATGTACGTTTTTGTAAAAAAATTGCTTTGAAATGTACATTTAAAAAAAATCAAGGATGGAACCGGTTTTAATTTTTTCATATTTGTTTATCAGTATAAGAAATATTGTTTTTGTTTTTAAACAGTTTTATTTTGTTTTCAGTTTTTTCTGAAGTTTAACATAAAATGTTAGATAATATAGAATAAATAATAAAATAATAAAGTAAAAACAAAATTATTAAAATGGTTAACACTTGTAAATAAATACATAAATAAAAAATGTTTATATTTATTTATCATATTTATAGAATAAATAGTTAAAATATTATAATATTTTTAAATATATAATTTTATAATAAAATGTATTATTAATATTAATAATTTATTAATGTACATAATATTATATATTACTACAGTCTATAGAGATGGACAAAGAGTATTCCGGCTCGTTTGGAGAAGTACTTGAGCTCTTCAAAATAAACAATGTATTGTTTTTCAGTTTTGCTCACAAAATTTGATATTGTATTGACTTTATTGTGTGTACTTTGTTTTTATTTTTATTTTCTGTCGTTAGCAACTTTTCTACCAGAAACTGCTCTAATTTTCAAATACGACTTCGAAGGGAATAATATTGATTCATCAAAATTATTTATTTTGATGATACAACCACCCCCCCCCTTTCTACCAACCTTGTGTAAGTGTATAATATATACTTACTTAATATGGTCTTAATGTATACAAAAGTTGTATTCATATAAATTAAACCATCAATTTTAATATTTCTATATTTTTATATTTGACATTGCTATTCTAAAACAAATAAATACAAAAATTATATAATATACATAGTATATAATTTTTTCATTTGATGTTAAATTATTGGCAACCTCCTAATAAAATTTTGTGACCACTAGGTTGCGCATCATTGCTCTAATACATATAACTTTACAAAAAAATTAATTTAATAACGCATTTTTCAACTAAAATTGTTAAATGATAAAAGAAAATATTTATCAAGCTGACATAAGCCAGACCTAGTGATTATATTTTTTAGCACTGATGAGAAGTCTTTACATTATTACCTATGTGTTTGAAACTAATAGAATTTAAATTTACAATCCATTTAAATGTTTTTTTCTACTTGAAAGTATTTTATGATAATTAAAAACCAATATTTTATAGAATAAAAATAGGTACCTAGTATAAAATATTATATAAAAGGCTAGATCCATCTGTTCATTTATAATAATTTTTCTCTTATACTTAGTATATAAATTATAGCATTTAGGTTGAAATTGGAGTTTGAACACAAATAACAAAATTTAAAGACGAATATTTTCAAGTGTCAAACCTAACTTCATACGAATATGTATTACTAATAATTAAACTATATTTAATACTAATGTACTGTTACAGATTGTCTGTACTACATTTGCAACATTAGGATTGTCTATTCTATACTGGAAGTTTAAACCAAAATCGAGTAAACCACAAATTCAGGTTGAAAAGTAAAATGCAATTCTTCATTTTTGTAAATATTTACTTTTCAATGTATATTTTATTTACAATATAAATATATGATTATTATAATTAATATAGTTGTTTTAATTATTCTATATTTAGAAACCAAAATAATAATAATAACTGGTATATTTTTTAAAAATAATATTTACTAAAATTATATGGTTTCAAAATTATTTACAAAAGCAAATTTAAATTTATTTTAGTATACCATTTACAATTTAAAGTAAAACATGCAAGTTTTTATTAACCTGTAAAAACATATGTATGTGTCATTATTCCTATCAACTTAAATGCCCCTTAGATAAATATAAAATCAAGAAGTTATCACAGCTTCTACATGTTTTTTAAGGGGCATTGGTATGCCTGCACTCTTAAAAAATAATCGTAGTTTAAATATAAACCTCTACACATATTTTTTATTGTAAAGTAATTTCATAAAGTTTATTAAGAGAAAATAAAAAAATACTTATATAATTCAATAGTTAAATTAGTCAAACGCTTCTTAATCATTATTTACACATAATAATATTCATCTATATTTGGGCATAATTTTTAACTAACATGGAAATAATTTTATTATTAAGAAATAAAACAATATTATTTACAGGTTTAAAAATATCTTTCTTATTATTTTCATTTGAGAAAAGCTAAATATAGAAAAAAAAGTTGTGTAAATATAAATGCTTATAAAATTAGATTTTTAAGTAAAAAAAGCTTTTTTTAAAATTTAAACCACTGATTCTATTTGTTTTATTTCCTGCAATGGTGGTTTATTTGGTGTAGGAGCAGTTTCAATGATGGTGGGAACCTGGTGATGGTGATGGTGTGTATTATCTTCCTCTTCGTCATCTTCTTCATCGTCCTCGTCGATTGGAGTTAGTGCATCATCATCTTCTTGAGGTAAAGCCATTTGTCTTTGGTCTAAATAACGTTTCAACGGAGCTGCCATAAAACTGGTGATTGCAGAAATCAGGAAAAATACGGCGGCCATAAAAAATGCCAAGTCATAAGATTTTGTCCAGTCGTATACTGCACCAGCTAACGGCGACCCAATAATAGCAGCTGCCCCACGGAACAATATCAAGAGACCGAAAGCATTGGTAAGTTTGTCAAGACCCAATAAATCCACAAGGATAATAGATGTTAAAGATATGTAGCCAGCTAGAACATAATTGTTATTAACGTAAAATTATTTAGTAAAATTGTATCCATTATATTCTATAATGTTGGAATACTTTAACACTTACAAACAGCAATTCCAAAAAAGATCGCCATAATAACAAAATGTGCATAAGTCATACAGAATGGTGTTGCAGCAACAGCAACTGTACTAATTAATAGACATATGTTGTTAAGGAATAGTGAATCAACCCGGGGGAAATCAGCCACAAAACCACACACCACACGGCCGATTGTGTTAGTTATTCCAATAATAGACAATAGGTATGATGCTTGATTTGAATCGATAAGTGGTCTCTAAGATTGAATGAAAAAATATTTAACAATACTGTGGTTTAATTTATTTTACTTGACTGTCAAAACTTACAGCTTCTTTGACAAAATCGACTAAATACACAAATGGAACATAGAGTCCGGCCATTCCAAAAACGTTGCTGATGCCAATAATCATGAATACAGGATTTTTGAGCAGGCTTGCATCCATCATTGAAGATAATACGGAATTAATAGATTCTGGCAAAAATGAACAGCACCCCTCTACAATGAAAAAAAGACAATTATTATAGTATTTTCATACCGTTCAAACAATTTTTATTGAACAGACCATTTATTTCTTCGTCGTCATCTTTATCGTTATCCTTCATCATAGATTTCGGTAAGGACAAAATACTTTGACGATAGCTGGCAAGCGATTTTTGTGATCGGTACTCTGGCAAATTTAATACACTACCCGAGTAAAATATATCCTTTCTAGACATTGGACGTACTGTTTCTTTCCCTCTTATGCTAGTTTTGGATGAAGTATATCCTATACTGTCTGAATCAACCTATAAAAGTAAATAAAACAATTTTCCAATTAATTAGATTTTTGTTTCTTTTTGATATGTATTAATTATTATTGATGAATAATTAAATTACTAACATTTGACCACATATCTTCAGCATTGTTATTTTTACTACCACCAAGTATAGATACATTCGAAAGTCTTAAATGAATAGATTTGCGTATATCTCCATTTGAACTAAGATTAGGCCGAGATACTTTAATGGGCCCCAATGTAGGACGATATCGTTCACTAGCGCTAGTCTTGCGAATACGATCAAAAAATGGAACTGATCCATTTTTCGGTAGACCTTGAACATGAGTTGTAAATGCAGGCTGCGAAGCGTTTCTAGGAATAGCAGCTTTTACTTCATTCAAATCTCCAGCTCCATTAGCTTCATTTGGTTTTTCACCATTCTGTTCGGGTATTTGTGGTTTAGAATTTTCATTTGTTGTATTATCTTTTTTATTATCGGATTTTAATTCTCCACTTCCAGCATTACTGGAACTATTGCTAGAACCACTTTGTTCTGGTGCTTTTACTTCTTTGATTGTAGGCAAAACTGCCATGGTAGGTATTGGTGTAATAGGAGAACCAGTACTACCGACTAATTCGTCCAAGTTAAAACTTGAATGAACACCAGGATCAATATTTAATGGTAATTTTTGTCTTTTTTCCAATGATCCATCTTTAAGTTGTACAATAAAATATGATCCACCAATCGATCCACGTTCCATTTGCATGCGTTTTTCATCTGCCATTCTTTGGAGCAATGGTTTACAGCCTTCATTTGGATACTCAAGAGGTTTCATCAAAGCACCAAATAACTAAAAAATAAATTATTTTTAAATTTAATTAAAAAATAAAATAGTTAAGTGATTGAAACTTACTGCACATGAGAGAATCAACCCGGCAAGTATTAAGTTTGAAGTTTTCCAACTAAAGTTTTCAAGAAGCATAGTGGCGATAGGAGCAAAAGCAAATGTACCGAAACCAGAACCACATACAGCAATACCAGTGGCTAGTGATCTTTTTGTTTCAAAGTAGTAACCAACACATACTACAGCTGGCAAATAGATGAGTCCAAATCCAATTCCTAAAAAAAAAATAAAAAAAAAACATATTTTAAAATATTTAAATTCTTTTCTTATAGTAATAACGCAAAATAATAGATCCCTGTAAGATTATCTAAATTAATTTATATAATTTTAATGAAAATTTAGAAAAATTGCTCGGTAAAACCACAAGCATCCTTGTTTTATCCGCTTTTATCACGCTACACCTAGATACAAATAATAATATGCTATCAATAAAAAAAAATATATAATATGTATATAAATATTAAATAATATTATTATTACAACATATTATTACTAATGTTAAGTATAAATATGTATATTGATATCTTAATAAATATGTATGCATATACACAGATTACATATTAAAAATATTATATATTAAAAGTAAAAGTTGCTTTGACAATTTATTATTACATAATACACAATATTATTAAGAAAGGCCAACTCAAAGATATCTTAAATTACAGTATTGTATAATAATTTTAAATTATATTTTTAATTCATATTTATGTTACTGTTTAACAGTTTTATTTATATGTAATTAAATTAACAAAAGCAATAAATTATTTTTGAATTTACTACAACTTGAAATTAAATAACAATTGAAGTTCAAAGTATAGTAGAACAATTAAAAACTTTTAATTAGTAGTTGAATAATTTTTAAATCCCAATGATGAGTTGGCCGGTTTTAATTTATACAAAATAGTTTGAAAAAATTTAATCTTAAAATATTGAACAATATAAATAAATTATATATTGACAGTTTTTTGTTTGTTTCTATTTTAATCTTAAATGTGTCTGAGGAATTGTGTTTAAACATAAACCAATAGTGTATACAGTTTTATAGTTACTTTTAAGCCTACATTGGAAAAAGGAATATTGAAAAACTTATGAGCCCAGATAAAATAAATTACAACACTATTAATTTTTAATGTATTCTGACACTTCTGGAAAAATATAATATGACTTCTGTAAAATAAAAATTCCTTCGTTATAAGATAATTAAACCTAATTTATAGTAATAAATGTATGATTATAGTTCTTAGAGTAATAATATATTTTGTTATTTTTTAATAAAAAAACATACACAGCTAAGATAAAGTAAATTAATGACGAATAAAAAAAAAAAAAAAATAAATTATTTGCTATAATATAATATATAAAATATGTAATAATCTTTTATTACTGATAAAGTTTAGGTATTATTTTTTCACAGACAATTATTATTTTTAAGTCTACAAAAATATTTAAACTGTTCTTAGTAATTAATTGGTACACACGCTGATATTTAATTAATAAGAAAATGTAATTAACATTAAAGATAAATTCCTTTGTTCTTATACAGATAAATATGTAAAACTTTCATCGATAAATAAAATCTAAGATATGAATACATTTTAATATTATTAAATTTAAATTATTATTATAGGAATTAAGATGAAAAAAAAAAGATTCTATTTCTCTTTATATCTTGAGTAATCATTGAGCTTTAGATTTTATATTATAAATTATAAGAAGAATGGTTAAAGGATACGGACAATGAGACAAAGAGAACAAGGNGAATTTAAGTGGAGATTTCAAAAGAAGCGAACGTTTTATTAGAGATAGTAATGGATGCTTGGTTACTACAGATGAAGGTATAGCTAAAGAATGGGAGAAATACTTTGAAGAATTACTAAACTGTGAAGAACCAGACGAATTGTTCATGTTTGAGCTAGGAAATATAAACAACCAAGAATGTCCAGAGCCAACTCTAGAAAAAATAGACTTACAAATAAACAATCTGAAAAACAATAAGTCTCCAGGCAAAGATGGTTTCCAGGCTGAATTACTTAAAAAAGGAAGGGAGCTGCACTGTGTTACCTAGACCGTTCACTAATTTAAAATATGGGTAACGGAAGAATTTCCAGAAGATTGGAAAACGTCTCTAATCTGCCCAATACACAAAAAAGGAAATAAACAAGACCTTAATAATTATAGGGGAATTGCCCTACTGAATGTGGCGTACAAAGTTTTCTCAAATTGTATTTTAACAAGAATAAAAGAAAAAGCAGAACAGAATATTTGTTTACATATTAATTGTTTTTATATATTAATTGGTGAATATCAAGGTGGTTTTAGACTGGGAAAGTCTACGACGGACCAAATATTTATTATTAGACAATTATATCAAAAAATGTGGGAATTCGATAGGGAGATACATACACTATTCNAACATACCAGTGATGTGAATGAAATATGGAATAATGTCAAAGATTCTATAGAAACAGCAGCGACGGGAGTAATAGGAACAAAAAGAAATGTATCAAAAGTGTGGTTCAATAATATAGGTGGTTTTAGACTGGTGAAGTCTATGACGGACCAAATATTTATTATTAGACAATTATATCAAAAAATGTGGGAATTCGATAGGGAGATACATACGCTATTCGTTGACTTCAAAAAAGCATACGACAGTATTCATAGGGAAAGTCTCATAAATATTCTGAAAGAGTTCCATTTTCCCCAGAAGTTGGTCAATCTAGTGTCAATCAGCATCATGGAAACCGTGATCAAAATAAAAGTCAAAAATATGAAGTCTGATCCAGTTACAGTATAANATTCGATAGGGAGATACATACGCTATTCGTTGACTTCAAAAAAGCATACGACAGTATTCATAGGGAAAGTCTCATAAATATTCTGAAAGAGTTCCATTTTCCCCAGAAGCTGGTCAATCTAGTGTCAATCAGCATCATGGAAACCGTGGTCAAAATAAAAGTCGGAAATATGAAGTCTGATCCAGTTACAGTAAAATCCGGCCTTAGACAGGGTGATTCCATCTCACCTATTCTCTTCAACCTGGTATTGGAAAAAGTNAAAATGTGGGAATTCGATAGGGAAATACATACGCTATTCGTTGACTTCAAAAAAGCATACGACAGTATTCATAGGGAAAGTCTCATAAATATTCTGAAAGAGTTCCATTTTCCCCAGAAGTTGGTCAATCTAGTGTCAATCAGCATCATGGAAACCGTGATCAAAATAAAAGTCAGAAATATGAAGTCTGATCCAGTTACAGTAAAATCCGGCCTTAGACAGGTTGATTCCATCTCACCTATTCTCTTCAACCTGGTATTGGAAAAAGTAATAAGAGGGATGCAAATTGAACCCCTACTTCCTTATTTTGAGGCCTTGAGCTGTATTCCATTATTGGCATATGCCGATGATATAGTACTGATGGACGAATCTCAACCTGGAGTTAAACGGCTCTGTGACAGACTTAATGACGCAGCACAGAAAGTAGGACTACAAATTAATGAACAAAAAACTGAATATATGATTAAAGGTAGAAAAAATTGGATGGATCACGTTTTAGAGGTAGATCATTTTAAATTTAAGAGAGTCAATTCTTTCAAATATCTTGGCTCAATTGTGACTGAAAAAAATGATATCACCAAGNTAAAACTCCGGAACTCGACTATTCCATTATTGGCATATGCCGATGATATAGTACTGATGGACGAATCTCAAGCTGGAGTTAAACGGCTCTGTGACAGACTTAATGACGCAGCACAGAAAGTAGGACTACAAATTAATGAACAAAACACTGAATATATGATTATAAGTAGACAAAATTGGATGGATCACGTTTTAGAGGTAGATCATTTTAAATTTAAGAGAGTCAATTCTTTCAAATATCTTGACTCAATTGTGACTGAAAAAAAATTGAGATGGGAAGATTTAGTTAAGAGAGATATAGAAGTCTTAGGAGGCGGAGCAAACTAGAAGGATTTGGCGATGAATAGAGATGCCTGGAGAATTGGTTGTGAGACGGGATGGTCCTAGCGACCGATTAACCCAAGAAGAAGAAGAAGATTATAAATTATATCTAGACCAATAACTGTGATCCTGAATGAAACACAAATAAGATTCCTTTTTCTAAAGAATTATAGGCTAATAGAAAAAAAATTTGGAACTAGTACAAATACAAACCCTTGAAAGTGATTAACAACATTATATTATACGCTTGCACACCTTGTCCCTGATAATTGGTCTTAATTTAGAAAATTAAACTTAAAATGTTAATATTTTAAATTCTGAGTAAAGTAAGGAATGTATTTGTTTATTTTATAATAATGTTTTTTATACGGTGAACAATTTTTAAATGTAGAATATCTTTTCTGGAAAGAGTCATTTTTTTGATTTTCGCAAAGGTTTTCATAATAAATGGGAAAACCGGGGGAGGGGGAAAGACAAAATGTATGAAATGTATGATTTTCAAATTGTAAATATTTTTAAAACATATATAATCTAACTCCGCTCAGAATTGATTTTTGTTGGTAATGGTTAACCGTTGTGTACATTAAATTTCCTCTCTACTTTCCCAACTTTTCACATATAACAGTGGCCCACTCATTATGCAAAGTATGTCTGTTTGTTTTTCAATTCTATCTTTAATAAATTATATTAATTTATAACAAAGCTTTGTTTTTTCAGTACATGTAATCTCTTAAGTATTATGTTGTAGGTAATAATATATAGTGGTGATAGAAACATCCAATGGGGAGAGATCCACTATTGCTTGAAGGATGACTCACACAAGGTTTTTTTTGTATTTTTGCAATGAAAATTATATCTGTTTTGTTGATTTATGGGATTACCTTGATAACACAGATAAATCAACTAGATATTATTATTTAATTTGGTTATCACAGACAAAGAAGTATACAGTAGTTAAACAAAAAGAATGGCCGGGCAACAATGATTAACTAAAAAGGGGATAAGAATGAAACCGTGTGATAAAGTTAAATTGAATTTCTTTTATTGATTTTTTTTTTAGAAATTATTAAGCCTGGTAAAAACCGTATAACTCAGCTAGTAGAGTATATAATTTAATTTTACTAATCATTAAAATATTTATCGAATTTTAAAATATACTATGAAGTATTTTTTTTTTAATTTATCAATAAAAATTAAATATTAAGCGTGTGCACCAATAATACACATGATTTCTCAAAACGACATTGTATAAATATAACAATCACAATTAATTTATCCTGTACTACAATATTAAAAATACTTATTTGAGTAGATATTTATAAACCTAAGCTGTGATATTACCGGCATATTTTTCACTAAATATTTAGTTGAAAAAAAAAAAAATATACACAATATGAAAACTAAGACTCGAGTATTGGAAATTCAATGAATAAAAAAATAATAATAATAATAATAATAAAACAAAAAAAATCATGTATGAAGGAGTACCTATTCTTAAAGATAAAGGGTCTATTTATTATAAATACGTTTTAAAGAAGAAAGTAAATTAAATGTACCAAACAGATCTAATGAAAAAAAAAAAAAAAACAAACAATAAATTGATACTTATAAATTGTCCTAACGTACCTTTTGTCCTAAACAATTATTTTATTAACCAGAGGCTAATTTTTTTTAGAGTAATCATATAAATTTTTCGATATGACGATAGCCGATGTCCGTTGAGGTGGGATGTCGTACCACCTATAAACAAGGCAATGTAACATTCTTTACTCAATTAGGTTAGGTTATCACAGGCCGACAGTTATCATACACGGCAAAGACATTATTACCTGTCTGACCACCAATTTTTAATAGAGGTAGTCAGACAATATTTTTTAACTTACCACCCATAAAACCATAAGTGAGCATCAAGACGTTAACGTTTGGTGAAAGTGTACTAAGTGCGAAAGCAACAGCCGCGATAACGCTGCCTGCCATACACACTACTCGACATCCATATTTGTTGGTTAGTGCACTGACTATGGGACCTAAAATAATTACAACAAAAATGCAATAATTTAACTACTATCATGGTATTAATGTATTTGAAAAGACTTGCGGATAAAACCAAATAATAACTTACCGACACTGAGATACATTCCGGAAAGTAGACTTCCGACCCAAGCAGTTTTGCCTTTACCTTCTTGATAGTAGTTGACGAATTCACTGAGGAACACACCGAACGTATATGCGATTCCGTCCACCACCATGTTACACATAAAGCTGGCGAATACGATGACCCAACCGTATCCGCCATCCGGTGGAGGTGGCAAATCGTGATATTCACAAAACGAAATGCCATCGTCGTCGGTATTCTGAACGGGTCCCATAGCCAAAGGCGGAGAGCTGGCATTTTGCCTACCCGTTTCGTCGGCCCGATCGGCAGCCGAACACTCGCTTTCAGTCTATAATTTTATGAAAATAAACAGTTATAAAATTTACATAGCATATTATACTTAAAATATTAAATTTATTATTAATAACAATAATAATAATATATAACATTGTGTAAACATTACAATTAGCAATAAACACAGTTATTATTATTATTAGGTATTGAAATACAATACTTAAAGTGTGAAAAACATTAATTTCAATGTCATTAGGTTAATTAATTATTTAAGTATATATAGTTTAGTTTCATTCGCGTTTTCAATTTTAGCACGCAGTTCGTTTGCTGACAGTATAGCGTTCAATTAAACGTCCATTAAAAATGCGATCACAACTGGCGCCAAATTAATTATTGTCTCCCAGTTGACTTGCAATCGAGTTCGCCAATTCAATTTGTTTTTTCTAAAACTTTGCGGGTACCTTTTGACGGATATTCGATGCATTTCGTACGTGATATCATATTGTAGTCTCAAAGCTCTCAAGAAAAATTGACGAGATTTTATGGGACGCAAATTGAACTTTAGGACAAAAATCGAACGATTTTAAATCCAAAACAAACGGAAAACAATGAATTATTATATTAAGAAGAAATCTGTATTATGCGATTCGATGGCATCTAAAACCGAACTTTTTCTCAACGTTGTTAAAAACAAGCACGAGATAAAATAAATCTATAGGCGGAAATGTGCCTCCTCCCCCTCAAATCATCTAAAACCCATCTAAAATTCGTATTTTATACTATATGCTAGTCAAAATGTTTTATAATACTCTTATAGCCTCCCTCAGTGGCGGCGGATCTAGGGGGCGATAGGGTAATTTGCTCGTCTCCAAAATACATTAGTATAGTATGTTTATTTTCTTATATACTGTGGTAAAATAATGTATCATTATTGAAAGTGGCTTGTCCTTCCACCAAAAATTTAGGTGTGGATCTGACATTAACCCCCCCCCCCAAGGTATTAAAGATCCACCTAAGAAAATAATATTAAATCGCAGGTATACAGAGCTAACAAAAATCGATGGAGATCGATAAATAATGTGATTCAAAATGTTTTACCCATTATTTATTCTTTGATAAATGATTATACATTTTACGATGATTAGGAAGTAAAAAACAAAAACAAAAAAAAAAATGAATCATTAGTTATGTCGACTTCAAAATTAAACTATATATATAGTTGAATTGTCGACTATAGGTATTTTTAATTTTCAAGTTTGAGAGAGTATCACTTCCCCCTTTATGCTCGGCACTATGCGTACACGTTAAAAAACCCAATGTCACAATAAGTAGCTTTTTACCAATAGTCAATCACACGACAGAAAAACAGTATTCGAGAAAAATCAATTTCGATTCGTCAAACGCTACAATATTATTTGAACGTGTGATGTTTCGCTATAAAAATTAATAGTTAACGAAGCGTTTTTTTTTTCATCATTTTTTTTATACTTGCAGTATTTCTCGTTAAAAATAATTAAACGGTATGGCAATTATTAGACGACACATACATATAACTGTTGCGCGGAGGCCGGAGAGTTTCATTATGCGTGACGTACACGATACACGTATTATATTTTGTTAACAGTAATAATAATAATAATATTGTAAAACAATAATAATTCGTTTGGTATTTACTGGTAAATAGTTTGCAAACTATATATAGGGTATACAGAGTATTCCGTATAGATCGTGATCCTGCGATTTTCCCGTTAAAAATTTGATACCTATTTATGCAGAGGTATACGTATAATACCGTTATATTAGTTATATACTTATAACAATTCAAAATTTAGACTGGAGAATTTGATAAAAAAAAATAATAAAAAATAAATGGCACATTCATTTTTAGTCGATAACTTTTTTCTATAGGTACACTTCCAGTTTGAATTTTGAAGCATCACACATTAGTGTTACGTGTATTAGGTAACATTTTTGCACAATTATTTTGTACTCGAATCTGGTTTGAAATTGGGGAAAGGGGGTTCATGAATATTTTAAAATCGAAAGTTAATAGGTGATAACAGTGTATTGAACAAGGGTAAAATTGTATAATGTTTGACAAAAAAAAAAAAACACTAAAAACATTTTTACTGAAAATCTTCGTAGAATTGTAAATAATCACTTTATGTATATTTAATTGGATTATTCTCCACAAAATTTAGTGGATTCTCTCCGGACTTCAATTTTCTCGCTATCCGCTACGCTATGATGCAAATACACCTCCGCCAAAATGTAATTATTTCCGAAAATCGTTCATTCATTGGTATAGTGTTATGTTACCCCGTTTTAATCTACTCGTCTCTCGATTATAATTTATAATATACTATACAGTACATTCGTTGACCCGAACTTTCGACTACCCCTCCACCCTCCCTCTTTATTCACGACCGTGAGACTTGACGTCAGTATGGTTTTGCAAACTGAATACTATCCGTTTAATTTACGCGATTCTATTGTCGGAGAAAACCGATTAAACGGATTCGACTGCAGGTATTAATTATTTAACCGGTACGAAATATAATAACTGAACGCTTTACGATCCAACGATTGTCTTCCCAAAGACCACAACAATACATTAACAGTTATCTATGTGTTTTTCTATCGAAGCCGTTAGGTACTATGTAAAAAATATTACTCTCGAATTACACAATATGCTCTTATAAAACACGTAAAATAAGTTACAGGGATTCGAAACAGACATTTTCTTGCTTTGTTCAACACACGTGTAGTATAACAATTTAGATCAGTATTTGAGTAGCAGACCAATTATTATGGTGAGGCGATAAAAACTCTCAATGCGGATTTGAATTCGACGTGTACACTTTTTCGAATTTCAGTCCTAAATTTCTGTGGAAATAATAATTTTTTTTTCTATCAACTTTAAATTTTTTTTATTGAAAATCACGAATTTAATGAAAATAAAAAATTTAAAACGTCAACATTTTCAGAAGAATAAACTCTATAAAATGATTATCTTCAAATTTTTCGAAAATAATAAAATAAAAAGTTAAATTCTCAAATGCATGGTCTAAACTGGCTATATGCTATGCATGTGTTAGACAAAAATTAAAAATATCAGTATCAAATTCGTTTACGTATAATATATAAACCGATTGATATCACAATTAACGTTAATTGTTTACCTTTTTTTTTTTTTTTGGCTGATTGTTCCTGTAAGTAATTGTATTTTATTTTAGGCCATTGGTTTTTGGTCAGTGTTGTATTTCTGTAAACACTTTTTGTAATCGGAGCTAGGAACGCTCGGAAATAGGTTCACATAGACAAAATATAATACGGTGCAGATATCTCTCTGTGATAACATACAAAGAGTGTGATAAACAGATTACGTATATACTAGGCATATTAATTCTAACGTTTTAGTAGCGAAACCTGTTTTTAGCAAAATCTATATCTATACATTTTGATATTATTAACACGAAGACTCGAAAATTAAATTTAAGTACACCATGAACTATGTTAATAATATTATTTTACACTGAAATTCGTCCAGTATTGGGATTTCGGCCGTCGGAGTGAAAGAGCTGCGGACGTTATAATATTTCGGAGTTCAATGCAAAATCAAATGCGGAACACATTAACCGCGCATCAGCTGTATTTGATTCGTTTGTTTGATTTGGATTGGCATTCGTATAATTAACGTATTTATTGCGGATCGCGTGAAATTTTACAGAACCAATACCTGGCCGCTGGTAGTGAAATTATCAATCGTTTGGTAATTTTTAAATTTTTTTAAAAAAAAAAAACAAGTTGTTGAATCGATTTCAGTTCTGTACAATTTTTGCAGAGGTGTTTAAACAATACATTCTTCATCGTTTAATTGACATTTTGTTATCACGCAAATACAAATAACCGGGATTGGAAAAAAAAAAAGTAAACGGTTAAAACCATAAATCATTTAGACGACGTATTACACATTACACGCGGAAATCCAAACAACAGAATACTTAGATTAACCGTATATGTTCAATAACTGTAATATTATAATAATAATTACCCAATTATTAATTTACGCCGATTTTTTTTTGTTTTTTTAAACACGGTTAAACGCCGCGTTACAAATACAATACATTCAGTATAACGGTATGGTATATACAGCCGTATCTTGGGAAAAAAAAAAAAATTCAAAGATAAATCGCCATCAATATCACGCTATCGTACGATAACGTGTTCGCAATCGCGAACGAATAATATTTATAAAAACCGAGACGGAAACTTTTATGAGCGTACTATAACCTCACAAATCGAATAGCCCCGGTGATGTGATAATAAATGATGTAAAACAGCTCTGCGGGTGCAATAATATATTATCGCGGATTATAAAACGCGCGCGTTACGGCGAACGGATATGCGGAAAATCGAAAATACAAATTTTGGCGAAAACATTAATGCCTAATATACTCCCCCCCCCCGCCTCCATTAGCTCTGTATAATGTTGTAGCGTTGATATATTTGAACGCAATTTATCGTTTCGCCATTTATTTTACATAATTTAATAATAAATAAAAATTAAAAAAAAAAAACAACGTTTCGTCACTAGCATAGTGGGTGGGTGGGTATTAGTTTTAAAGACGCAAAAAAAAATTACATACAAAATATTAGTATTAAAAAAAAATAATAATAATAATATACAATACGACTGTACACAGTTTATACGGCGCGCGGTATTTTGCCGTATCGTAACTGATTTATTATCGTGTAATTGGCCACCTCGGGAAAAACCAATAAAAGTTATAATATGCCTGGTAAAATACGAAAATTATCAATAATAATTACGTACCTAATTACGAATTGTTTTTTTAAACGTGATATTTTTAATTGGCTCGCTACTATTGTATAAACTACACTATGTTGTTTATCGACAACAGTAATAATGATATTTTGTTTCAAGCGATTGCGGAAAAGAAAAACGATGTGTTATACTGTATTGAACACATATCGTGACCATACGGAGTTCGACAAGTCTTACACACGAAACGGAAGGCTTATTATAATGATAAAAATACGAAAAGCTAAAACGACAATAATACGGCCGTCTACGAGGTTAACGGTCCTCGTGACCGTGTGTAGTATTATAATGCGCAGCGAGTGACAACAGAAAAAAAAAAAACAAACCGAATCGTAGTTTTTTTTATTAATTTATCGCAGTTTACGTGCGCGTTATATTTGCTGTAATACATGCTTGTGTACAAATTATAATTTTATATTTCCGATTGCTACGCGTGATTTTTTAAGTAAATTGTTTAATACGAAAATGTTCTCAGCTATTATTTTTCGTCAACAGCAATAAAAAAAAAAAAAAAATCTTAAGGGATCTGTGCGCGTCCTGCGTATATTTTGGTCAAAAACACGTTTTACACAAAAAACGCTCATGCCCTTATGTAGAAAGAACCTATACCTATGTCAATCATCTTTCTTTTTTTTGTTTCGAAAATGGGAAGACTTCTTACGCGTTGGAATTGAAATTTACATATTATTATGCTAAACGTTATGCAGAGAGTTATTATATAAGTATTATTATTATTATTGTTCTAGGTTATATAATCAAAAATTAATGTCCAATGTAGGAAGTTTTACATTTTCCAACAGGAAAATAAATCCAATTATACTCTACAAGACACGAGAGTTTATATTGTAAAGCATTTTGAGCACAACCACAGGTCGTGTGCAGGTCCCTTGAAATGAACTTTAAAACTGATTGAATTATTTGTTAATCATAAATATTGATAATTTGTAAAACACTAAGAGCGAGTCTCTTAAATAATTATCGTAAACATCGAAACTTTCCGATTTTACAACGCAGTATGTAGGATATAATTTAATAACGGAATTGAGTTACCTTCCATACCGTAGTTATAGGTTATACGAGTAACAGTTTGGTAATACTAATATGGTTCGAGTTCGTCGCAAATATAATATATGTTATCATCACACACATCACGTTTTATGAAAATTTAAATTATCAGGTAGGTACCGATTAGTATTATTATTTTTACGGTAGATAGGAGGTTTATATACGAAAAACCGTTTAAAAAAAAAAACACACGGACGCGGCTGTACAATATAAATCGGTATAAATCGACAGTGTATATATTATGTAAATAAAAACCAAAAAAAAAAAATAAAAATAAAAATAAACGACGTCACACAATCCTGTTTTCAAAATGAAATATTTGAAATCGTATACATTCTTGCCACATAGACAAACTAATGCGTTGACTGTAGACTGTGATGTGTTCGCATATACTTAATAATGAATATATATATATACATATTACACTATTGCACACAGGACAACAAAATTCACTTAAAAAAAAAAAAAAAACCATCTTCGAAAATAGATATCTTGATTTTTAAATCTACCGTGCACCTATCTGTACACATAAATATATGTATACAGACGCGTATAAAATCAATATAATATTGTGAAATGAATTAAATATTTCGCGTTGTATCGAAAAATGTAAGTGTGCGCATGACAGGTGCCTAACAATATTAGACGTAACATTACTGCAGTATTGATGGCGTATGCGTTCAAAACCCGCGTCTTTGTGCACTTTTGATAAATCTCTCGGCGGGTTCGTAACGCATAGTACGGCAAACTACGGTGCATCACAAAACACACGTACCATAAAACCCTTAATCTTGGGCGTTTTATGCATGTTATACACGTATAACTTTCGCCATCAACTTCCACTCAATATTATGCATATTATGTGATACCTCTGCTATTACGCCGGTGACATTTACAATTTAATACGTGCACAATTAATGTTCTACATTATACGTTATCATCCCTAGAAGCACACGGCGAATATACACAGGGTGATTTTTTTTTTCACACCTCAACCTCAATTTTCTCGGAGGATTTTAAGTGAATTTGTTTTCTGTTCCATCATTGCGGTATTGGTTATTATCGATTTATTATTTACTACCCTTCCTCTGGTTTAAACTTTAAAGTATAACTCATAAACAGTAAATCTGATATTAGTGTTACGTATATTAAAATTTCTAAAAAAATATTTTCCATTTAAATCTGAGTTCGAAAAGGAGGAGGGCTCCTAAAAGAAAAATTAAATTATATATTTGTTTAAGGTATATGAAGTAGGGGTGAAAAACTAGAAATGGTTTTAAATAAAGCTTAGCCGATTCCGTAAAAATTAAAAAAAAAAACCAGAAATCAAATTCACTTGACACCCTCCGATAAAAAAAAAATCAGGCTGTAGGGTACAGAGAAAAAACCAGAGAGGTCAATTTTTTTTTATATATATATATACTATGTACAAAAATTCTACCAGAAATCTTGCTACGATGTAGACCCTCTTCTGAAAGGAAATTTTTTTGGGATGGCACTTTAAGGAGGTCATTTTTCGATTTTCCCAAGAGTTTTTCCAGCAAATGTAAAAAACCGGACATGATAAATAAATGTATTTTTTTTTTTTATTTTTTATTTGACAAAGATTGCAAAACCTCCTTTACGTTATTATGTAGACAAACGCGTTCCATTGACAAAGTCCTTGCCGATAATATATTTATACTATTATAAAAATGATAACGCGCTAAAATAACCGATTTAAAATAATAATGTAAACTGTAAAGCGTATAATATTAATTATTATTCTTTGTTACGCAACGATTATTATTTTCATAACATAATACGATATTATAATATTATAGTTTTGTTATAATTCGGCGTGGGAGTCGTATGTCATCGTATTATATTTATAATTTGTAATATTATAATACTATCGTTGAAAAGATCTCGTCGGAGAAATATGATGAAAAAAAAAATGCTCCGTCGAGTTGGACGTGAGAAGTAGAAAACGAAAAATCAAACGTACACAAAAAAAAACCCTAGCTATGCGAAATCGAATACACTGCAGTAGGTATGTATAATTTGTGGAGAAAATTTTTATTGTCTGCTTGTATAATTATTATAATATTATATTCGAAAATAATATGAACTTATACAAAAATTGCGGTTATTATAAGTGACGGATGTAATATGCTGCAGTTTTTATGGAAGACAGTGATTTTAAAACTCACAGAGATAATGGGGTAAAATTGTTTAAGTATTAAGTTGTAGGTAATAATTATATATTTTATTGTGTAGTGGTAACGAAAATCTCAAGAGCGTGGCGATCTCCCCCCCCCCCCGATATCTGTCATTGGTTATAATAATATACTAAGTAAACGTCTAGATTATTTAAACGAAATAATTATAATAACAATAGCTTTGTTCGTTTTAACAAAAAGTGTACACTTTTTGAGATAGACTTTACATCATAATCGTTTAATGACCGTAGATTCGACACCTACACATTTAATGACGGTGGGTATAGTGTATTCCTTAAGTGTACGTTATTTTCTCAAAATAAACATACTATAATAATATGTTTGTTTGGCTATACACCTTTGGTGTATGGTGTATTGCCGATGCCAAGAAATAAAAATGTACCTACTGTGTAAATAATTATAATACAATATTATTATAATGTACGTGTGCCTGACAAAAAATTTTTCCAGACATAATAATATGTATAAGTACATTGTACATCTATGTAAGCGTTTAACTCGTGTAAAACGTATAAATTCGATGATAATTATTATTTTTTCTTCTTTTTCTCTCCAAGAGTTTCGGCTGCTACTAGAATATCACGTTATTTATCTACTTGATCTTGTAACAGATATTTCGAATTAGCTACACCAGTCACTCCAATATGCAGATGCTCATCTATACTCCATCTATCCATCTCTTTTTTCTGCCCGCCTTTTTCTTTGAGGTATACAATCGAAATCCTACTCTTAAAAAGTCATTTTCTTTTCGACGCGATGCACTAGTCTGCACTGAATCCTATCCGATTTCCAACTTTACAGTACCCATTTAAAATAATACAAGGACGCTATTTTTTTTCGGGGGGGGGGGGGGCGGTCAAGATGTGCGGTTGCACCTCTTATTTATTATATAGTTAAAATTAAATTGTACTTTTATATTCACAATATAGTTATTTTACTGTCAATCATGGTTATAGCTTATATAGGATTAGCCCATATCAGTGATATATGTTTATTAAAATAAATATGCTATCAATTAATCCAATAAATAATAGATATATTATACGTCCATAATCATTATTTATTATAATGAACCACAGGTTAATATGTTCAATTATTAGAATCTTAGTTATGGTAGATGTATTTGCTTTCTTAAAAATCGTCGGTATCAGCTTATACTTAAACACATATGAATATATATTTTTTTTAAGCATTTTATTTGTGCAAAAGTTATAAGCATGAAATACATAAACGATATTAGTGTTTTTCGTTATCTTCAATCTTTTTAAGCATTACTTATTGGTTTTCACAGGAAAAGTACTTAATCAACTATTGATTATCTTTTAGTTTTGAAATTGCTTTTTACTATTTATGCAGATACGGTCCGTGATCTATGGAAAAAATTTAAAGCATTTTGTACATACTAGGTATATCTAATTTTATATTGCCTGGTGAAATTTCGAAATGACCAGCTTGAAACCTCGCACACGGCACACCCGTAGAAAATAACTTAAATGACGTCTCTGTAATAACAGCGTTGTCATGATATTGAAAATCATGTTTGCTTACGAAGTTAAATCTAAATTTAAAAATGAACAACTAAACCGCCCATATTATTCCTACTTGGTTAAAAACAATGACAAAAAAGTGTCGATATTGCATCGACTATATATTATTAATAATACTATACCAACTAACTATCATTTAAGCGAAACGGAATATTATTAGACGCGCGTTAAATTATAAACACGAGAAGATGAAAGCAAATCGATCGCAATTGGCAGTGTTCGCGAAAAACTATAAGCGAGTTTATAATCTCGACAAATGACGTGATGTACACTGACGCATGCGCACTGGCTATTAAAAGAAACGTTTTAGTTTTAGAAAATTCTAATATAAGATTAAAAAAATAAATATGTACCTACCTCATTTTATAATATACTAGTATAGGTACTCGTTTAAAAACATCCAGTACCTACTATAAATAATATTCAAAACAAACGGAAAACTATCAAAAAATCAAGGTAGTTTTTAAAAACACGGACATACTTTTCACGGTGGGTGGACCACTATTGCAGGTGGGAAGTTGGGAAGGTAGGATATATAGAGCAGAATTTAGTATATATCTGTGCGCAACGATAAATCATTTCTAACAAAAAACGGTTCTGAGCAGATTATTATTAATCGTATTTTTTCTTTTGTTGCCAACAAGATGACCCAGAAATCAACAAAAATTTTACCGAAAATTGGCAGTTTTCCCCATTTACTAAGAAAACTAAAAGGAAAATCGAAAAATGACTTCCTCAATATACCAACTAAATTGAAAATTAAACAAAAAATGTTCATATAAATTTTTTTTTATTTTGGAGCAAGATTTCTGTAAAAAAGTTGTTTACAGGCATAACAAAAAAAAACACCGTAAAATCATTGCATTTATCGCTTTGCTCAGAACCTAAAACAGCAATACAATTTTTAAATTATACTTAATAATTTGAATTTTTACTGAAAATATTGTATACAGTTGACAAAAACAGTTAGCTAATATTGCTAATCAACGGGACGAAGTTTAGTTTGTAAAGAATTCGAACGAGTTATCAATCAATATTATGCCACTGCGGACATCGTAATAATATTATGTTAACAAGTATCGTTTCTTCTATATACAGTTCGGAAGTTTTATTATAAACTGTCGAGACGAAAACGAGTACTGACTTATTATTTGTGTTCGTCCAATAAATATTAATTGATCGGAACAACTATGAAGAACGATCTGGGTGCCAGCATAAAATAAAATAATAATAATGTACCGTTGCAGTTGGAGATACATTGTCGTACTTATAAAACGATTTGATTTCGGTAATTTTGAACTGAATAGAATTTAAATAAATTACAATTAAAAAAAAAAAAACAAAAAACTACACGACTTTGACATGGTTATAAAGAGAAGAGGCAGAAGATAATAAATTTAAAAAACCGAAAGTTTCGAAACATCATCGATTTATGTTATTATGCGCTCACACACACATATATATTATATTTATTATAAAATGTTATTATATGCTTTGATGATTAAGTATAAGTAAGTGTAATGAGTTTTGTGTGGCCTGTGGGTGAAACTCAGAATTAAACCGGTCACGTTATGTTTCGAAAAGACGAGGATAGCTAGACAAAAAAAAATTATAAATAAATTTAAATTTAATTAAAAGCGCATAATATTGTAAGTACCTACCGATTAAAATTAAATTTTGAAATACTTGACGTTTTGGCAGACGTAACCTTGCAGGTTGTATAGACATATATTATACAGCCAGTAAAATTTCTAACGTTTCTCATTTGATAAAAAATATTAACGCCGGCTTATTATTTTAAATTATGAGAAAAATGTGTTTTATATTGCGACCGGAACAGACGAGTCGGGGAGAAATGACACATTTTGCAAAAATTATCATATCTTTTTTTAAGTATACCCGTACAATATATTGTTATACGGGCAATAAGCAATGCGTTATAATTTTAATTTTTACATTTTATAACACAGAGGCCGTCCGAGAATTTAACAATAATAAATTTGAGTATAATAATAACATTATTATTCTCATTGCAATCGACCGCGGATGACGGACGCTGGACCGCAACGAAACCGCGATGCCAAGGAAAACCACTATTATATTGGTATAAATACTGTGTAACTAGATAAATATAATTAAATCTTAGATTAAGTATACGCAGGGTAATAATAATATATAAATGTTATTTTCATTGACCTTTCAAAATGAACGATTTATATATGATTTAATCAAGATTCAATATTACATTCGTGTCGATCGACATTGCAACATAAGTCGGATAATAATAATATCCTTAGTGTTCAACGGCTCGCTAACAAGTTATTCTATTAATTTTTCAAGAGTACTAGTTGTCTCCGCTAATACAGGCCATATCTGCAGTTAGGTAAGGAAATTAAATAATATTTATGAAGATGTCACGGAGATGTTAAAATTCTAGAATACGGATTATCTAATTTGCATCCCCTCCCCCCCCCCAAAAAAAAACTAAAGAAAAAGTATTTAAAATGTTTCGAAAGTTAAAAACGTGAAATGTTCCAATCGTATACTGACCCATAATTATTAGTCGGGTATAATATTAACTAATCTTACACGATAAAAACCGAATCCCTTTTACACTGAATAACAAACACGAATTCATATGTATTATACGTTGAATATTTAAGTAGAATAGCGGTCATTTGACCTCAGAAAAAAAAAATCACATTAGTAAGCGCAACCCGTAGGTAAACACATACACACGTAGTGTTCGTATTTGCGTCTGCTGGGATACATTTTGAAAATGAGACGACTAAACATAAATGAAAACTGATCGCAATAATAACGATCATGCAGTCGTTTTATTTTATATTACAAATAACGTAATTTATAATTTAACATTTACTATAGGCTTGCATGGTGCAGTTTTGCGCATTTTGAACGTAAAAAAGTACCGTGTCGTGTGTGAATACGATTTCAAATCGTTTTGAAATCGCTAAAATGTTTCGTATGTTTAATAACGGTTTGAGAACGGAATATAAAAACGGGGCGTTAGTCTGATATTATAATATGTTATCACGATATTGTTTTATCAGATTTCCTATCAAGTTCCATATTATTATGTTTGGTTTACGTAATAATTTTACTCAAGCCGTTATTAAAACTTAATTATGATACCTATCATCGTCACAAATGTAATTTAATGGATATGTGAAAAATCGTCGTGTATGGCTACGTGAATGTGACTACGCCGACGCCGGATATGATTATAATTACAGTATACCCGTACGACACAAACATAAATATCAATATTAAACTACTAATTCATAAAATAAAGGTTTTTTTTTCTTTTCGCGAAATTACCTAGCTCTATTTTGTTAAAACGTAAAATCGGTTTTGAGTATTTGCATACAAACAAATGTATATTTTTAAAAAACCGTTTCGATTTATTTCAAAAAACCATTTAACTGCATCACATTATATAAACGCAGTATTTGTTATCTACAATGATATTCAATATCGTAGCGTTCGATTCGCGGCGGAGGAAGTGAAACAATTTATGTGCGCTTGAATGGAAACGAATGAATGTTGAATATTTATAGTGATCCTATTAGAAACATGCTAAATTATTTAACGAAATTATTAGAAATAATTAGTTGGATACCGAATACTTACGTTTCGTTACAGGATAATACGTTTTTTAAACCATTTTTTTTTTTCAACAAAATTCCATCAATCGCCAAACACAATTTCCACGATTCTGTACGTTTTTAATCACTTCAAAGTCCAAACTATATATTAAACAAGTATTTGGAAAGAACTTATTTAATTGTTTTTTTGAAGGAATGTGAATGAAAACGGCGGAAAACAAAATTTGAATTCTATTTTAATGCTATAAACATCTAATGAAAATTCGAGTGGTACCATTGAATCAATATGTTTAGTCGATGTATAAAATACATTCGTGGGATCACAAAAGAAATATGAAACAATTATATTTTTGGATTGCATCCCAAATATTCATATTCATATTTCATAATGAATGATATAATAATGCAGTACTAGACATTTTCCAAGCACCGCATTAAATCATATTAATTTGGTAATATACTCGGCGGTGAAAATGCATAAATAAAATTTGGCAAGTACTGAATATATAAATAATATTCTCGAACTTACCTACGCCGTTTACAAATACATTTAAAATGTCTTTCGGCGGAAATCGCTAGTACATTGAACTTTAAAACTATAAGAGTAAATATTATTTACTTTGGTGAAAAACGTTCGGTTTCGATTAGGTTATTAGATTAAAGCGAATATTGAAGAAGTTCGATTTTTTATTATTATTTACTGCACTTTCCATGACGGTAAAGTATTCAGTTGTTTCCGCAAAACTAAAACGTCCCTATAGGCATAAAATAAGTTTAAATAAAAGCGTAGTATAGATTCCTGTACATAAAAATATAGCCTTTACTAGATAACCGAAGTTTTACATTTTTCTAACATTTAATTTCGAATTCAAAATATAATTTAACATTCGTTTTCACTAAAACAGGCGACACACGGCTATCATTTGTGTAATTATAATCATGTTTGTACGGTATTGGTATATAAGAAATTAAAAATGCTAATAAATCAATCATATACCCACATCAGTAAGTTAAAGTTAAGTAATATTATAATATTCAAGAATATAATATATTCTGTTTAATCATACCTTTTTAGACACGTAAATCTCTATGAACATATCTAAAAAAAAAAAAAGTGGTTTTTGATTATTATTGTATAATAATTTCTAATGAAAATTCGAGCTGAATATTAATTGAAAAAACTGGTTAGATGCATAATATATTTTTGTACTAGAAAATATTTTAACTACAGGCTACTATACGATAAGTATAATAATATTATGTAAACTGTGTAAGTCTACTAAAAAAAAAAAAAAAATACATAAAAATCGTCGGCTTAACGACATGCCGTTCCGTTCAAAACGTACCTATAATATACCTACCTATATTTTATTAACGTTCAGGCTAGGGAATTTATAAAATCGTTATTCCAGAATGTTTTCAAAACTCGAGACTAGTTTGGTAGAACACAATATTTGTGTAAGACAAAAAAAATAACCGAACGAAAAAAATAATATTATATATTAACACACTCGGTTCAGTAGAATTTTCACTGTTTTTTTTTTTTTTTTTATACAAAATATTATCAAAAAGGACGTCACTTGCTTCGTGTGCTGTGTTCGTTTTATAGACGCACGACACATGGAAAATTTGCGTTCAGCAGAATCAATTTAGTGCCGTTAGTATACTGTAATATACGGACATTTTTTTGAATTGTGATATTTTTACATAGTCATTAGATTGTTTGAAAATTAAAATGTACAAAAAAAAAAAAAAAAAAAAAAAACCGACGACGTAGTAACACGCCCATGCAATGCGTTCGCATATACTTTTGGGTTTGACAATAAGTCAATTCGCTCTAATGTCAAAACAAACGGCAGGATAAAAACGGTCCTACTAAACGGACATTCGCTACGCCTGTACACGTTAACATTGTTTTTGGAGAACGTTTGTTTTGGGATCCTTTCACTGCGAGCGCGGTAAAGGAGCGAATGGTCAAACGAATCGTTTGTTCGGTTTGAATCGCATTCTGCCGACATTGCTGTAGTGTTGGCTCGTTCGTTCGCAATCGCGAACTAAAACGAAAAATTCACAGGCCTTTAAACTTCTTACCGGAGAGGCAGACAGAGAGAGGGAGAGAGATACCACACGCGACACAGTCTCGCGGCGGCGGAGGAAGCCGGAACAGGCCTGCGAATAAAATTAGTTTGGATTTGCGGAAATGCAATTTTTGAACGGTACATTCGATTTTCGAATTACAAAGACACCGCTGTGTAAATGACACGCTCGCAGATTGCAGAAGCGACGCGAAGAGGACGGGGGCGGGCTGCGTACGGACGTGTATAAGCCACCGGCGTACAAAACAACGGTACGGCAGAATGTCAACAGAATTCGCATTCGTTCGCGGTGCTCGGACCCCGCAGTGCAGACACTCCTGTACGAATGCGCAAGCGCGCGCGCGGGAATCGTGTCCGCTGTTAAAGAACAGAGATTTATTTAAAAAAAAAAAAAATTACAAACGATACGCCGACACTCGCGAAAGAATACGAAACAATAACGCACGGAGAACCGAACAGTGAGTGTGCAATAATTTATTGGGTGAAGATGAATAGAAAATCAGATATTCCGCGTGCGATATCCGCGCGCCGTATTACATATTTTATGGGACGCTGCGTGTAAAAAGCGTGATGAAGGGGGGGAGGGTTGTCTTCTTTTTATCGCTCGCGTGATATAAATAATTTATTAATATTCCTTCCGTTATTTCACTATTGATTATAATATTTAGACGTTTATTATTATTATTGTTGTTATCATCACACGATACGTTAATAATAAAAACAAGAAACGCAACGAAATATTCGAGAAATCAAGAAATGCTGGTGGGAAGTATTGCGTTAACGTTTCACTCAATTCAAAAGGGCTTTTTTTTTTTTTTTTTTAAGAAAAATCCTGGGATCCGATTTTCAATAATTCAACAATTTTCAAACGCACGACTTTAAACGTTAAGAAATATCTCGAGAAATACCGATTCTTGTTTTATTGAGAAAAACAAATTACGAATAAATATAATCATAATATTGCACGCACATGAAATAATATACCTACACAATATAATGCGTGTTATATCTACACATTTTTTTTTTTTTTAAACCGAAGAAAAATGTTATTTTTTTAGACGTAAATTGCAATTTTCGTGATTGGAAAACAAATTGCATTCGTCAAAGTCGCTTGAAAATAATAAAACAAAACAATTCGAATCGGTTGTTAACAAAAATAGTCGTTTCCGTTTAAGAAAAGCGCGAGTTTTATGCGTACGCGATTGGGGTTGACATTTTGAAAACCGACTGAAAATCGGCCGTCTCAAAACTCCCGGTCCTCCCCGCCACTCCTCGTCCCATTCCGTCCCAAGTCCTAAACGCCGTACTTGCTATCTAATATTTATATATTATGGGTGTTCGTATTCGTTTCCCTCCCCCCCCCTCACGGAATATTCCGGTTTTATTTCGGTCGATATTTAAGAAGGGCGTTTCGGCGACGCAGTTTCCGGCGATCCGGTCGCTACCTACACAGTACACAGTCAAACGAACGAACACGCCGTTTTCCGCGACATTGTTTACAGCGTGTTGCGCGACGACAACTCCGGAAACGTTTTCCGACAACCAGAGTGTCCGCGGAATCGGCGAACAACACGAACGCTACGCACGCGCGGTCGCCTTCGGTAACCGCGGGCGGCGAAATTCGAAATAACACCGCAACACCGCACGGTGAACAAACCGACGTGCCACCGCAACCAACCGTGTCGAGTGGCGACCGGTTTACCGGATCGCCGGAAAAAAACGTTGTTATCGGGCGGGCATGTCCGCGCCACTCCGCGTGAAAAACGGCCGCGGTAAACGGAATACTTGGACGACCGACAACCCCGAGGAGGTAAGACGCGATTTGGCGGTATCCGCGGTCGAGTACCGACGGGGGGACAATATTGAGGGGAACTAATATCGCGGACGATAAACGCGTTCCGAGCGCACTTCGATAACACCACTAGCGTGCTATTATCGCGACGAAAAACTTGCGCGTGCGGCGTTATATATCGCGATATCGCGGCGCGCGCTCATACTCGGGGAAAAAAAAATAATGAATAATAACAACAGTAGTACGCCTTATGAGAATTTTCGCCGTCTCTTTGTCCGCGCCATTGTCTCGTTACTCAATAATTAGAAATTTCGCAATTCGAATTCACGCAATAAATAACAATAACAATATCGGGACCAAAGTGCAACGTCGATGCTGAACGAACGCACGTTATCAAACAGCAATAAACAAGACAAATATTAATCGACGGCGCACGCTTGTGCGGATATCTAAATCGAAACTGATTTGTCGAACTCGATACTACGCGTGTTATTCGTTTTTATTAATTATTGATCGCTGCTGTTAATTTATGTTTTTCAAACGCGGAATGTCGATTCGTTTGGAAAACGATAGTGTCGTAATGCGCGTAAACGGGCGGGGGGGGGGGAGGAGACCAATGTGAACTGCGGGTCTTCGGAATTTTCAAATTATTTGTTTACCGGCCGATGCATCGTAACGTAATCATTTATCACCACAACAACAACAACAACAACAACAACAGCAGTACAAGGACGTGCGTTAGAAGATGATAATTATTATGAAACGACAACAATTCATGTAACACGCGCGCGGAATAACAAAACTACACTTAAATATATTATGTATTGTACCGACCCCGTGCGGCCAGTAACACAAATCGTTTTTAACACTTCGGATTCCGATAGAGATTACATTTTCACGGAACAAAAACTGACATAAAAAAAACGAAAAAAAAAGAATAACACACACTTCGGACCATGGGTAGGCCACTGTCGTGTGTGTGTGTGTATGGAGTTTAAAAGGCATAGTACATAATATATATATATATATATATAGAGAGAGAGAGAGAGAAAGAGATCAATGTAGTTTGTGTGTATACACATTGATAATAACGATCCACAATTGGGGCCGAAAAACAATTCTGAACAATTTTGAATCTAGAAAATTCGTTTTCAAATAAAGTACCGCCGGGCGAATATCCGTCGCATCCCTTACACACGCGATGCATCATGTGAACGATATCCTGTGCATTGTTACTACTGAACAAAATGTGTTTTTCGAACAAAAACGGCACACGTCTATTACAGTGAAACTGTAATGGGTACCCAACACGACCGTAACTTTTCGACTATACGAGCAGGATACAAAATTGGAAAAAAACAAAAACAAAAAAAAATTTAGACGTTAATTCATAAAAAAAAAAATTCTAATGTAATAATCATTGCAATATTATCACCCGAACCGTATCGATAATAGGTAGGCAATTATAATTATCGGGCAAATTCGTAACTTTTAGAGAAATTATCGGAGTAAGTGCGGGTAGAAACAAATACTATACTATACAAGTAATTGTATTTTGTATACAATATAATATGTTATGCAGGTATCTGTACGGTATATTTGAATCGGGCAGGATAATAATCGACACGTTCGACATCAATGCGAATGATGAACACGGGCCGGTTTGCCAACGCACGTTCCGATTTATCGGAATCGGAATCGGCCGTATACCAAAATAACGATTTCGGGGTTAGGTCGGGCCGATTTTCCGCGTGTTCGGATTAACGACGAGCACAACCGAACCGGTCACTGTCGAACTATTCGATGATCGACCGCATATGAGTGCAGCACGGACGGAAAACCATTCTCGGCCGCGGAGAAAATACTGTCCGAATCGCCCGTTCGCTTTTCCGAATAAACGACGCGCGTTCGGCGGTTACGGGGAAAACATGTCCCGAAAGCGAATCCAAACTATCGGAAATCGTTGACAGTACGCACTGTCCGGAAGCGCCCGTCACCGAGGCCGGGACACGTAGACCCGAGGAGGGAGACCGTGAAAATAAAATAAAATTACGGGACGTTAAAAATAAACAAATTAAACGTGTGGTGTAAGCGTAGTGCGTAACAAGTAAACCTACAAAAAAAAAAACCATAATTATTACATGATATTTACGGAAACGACACGGACGTGAAGGCCTTTGAATACCTACAAATAACACATGTGTGTGCACAAAGACAATATTATTTTTTATGAAGGCGGCCAGTCAATTAAATTCTTCTGCCGTTTCGTGTACTTTTGTGCTGAGCTAATTGCCGTCGAGTGTAATTTATTATCTTTTAAATAAAATATTGCGAAACTCGTTAAAAGAATCGTTTTTTTTTATTTTTAAAAATGCGGCCGTCACTTATTATTGTATATACCGTGCGCAACACATTCGCCAGAAATTTGATCAAAACAATCGCCCGCCAATGCTGTTGTAAAGTGGATTTCGTCGAATAATGCCGTAAAGACTACGTGAAATCAATTTTGGACGGCCGCGGCGCCGAGGATTCAAGTCGCCTAACCTATCCGAGGTGCCGAGGCATAGATTATTGTTTTTTCAAAGAACATCACCTCGAGATTAGCGAATTCCTCACCGTCGCCGACGTTAATAATAAAAGTACGCACTTGGAAAATGTCAATATGTCAAACGCGACTATCAAAAATCAAACTCTTCGGCCGAGCCAACGCCTGTCAACGTTTGTTTGTTTAACTCGAAATATCGGTTTTCTCCGTGTTTGGTTTTTTAGTTAGATATATGTTGAAGTGTTTTCCATAGGAAAAAAAATAATAATAATAATAAATATATCTATACAAACACGAAAGCATTAATCCCGGACATTATCGTTATTTCTACCGAATAACAGTGCTTAGCCATTAATCATTCGACGCGATAACACAATGCGCGAACCAAAACGCAATTTTTTTTTTTTCCTTCGGTCATTGTCGAAGCGTACCTATTATTTATTTTAACAGTTTTCACGATAACGTGCGTTGCGAAAAAAACACCCGATTAAAATATATGCACGGTATACTACGGTTTAAAACTTAATGCGATTAAGGAATAATCGTTGGTCGTTTGGTTATTGAACTTTTCGAAACCTCCGGCTCGGGCGGCCTTATCAAAATCTGTTGGGTTTATAGAATTATAATCTCGGAGTTCAATTACCGCTAAACTCGAGTTTAATGTCGTTCCCAATACATACTCGTTCGTATACAGTGGCTACTTGAAAATAACGATAATTTACAGCGGGCACAGCAAAGCTCCCACAAGTACCCGAAGGTATTTAGCAGCGATGGGTACTACGCTACCGAGTGAAAACTATCGCACCACTCGATAGTTTTAAACTATCTATTTACTCGGTTGTTTTTAAAAAAACTATCGGGTGGAAAACACTCGGTAAACTGTCCGGTCAAAAACATCGGGTGCTACTACCGAACGAAAACCATCGACTGATTCGTTCGACAGTTTTCAAAACAAATCGACGGATAAAACGGTCTATTCGATCGACAAAAAATCACTCGGTTGTTTTTTCAATTGTCGATCGACAATCGACAGTCGAAACCGGTCGGTCCCGCCCATCACTAGTATATGTATTTAGACGCGGGCGTTTATCTGACGAAACGTTCAAAATTGTTGCCGTGAGAAAAACCGCACAGTATTATTAAAACTGAAAACTACGAATATTGATAAAGCAAATCGCCGTCTCCGGATCGATCTGTTTTGAAGATAAACAGCGACCTAATCTGTACAAAACGTACCTGTACCGGAGTCGAAACGTTTGGAAAACGATAATAGTATAGCTAAACCGAAATGAAACGGCAAGTGTTAACCGACAAAACAGTAACCGGCAGTTGAATTCCAGGTCATCCGTTCGCGGACAGGATGTAAAGTTTAACCGCAATCGAAAAAGAAAAAAATCGTGTACGAATTCGGCGTCAATGAACATTAACGGTGTTCGGTGCGTCCCTGCGTGGATTATTGTCGCCGAATAACGGCGAACGACAACGAGACACGCGAGGCGTATCTCGCGCGCGGACAGACGAACGGGATGATAAAAACGACGTTCGCTGTCGTCGACTCTGGGCGCGTTTCCGCCGGCCAAACGACGGGGCGAATTCGGAATATCGCGCACGAAAGAATGAAAAACGGGGTAGGGGCGAATTGACGGGTCCCGATGCGCCGAGGTCGTGTCCGTTACGTACAGACGGACAACCGACTCGACGGCGCAACGTAGCGGGAATACGTTCCCGAACACGCACGCGATACACGGCGAATAACGACCGATCCCGATGAGATATTATCGTTTCGCCGTCGGTCCTGCGGCCGGTCGAAAGTCGCGCTTTCGACGACGCGACAATAACACGATAACGACACGGCATCGACGTCCAATCGAACGGGCGCGCGCGCGACCGCGAACCGGTACACCGCGCCGCGTCGGAGCCGACCCGTATACCGCCGTCGCATTCGAACGGGCCGGAGAAACGGCGGCGGCGGCGACGTCGGCAACCGTAACGCCTCGTTTCTCGGGTGTTTTCACACACAAACAAACAAACAAACATACATACGTACAAACAAACGTACTACACAACAACGCTCACGGCTAATCGCGAGCGTCTCCCACCTGCCCGCCGCGAACGGTCGCGTAACCCACTCGTCGCTGGCGCAGAAAAAAAAAATAAAAAAATAATAAAAGAAATCGCTGTCCGGTCCGCGCCGATAAGCGTTATCAATCAACGTTTGCGAAATCCAGGCGATTGGATTCGCTGCAACAGTCGCGCGGCGTCCCGGGAGATTTTTACCGATTTCGTTACTCCCACCGATCGCGAATAACAATAAATCTTCGCGTATGACACTCCCGTATTGTACTATACTATATTATAATATATCGGTTGTCCGTTATACGGTTGTCGGTTACTACCGGGGGTACCCGCGTGTTCCTGGTGACGGCGGCGGCGGCGGCGGCGATGGTTCGATCGTACCCACCTCCGACCGCCCTGCACACACACTTTCATATTATATTCACAACAACAATAACGTTACAAAACAATATCGAAATGATGTAGTACGCAATGTAATAATAATATTATTATTGCGCGTACACCATGCACCGGTTGCGAATCGATGGCTAACGCGGTGCGCCACACGCCGGCGTCTAATTTTAGTATACCCGAACTCAACGGCGACGACGATGATAATGATGATAATGATGACGACTAGGGTTTGATCGAGAGCCAAAAAAAATACCGTATAGCAATAAAGGCGCGCCCTGAATTTCGTTATCAAGAGATTATATATTATTATTATTATTATATTTTACAGCACGCGCACGTTGCCGATATTTTATCGATAAAATACACCCTCCAACCCCTTTTCCGCGGCCTTCGCGTCGGTGCACGGCGGCGCACCGACACACGGTTTTCGTACGAGTTTTCAAACTGACCTTAGACATGACGGCGACGGCGGATCAAGACGTTGGCAGACGAATTGAGCGTGAATGAGCTGACGGTCGTTACGGAGCGGAACAGCAGCAACAGAAGCCGGCCGGCCGGCCGGTATACGCACGCGGGACGAACAAACGAGACGCACACGCGCGCGCGGTGTTTCAATGACAACAATAAAATGGCGTCGTCTCGCACATATCGGGTGTATTGTTTTACGAAACGGATATCGAATCGGTCGACGCGGGAAATATTGTTTTTATCGTCGGGACAGACGGCATAAACAAACGGTCGCACTGTGCTGCGACAGGACCGTACGGACCGTGGCGTCTGCGGCAGAGCGAGACACGACGGGATACAATGTTTCCGGGAAAAATAAAACCCAAACGGTTTTGACGACAACGGAAAAAATTATAATAATGATAATAATAATTATAGGTGGCGGCGCCGTTTGCAGTTGGTGGCGGTGGTGGTCCGTGGTTCGGCGTTGTACTACACGGACGTTTTGTGTGTTTGTTATTGTGCTGTAGTACTGGTAGCGCGGCAGGCTACTCGCGCGTCAAGAAACCATGGCCGACTGACGGGCTCGGTGGCACACACGCAGCACGGGGACGGTACGGCGACGTCGTTCGGACGATAGAAACCGTTGTGCCGAGGATCGCGCACGCGTGTACTCGTGTACTCGTGTACGGTTACACGTGCGTGTGCGTGCGCGAGAGCGCGAGCCGAGCGGAGCGGCCAAACTACACGCAACGAAACGCGCGCGCTACCGATCTCACTGACGCGACGCGACCGAGACGCGGGCGGCGGTGTACACTACACCGGTGGTGCCACAAATGTGCGCGCGCTCGTGTGTGTGTGTGTGTGCGCAACAAACGGAGTGACGACGGCGGCCACGGACGCAACAGCCATAATATCGCGGTGGACGGTGACGTCACGCGAATTACAGCCGCCGATATTATGTGAGAACCGTCGTCGGAGTCGTTTGTGATAATATTACACGGCTAGGTATAGGGTTTTCTTTAACCGTGAACAATGCACAATATACGCGATATTTTTATAACGCAAATAATAATATCGAATTTATTCAGATTTGATTTTTTTTTTTTTTTTTGTTGTTGTTTTTTTCTTTCTATGAATCACGGCCGGCGTACATAAACGGCTACCACGACGACGCCGGTTGTTATGCGCAATGCTTACGCACTATGCGCTGATCGATAACCCGTGTCGTAATAATTCGTAGATAATGTTATTATCCAACGTCAATACGATAATAAATATTATTACGCGCCGCAGAGGCGGTTCGAGCGTACACCGATTTGTGCGCGGTGCAACGCCGACGCCGCAAGCCGACAATTGTTGGCCGACGGCGGACGGGGTACTGGGGGGGGGAGTGCGCGCGGTTTTTGTCGCAGAGAATTTTCTCGTTGGACCGTAGTAAACGCGTTGGGGCCCGACAACCGGCACGACGGAAATTCGCGAAAATTCAAATTTAAATTCGGATCGGGTGCGGGCGAGTGGGGCCCCGACCGTGGCTCTAGCAGCGGTATTGACAGCACGTTTGGGTTCGCAATTTCGGAACGATTACTTTCGATTTCCCGTGACCTTTCCGCCCCTCTCCGTTGCAGCGTGATCCGAAACCCGTCGCGGTTGTTCGTCGACCGGGTTCTAGGCTCGTATTATCCTTGAAACGGTATCGTGATTGAACCGACAGATGGGCCGGGTTATCGGTATTGTCGCGTTGTTTTAGATAAAAAAAAATAAAAAAATAAAAAAATACAGCGTACTCAAACGTCGTATTCGTTTTTTACGCGAGCGCGCGATGAATTTCGGGTCGATTCGCCCAAACGCGTTGCTTGTCGGGTTACTACGACGTTGCATGCACCGTTATACAGGGTGTAGCACCATTCAAACGCCGCGCCGCCACACAAATGATGTTCCACTACACTGTCCCTGTACAGTATCCACCGGGAAAACGACAAAAACTCGAGTGTGGGATATCCCGTCAAACCCCCGTCAATAGTCGTGTAATTTATTTATATCAATTTAGTATTTTTTTTTTTATAAATATTGATAATATAGATAACGTTATTGATTATGGTACATTTTTTCGTGAACGCTCTCTCTAAAAATTCTTTTTTTTTTTTTGTGTGTACGCGCCTGGGCGTAAAGTAACCAATTTTTTAATTTTTTTTTTTTTTTCTAAAGAACCGATTTATTTAGAAAAAATAAATACCGAGAAAAAAAATCTGATACTTCCCGGAGTGGTGCGCCCGTGTTGAACACCCCGTACGTCGTGTTACACCCAAGTATAATATCAAAACCGCCTCTACAACGCCACGACGGCGACGACGACGACGGCGACGCCGGTTTTCGGATTACCGTCTCATCGGGGTCGTTGGTTCGACTACGCCGTAATACTAACCGACCGACGACGCCGATTGGTGCGCATTGTGTTTCGGAAGAGGGTTTTACTGCGTTCCGCGTCTTTACAATATTATCGTATTCACGAACGCCATGTGTTCGACGAGGGTAAGGACGGACACCGAGATAATGTTCCGTCCTCGCGCCGAGCGATCGTAATTAATATCATTGTTGTATGTATTGCGCCGTTCAAACATACACACGGTGGTTCTTTACAACACGCTACGCACATTGGATTTTTAGATCCAGTGGAATCTATTGGATTTACAATGATGTTTGATTTTTTTTTTTTTTTTTTTTTTTTTTTTCCGCGAACGACTTTCCGCCAACTCTGGTTTACACGCGGTAGCACATTTGCCGGGAGGAAATCTGACCGGGGAGGTACACCTCACGGAGGCGATTTTTTTATTTTCCCAGGATGTTTCTCGGTAAATGAGAAAAACGAAAAACTGGGAAAATAAATACAATGTTAAACAAATATTTTTAAAGAAAATATATAATATGATTATTTTATGATTATAATTCATCGACGTGAAATTAAAAACGGATATGAAATCCACTAAAATACACTACAAACATTTGAAAAAAAAAAAAACTATTATTTTTTTTTTATCGGGACAAATGGCCGCCCTAATTAATTATTACCGATCAAAATTCGTTTCTTACCTTATCCTGCAGTTTAAACATTTGGTATCAATATAAAAATTGGTCGGGGACCAATATTGTCCGATTATCATTGACTAGGTATAAACACGTGTTTGATTAAAAAGTTTGAGTTTAAAAATGCGGTCATATAAATAATAAATAGTAAAAAAATTCATAACTCCTTAATCTCTATCTTTAAATACGATACTGATTTATTAGACTTGTACAAACTTGTAATATTACGATTATTCGGAAACACATATATAATATAATAAAGAATACAATTTTGTAATAATACATAAATACATAATATTATAAATTATAATTTTGTTGTTGTACATTAAAACTCGTGGGTTTATGTGAGCTATATTATTATAATATAAATTGAGAAAAACAAAAAAAAATATAGGTTGGATACACTATTGTGTAACCTCTATACCTAATAGGGTCGGTATAGGTTCGTGATTAGGTATTAAATGTCGTAAATAAGCAGAACCGGCATTATAATATAATTGTACAAAATCACATATTTATAAAAAATTGCTTAGAAAAAAGTATTTAATTTAAAATTAAGTATAATATAATATTTATGTTAAGAAAACCCGCTAGAACACAAATATACACAAAAACTTGTTTGATTCTTAGTGCAAAGTATTGGTTTTACTAAAAATGTGTGATTTTCTCTGTCTTTAAACAACTTTTCTGCCAAAAAAAAATTTTGCTCCAATCAAAAAATGACGAAAGCTTTCCCATAGCATTTTTGGATCTACGAGTAGTTGGTATATTTAAGTTGATTTTCCTTATACTTTTTTCTTTACAGTTTTCTCAATAACTAGGAAAACCCGTAGAAAAAATTGGAAAGTTTATGGAAATAATTGGATTCATTATTTATGGTTTTTTTTTGTTTTGTTTTTTTTTTTTTTGTAATTCGGTCAAAAATAATCGTGGAGACCGGTAATTTTCAAAGAATACTTTTATTGGCTTTTTTTGAGTTAGTTAAATGTTAAAACACTGTGGTAATTTTTTAATTATTTATGAACATTTGACATGTTCTATAGATTTTATGGTTTGTATTTGGTTTAATGCTAATAAAATTGTTTTGACTGAACAGAAATTCTAGACAATTTTAAACGAGATTAAAATTATAAGTTGTACTTAGTGATTAAAAAAAAAAAGTTGAACGTAATGTAGTTTTTTTTAAAAATATTTATTGAGTTTAAATTCTGATGAAAATTGTAAATATAACTATACAAATTGCGACATTTCAAAACATTTTAATCTGAACTGCGACTAGAATAGTATTTCGTTAGAAATGACTTATCGTTGCATATAGAATACAGATATTTACTAAATAACTCTATATATCCTACCTTCCTACCGTCCCAGCTATTTTTTTTCGTTCTAAACGAAAAGTAGTTTAGTTAATAGCAGTGTTCAATCCAGATTATTTTCTTGGAGTGGTGCTCATTTTTTACCTCGGTCATTTAAATGTAAAATCTGGTATTGTACATTTAACAAATACGGTTTATTGACAGTTATATTTGTTAAGGGGGGAATGAAATTCTAGGGAGGATATTTGCAGATTAGGCTTTAGTTATTGTATACTTCTACTACTATCAACAAAAATATCAAACATATTATACACGTATTGATTGATTCATAATCGACAATTATACACCAAATCAAAAAACATTTGTAAAAACTGCGCAGCTATACAAGAATATGTAAATTAAAAAAATTGTTTTTTTTTAAAAATGTGTTACTCTGAATGTGTAATTAATAAAGAAAATAATGAATAATAAATTATAGGTATTACAAAGTTATTTGTTTAAGAGACCGTTGTATCCACATTTACTGGAACTGTCGACGGGCAACATATAGCAAATGTACATTATTTGAAAATACAAATCGTGGGGTTCAAGTTGAAATTGGAGTTTTAACACAAACAACAACATTTTAAAGAGAAGAATATTTCCGAAGGCCTGCCAAGATACAGCTGTTTAAAAAAAACGAAAATTAACCTGGTTATAATCATTATTTTTTAGGATAATTTTTAGAAAAAGATACGTACACTGTACAGCTATCTATCAGAAATTTTGTCTTCTTTAAATTGTGTTGTATGTGTTTAATTTCTAATTTAACGTAAATTCCACAAATTTATGTTTTAAATAACGTAATTATTTTAATATGTTGCCTGGCGGTGACAGCACATGCGGGTAGGACATCCTCTTAAAATAAAATACATCGTGCGACGGTATATTGATAGTTTTAAATCGATTTGTCATAGTTAAAAATTAAAATGGTAGAGTACACTTAATAGGTTAGGTTCGCCTAACCTCGATGGTCCGGTAAAGAGGTGTGACCGGTAATGTGCCATCTGACGCAGGTCGTAACCGGTCATGGATGTGTCGGTCATTACCTCCACCGGATCGAGCGGCTGCCCGGAGTTTATTGCGGACGACACCGCCGAGCACACGACCTTCAGGTGCCCTCAACGGGCGGCGGAGAGAAGCGGCATTAGGAGGTTCCTTGTTGTGACGGGAGGGGGGGGGGCGAGATCCTCGCCCCGAGGACGTCATAGACCTTTACGGGCCAGTGAGCCTGCGCCCCTCGACGCCGCTAGGATGGCGTACGCGGCGGTCCGCTGTACGGCGACCTTCCCCGCCGCGGTGGAAGCCATTGTGGCGAGGGAGGAAGATGATAATAGGGCGAGGCAGGCGTTCGGTAGCGCTGCCTCTCCCTTAGGCCGACGGTTCCGACGAGGAATGTGTGCCGGACCGGAGGAAACGATGTCTGAACGCGGGGTCCGCCTCGGCTCGGTGGCGATTGTGCGGGGAAGAAAACCTAACCGAACCTAATGCAATTGTTATTGTAACAGTATACGTTTTATGAGATTCGATAATAATCAATGACACCTGTAGTACGCAGCATTCGATAAACTATCGTTATCGGTTAAATACGCGAAATGCGTGTTGTTCACGTTGTTTTATAATAGTAATTACTAATTAGACAGCGTTCACTACGCGACTGGGGATGTTATAACGCCGTGTCCAGACAGCGAAATCCGTATAATCGTTTTCAAAACACACACACACACGCACGCCGGCAATCCGTCATCGGCGTACGCACACTACGCGTTAACGACAGCGCGCAAATATATTAGGATACAGAGTACCGGGATGTCGTACAATTTATTATTATTATTATTTTTTTGTTTGTTTTTCAATAAAACGATAATTGTTTTTCACGCACGCCGTCACGTGACCGCGGCCTGCGCCGGACCCGCCCGCCGTACGACGCGACACGGGCCGCCGAATCGCAATAAAACCGAAACGGAACACAAAATACGTGCGCGCGTGCATACGAAGAAAGGTCGTGAGATATTGTCGGGTGCGTATGCGTAACGCCCGTGCACGCGTTTTCGGTGTTTCATTAATCGCACGGCCATTTACAACCGATACATTACTACGATTGCTATGCAAACGTAATAACACGCCGCACGAGTACCTTAAACGCCGCGCGGACGGGCGTATTGCGTTATTAGGTACGTTCGGATGAGGACCCGCCGCGCGCGATTACGCGTCTGTAAACTATAGACCGGACCGACCGCGTGCACGTGATGTACACCGTGTCATGCGCGTAAAAATATTGTACAGTACGCCCGTGTGGCGATAACGTTGTATTAAGAGAATTTACGCGATTGCACTACGGTTTAGAGAACTGAAAATCATGCGTTTGATATAAAAAAAAAAAAAAAAAAAAATGATAAAAAGACTAGTCTATATAACTCTATAGGTGTACCACACACGCGCAATAATATTAGAGCTGCGCGTATTGTGAGACAGATATTGTGTACGGCATTATGGTAATTCATTGGGTATCTATTTTTTATACGTATTAGTGAAAATTCTAATCTCGAACGTGTATTATTGTATTAGTATAACGTGTATTATTATTGTTTTATCTTCAGATATTCGCGCACTTGTACAGTTTAGCGTTTAGTGTTTACACAGCGTTAACACACCCATACCAATAATGTATCATTGGTCGTTTGAATTATATACACCTATAAATTATCAGTAGGACTGCGAATGCGATCCCCTATAAAACATCCTAAAAAAAAAAAATGTGCTTTTATTCTTAAAAACGCTAAATAATATACCAATTTTTTTTTAAAAAAAAAATCTCTGTATAAATTATACTTGAAAATGATTTTTAAAAAGTTTTAAGGACAGAACTGGACATCTTCGACTTAAGAGATTTTTTAATTTGTTGAAGCTTTACTGATCGGTATCGAGACGTTTATCTAACGGTATCATCGCTCTATAATACGAGTACCAGCTATTTAATAGTTCGTGCATAAAAATCATATTAGCGTGAACAAATCTTAAAATTTAATTTAAAATTCGAATTTTGGATAGAACAATTCTAAAAATGAACCCCCCCTAACTCTAAAATGCTCTAAAAAATTACTTTTAATATCGAAAATTGTTACCCTCATTCAAAAGTACATTAGTATAACGAATTTGTAATAATATGAGTATCGCAAAGCAAGCTTTGAAAAACAATGCAAAGTGCATCGAAACTCAGCACAAGTACGATTAACTATAGGGCAATTAATATTATTTTTTATGAGAATGTCCAAAAAAAAAAAATAAAATAAAAGGAATGTTCGAAAACAACATAATATTAATTAACTGATTTGTCTACTTATAATAATTATTTATCTAAATTCTAAAGTCTAAATTAAACATAATAAATTATGATAATATTATACACGTCAACTGTTTCCTATACAGACTTACATTATTAAACTTCCATTCCTTGTCAAGGATATCGTCATGCAGTGGTTTAGTGATTATATTAACTGTATAAAATATTAAGTGTTTTGAATATTATAATTTTTTTTTATAGTAAGTTATATACCTTATAAGTAGAATTTAGGATTACAAACATTCAATCATTTTCGATAATATTCTTATTTAAGTGTACGTAAACCGTAGTTTATTATATTTTATATTACAAGACAAGCTATATTAATATTTTATTTTTATAGAATGAAAAGTCACCAGAAAAGGATGAAATATTGACAGAGATTTGAAAACTAGTCGACAAGGTTACATAAAAAACCTTGAAGAGTCGTTTAAGAGAATTTGGGAACTAGAAGAAATCCTGATAGAATAGATTTCAGTCCTTATTAGCACAATTTAAAAAAAAAGGAGACGAACAGACCATACCAACTATAGAGGCATTATTACAAATGACTTACAAAATACAATCAAAAACTCTCCAAAATATATTTGAAAGTCCATTAGATACTCTATTGTGGGAATTTAGGAAAGGTTTCAGAAAACGAAGATCGTATACCGAACAAATTATAAACTTAAAGCTCATCATACAACAGTAAAACTTAGAAAAAACTTCTCTACATCACATTCGTTTATTTTTAAAAAGCTTACGATTCCATTTACAGAAATTTCATTCAGAAATTAAAAGGATGAGTTAGATATAAATGCCGATTTAACAAATTGAGAAACAATAAGGGAATTTATGTGAAAACTGAAATAATATGACACGATGCGTGAAAAGAGAGTAAAATTGTACGGACAATTAAAAATAATGAATGCGGATAGATTGACCAAACGACTTTTTGATTCCAAAGAAAAATATTTTGAAATATCACAAGACACAAATAGTATATGGTTTATGGTTCAGGGAAGTCAAGAAAGATTATTCAGAAATGGAGATAAGGGAAGACGATACACAAACCAGAAATAGACTCCAAAAGCTACTACAAACATCGTTCCGAAGCATTTGGCGGAAACGGAAAAAAAATACAGGCGCCTTGTGGACAGTAGAGAGAGAGCAGCAATAGCATATTGAAACAATGAACAAGTATTGGAATGAGAGGAGAGAAAATGATAATAATATTTATATAAATATAAGAAATTGATACAATGCATTTAATATTTCCCGTGGTTTTAGTTGACAAAAATTGAAAAAAAAAAAGCATAATTATAATTAACAATACATTTTAAGTACGTCTTCGTTCTAATTTAATTTCTTAAGGTTACTTTTCGAATTTATATCTTTAAAAGTAACTTAGTTAAAAAAAAAAACGATGTCCAAATCACATTGCCGTAATTTCAATGTTTGATAGACTGGGGTAAACTTACCAGTTTGCCGAAAGTTGAGAAAAAAGGTTCTTTATCAACAACATAAACATAGTGCAGAAAAGCGATACGATAGTATCGATTTTCTGAAATATTGTCCATTATTAATAGGCATTTCAGATTTTTACAACTCCTAAAAAATAGGTGTCTAAATTATAGGCTACATATTTTCGTTACATTTAAATTTTAAAAGTTAAAAGTTAGGAAAATCGGTCGAAAAATAGGAAAAATCTAAAATTTGTCCCCGGAACACGAATGATGATTAATATTACGAACATATAATAAGAATATGAACAAAAGGCAAACAAAACGTTTTTTTACATGTTTTTCTTAGGTCAGGGTGATTCCGGATACAAACCAAAATGTCGAAAACAAGCTTATAGTTGAATTACGGCAACTATCCAAATTGCCCTCCTCCCTTCCATTGACGCAAATAGTGTGAATTAAGATATTTAAAGAAATTAGATACCTATATATTTTTGTTATCTATTACTAAATACTAAGTAATAGTATTTTTCGTTTGTATGTTTTACTAAAGTTATTATACATGAAATAAACAACCAATATTTATAAGCAAATTATTTGCAGAGTTATTTGATTAGAAAACCCGTAGTATATTGCTGTAGATTATAATCACAATTAAAATGTATACAAATTTACGCATAAATACTCAAAAGGAGAATATTATTATTATTTTAAACGACACACGATTATAGGTTAGTTTGATTATGCGTATTATTATTATGGAAATATAATATTAATATGTGTTGATCGGGAATAAAATTACAGTAGGTAGAGTGTATAGAGGTAAATCAAATTAACGTTAGCGACAACGTTCATCAACGATTTGAATTTCATAAACAAGACAAGCGATGAACCGTTTGAAACTAATAAAACGTGTAATAAACTACAAACGTCCGTTCCCGGTTTACATTCAAACCAGGAATGTCAGGCATTGGTAATCGGAATAAAAATTCCCGGGGAAAATATTCTCGCAATCGTTGAAAAAATCCTCGGTCCGTTTTTTTCTATATCCATTCAGTTGACAGTATTCGGCCAAGGTATAGATTAGTTTTCAGGTTTCTATGATTAATTTTAACTGAATTACCTGCTCACAAAATAAATTCGAAAATAACAAAAACCGTTATTGCGTTAATTTTCTTCGGTTTTCGCTAATTATTAAGAAAACAACAAAGGCAGTCAAAGAACGACTACCTTAATGCGCCGATTACGGACACAATCTTCTACGTGAAACCACTCCTATAAAGTGGACGGTCGGTGCAAGATTTCTGGTAGAAAAGTGGTTCACACGGAGAAAAGAAAAATTTAAAAACATCGCGCATCACAGTAAAACCGAAAGAATTTCTCACTGCGCTCAGAATACAAAATACAATTTGCAAAGTTCAATAACATTAAGTGGATAATACTTTTATTTGCATCAAAACCCGTTGTTTATTATACACAGCGGGATTGTGTATACATACGCATATCGTGATGCGGTAAAAATATTCAAAATCTAAAAGTCGCCTGACTTAAAGCTGACAAGGCTAAATGCTATATACGCAGACACGAATTTCTACGAGTAGGCTTCTCCCCCTCAAATGACGACACCGAATCATAATAGTACAGGTAAATATTTTAAAATTGTTACTTATACCACACATCAATCACGATATTATACGATGAAGGTCAATGTACCTAACAGGTGTATAGTTCTATAATAAAATAATATTAATATATTATGTAGGTACGATAATGTACCGAGTATCTGCATCACGTCCAACTATATCATTTACACGTGGTATTCTGCACGTTGTTAAATTTCAATGAATTTTTAAGAGATACAAGATACGCCTTTTGGACGAGACAAAACATAAAAATATCGGTTTTAGAGTTTCGGTGTAAGGTGGTAAGGTTTAGTTGAATTTTCGTGTCCAGAATATTGTCGAACGATTCCGTCGGACGCGGGACGTACTCGCGACGAGAGTCTACTATGCGGGATCTAACGTGATGTCGCGCACTGTATCGCCCCATCGTTCGTTATTCCAGTTTTGGAGTGATCCGATTGTGCCGGTATCGTAATTGTATCGTCTCGGATTCCGGAGTGACGATAAGGCGTCGCGTCCGAAATACACGGTACTGGGCGGGGACCTTGATGCGTTGCACACACGCGCCAACAGAGATCAATACCTAAGACTGGGGTGGGGGGGAAGGGGGAATCTTGGCCCGACTAACCGCCAATGCCGTTTCAGAAGAAAAAAAAAAAAAACAATAAAAAAACACAATCACTATCGCCCGACAGTACTACTGTACATGCCGTGACGAACAAAATATCACAACGGTTTGACGGGTACGCTGTTTGTTTGTTTTCGATTTTGTTTTTTCACGATAAATATCGAGTAGATCGGCGCCGCCGCCGCCGCAACAGCAAAGACGCGCACCGGAGAAATCCGCCGCGGTTAAACGTTGACAAACAACGTTCGACTGTCGCGGCGCGTGTTGACGGACCGACAACCGCGATAGTGAAATGCGGGTAAACGCATGGGGTGAGCGCGGCGATTGCGCGCGGCAGAGACCGGCGGACCGGCGATTGGCGACGCGATTAACGACACTACGCGGTATCCGACGTGTAACGGAGCCGCCCGGCGTCGTCCGCGGGGGCGTTTCGTCGCGAACGGATTTCGGCCGATCAAAAAACGGATAACGCGCGGAAAAACAAAAAAAAAAACAAAAAACGATTTTTTTTTTTTTTTATATAAACGCCGCGATTTGTTACGTTTAATCGCGCCCGCGTTACGCGCCCAATGTATAATATCGTGTTGCCGTAACGATATTGTGGTCGCGCGCCGTTAGTCGTAACGGGGTTTCCGAATACTACGCGCAGCGTCCGGGGAGCCGCGTTGCCGAACGGAGATCGCGGCCGGATACACGCCGGACGACGCCGGTCTCGCTGCTGTCGGCGTAAATTCCGACCGTACGGACCGTAACGTTCCCCGGCCCCCCGACTGTTGTACGGATTTTTCGATTGGTATCTTTACCGAATGCAACGCACGATCGGTCCTAAGCACTTGGCGCGAGCAGGGCCGATGTCGATTATTTTTTTTCGTTTAGTTTCCGCACAAAAATTGTTCCGAGTTTTCGCGCAAATCGAATGCCGCACAGACATTCGCGTACATTCGATTTGAAAATTACGCAGCCACGAGATGTGACACTGGCCGTTCTTGCGCCAAACGAGAATGCAATAACGTTCTCTTAGTAACATTTCTTATTAAAAAAATAATTATAAAATATCAGCAAATACGAACAATATTAATGCACAACACACATGCATTGATTATTAATATTTATGACGGATAACACAGGATTTGGCCGACATGCGTACTAATACCTGTACATTTAGACCTTTAACCTTTAGACACTCGAGAAAAACGATTTTCACATTTTATTATCAATGTATTACTGTGTAGGTTAGGCCTTTCAGCGCGAGTCAAATATTTATAATTTTATTTATTTTTTTTTTTTTTTTTTTTTTATTTGAAGCGATTAGGAAAAAACAATTTACAGCCTTACAGCGATATCCCTAACAAAGTATTTTTCTCGTTCGCATTTTTAAATTGCATGCTATATTATGAAACGTAAACGCTATAATTTCACGTATACGTTTTTTTTTTTTTTTTTTTTTTTTTTTATAATTACGAAGTAAATATATACATTTACTGAATTTAAATATATATGCAATTTAAAACACGTATACATACGAATTTAATGAAACATTATTTGTACGCGGCTCTATTCGCCAGAGTTTATGACCGACGTCGTGTAAAATTGCGGTCAGGCAATTTATATTTTATCCGAGTAATTAACCTACTTGCTATTAGACCAACACAGAGCGTCTCCAAAGGAACTCTTCGCATAACGTGGAGACGAGGCTCGGTCACATATTATAATAACACAATATCATACCTATGTTATTTAAACGAGATTTAAATTGGTTTTGATTTGTAATTATAGCGTACAAATTGTATCAAAACACGTATTTTTAAAATCAAATACATTACAGGCGAGACGAAATTATAATGCGTACGCGCGAATTATAAACGAAACGGTTATACTATAGGTATTAAACGATTTCGGACACAACCCCGTCGATAATAATATATAAATTAATTCGGATACCCATATTCAGTTGTGCCGAGTTTTACAATAATAATCATTCCACTGTCCACCGGTTTGTATTTGATTTATAATTAATTAAATTTCTACTGAAAACATGTTAACATTAAACGTTTTTTTTTTTACTGGTGTGACGGCGCGTGAGTATAATTCGAATTTTTCCCGAGCAACAGATTTGTGTCGCGTTCTTGTTACCGTGACGCACATCCAATCCGAAAACAGTGTGCGAATACGATTTGCAATAACTGTAAATGAACGATCCGGCAAAAGCGGTTAACGTAACCTTTGAAATTTATCCCGTTTATCGATTTCGGTTAAACATTCAAAAGGATAAAAAGGAGTTCTCAACAGACCAAAAAGAAAAAAACCTTCGAGAAACACAATATTGGATACATTTCAGAGGTTAGAGTATATACTTTTTCGTGCTGCATACTTTATATCAAACAATACTATCAATATCACAGTTACTATCACCATACTATTCCCAACAATGGAATAATTTCAGTTTTTTAGGAGGGGGAGGGGAAGGGAGGAATTTTTGATCAGCATATCAACGAAAAGATAATTAATTATTATCTTATATCGCATATTAATTTCAATTTAAATTTTCCCTGATGTATTATCAATCATCATATATAAGGATAAATAGCCCATTTTTTTTTTTTTAATTAGATTCTAAATTAATATAGTACCTACCTTAAAGACGTTATTTTAGATTTTCTCAGAGGGACTAAATCAGTAGATATATGTGTATTTTTTTTTATAAATTAACTTGAAACAATTTTTAAAAATATATAACTTATACCAATCTATACTCGTCATGAATGTAATAAATATCAATTACATATATGATCAGTTTTAATTCTTTATTTAATACCTGTATTGCCTATAAATTAAACATGGATTATAAAACTATAAAAGCATCTTCAAATTTATTCTACACCTTCATCATCTTTGAAATAATATGTGATAAGTAGGGCTGAGAATTGAACGCAGTGAAAAACCTTAAAAATGCACTTAAAGTCGCAAAATTCAATATAAAATGCACTTAATGCGCATGGTTTTTAATTTAATTTTTATATTTATTTTGATATTACTGATATTAGTATATTATATACACATAAATGTATCTATTTAATAAAACAGATTATAAAACTGTTGATCGAATTTGAACGTTGAATAAATTGATTTCTACAATATTGCTTTATTTTATCGAATACTTATCTTTACCTAACCCGTATACAGCTTGAGTAAAATATTATTTTATAAAATATTAATTTGACGCAGGTATATAGTATACTATATATACAGCCTGTGTAAAACAAAAAAGTGTTTAAAAAACGAAATTTGATTAAAAATCCCGGAAAATGAACTAAAATGGAAAATGAGACTTTTGAAAAGTCCAAAAAATAACCTTAAAAATCAAAAAAACATCAAAAAATGCGAAATAAAAGTTTCACCATAAATTAAATAATTTGTTGTTGCATAATTCAAATTATATACTTAGAAAGCTACGGTTCACAAACAGCTAAAAAAAAAAAAAAAATGCACTTTCTTGTGCACAAATTCACAGCCCTGGTGATTACTGTCAATGTTTTACGAGCCAACTTGTTTGTTTTTTAAAATTTTAATAATGCGTTTCAGAATTTTATTCCTCTATTAACAATTATTAAAAGTGCGAAAAACTGTAAAAATTAATAACGAACACAAATAACCGTCATAAACACAGCCGCCACACACTTTTCAATTACGTACTGCGCGCTTAACAACGACGTTTCGTGTTACACAAAGTGCGTCTCACTACACACACGATTTCGGCGTCCCCGACACGCTTGCCCATAATACGCGTCTCGGCGCACTTGCCGTACACTTGGCATTCTTCTTCTATATTTCCAATCAATACTTAAAACAATATTCCAGAGCCGCGCGTTTTGAATCCATTTTACACCGCGGTAGACCGCGACGGTTGATAATAAATCGCGTGTGTGATAAAACGGATAAAAAAAAAAAAACAAACAAACGCACTACGGACCGAATAAATGCACATTACAATATCGTAAAATTAATGTCGATCGCCTGTCTGCGAATTTTGCGCTGTATACCTGCCCACTCGTATTTTATTCCAAGAACGATTGTTGGCGAAATTGCAAAATAAACGCTGATAACGAGAGAAATAATAATAAAAAAAATAATAATAATAATAATAATGAAAAATCCATACATTTACGCGTTTTGATTTTTTTTTAAACAAATAGGTTTGCGGGGATACAAGTATTGCGGACGAGTTCACGGTGGCCGCAGAAACGAGTTGTCTCGGTAAAAATATTATTTCACAAGAATCCGTCGGCGGCAGCGCAATGTATCAACGTAACCAAATATACTTACTTAATTTGTTATTACCAATACGAATTATAAAATGCGCAATTGCGCGCCGATAAAATGTAACGTCGTTAATGTATTTGAATTTCAATGATTTTTTTTTTTTTTATCGAAATAAACAAGCGCCTGCGCATTGGCTCAACCCTCCCCTATTCGGGATTTGAAAAGTGTTATTTGTAAACGCATTGTACACGCGCGTACATACCATAAAGTTCCAAGGTTCAAAATGACTAGTTTTTTTTTTTTTTTATGAACCCTCCGGAACTTTTTCCCGCACACGCGGCGTTTGTGTATAAAAATCGAAACTCTGTAAAAATCTACGTTTGACTACGGCGTTTTTGACAACAATGTAATAATGAGAAAAAAAAACAATCTTTGGCTAAACCATATTCAATAAAACGTAAAAAAAATTAAATGAAATTTGTCAAATCATTTTAACAGTTTTCTAAACATTTTATAACTTCGTCCTAACCAGTTTTGGCCATGACGTGTGACCATGAATCGTTAATTTTTTTTCATTTTTATAAAGACCACAAAAGATCTCTGTTCATTCGATCAGATATCTTAGCGGTAACAAAAATAATCTGATAGTTTTCTTTTTTCTTTAATATCATGAATTAGGCCGATGACCGAACGAAATATGTTACACAAGATATTTGTTATTTATAAATTAGAATAGTTTAAAGAGTCATAAATTAAATGTATAATATACAGATAAAAATTAACCAATTGATGAAATGTAATGTATGTATGTCAATACAAAATAGCGGAATATTTTGTAACATGTGCTGCACTCTAGGCGATATACTCAGTAACCAGTATGTACTAAATATACAACTCTACAATAGATAGCATTCAACCAACTATTTTATAATTAAAATTATACAAATTATTATAAAAATAAAAATTTACTTTCTTTATATTATTTTTATTCTTTAAGTAAGGAGTTTAAATAAGTTAGGAAATATTGAAACTATTTTATTTTATGAAATTAAAATTTAATAATGTATTTACGAAATAAAATGGAATAACTTATCTAATGTACAATCAATTTGATATCTATTTTAACTAAATGTCTATTTTGCTATTTTATAAAACATGACAGTAATAACTCGTTTCATTATAATATTAATTAATTTTATTACAATATTAATATGAGAACTGCGTGTTTTTATTTAATACGTTTTGAAACGAAAATTCGCTTTATAGCATTAGAGCATGCTATACCTATTTCCCCATCGTATGAATATTGACACCAAAACAAATTGAATATTCATACTAAATTAAGTACTTACATAATTATAATATACCAGTCAAAAGTACCTACATTATATTATATTCGATCACAGTCCTTGGATCTCCATTGGAAAAATTCATTGATTTTTAGCTGATTTAGGGACCAATAATTTGCAAGGACGTTACACATCATCTTCGTCTTATGAACAAATGTTCATTAAAAATGTCCGTTCACCCGAATCAACTTTGTATCAATAGTTTTAATATTGGAGTTATTTTGACCAAATATTGAACTTAAAAGTAAGAAAATTGGTATACGTATTTTCAAGATGATTTTTTGTCGATGTTTTTATTTTAAAGCAGGATTATAAACAATACATTGTGATACTTTCCATACTCACATTTCGTTTGAGAATTGAAAAATCAAAATATTAAAAACCACCAGAGTATCTTTTTTTCCCCATTTATTTAGATTCCACTAAACCGGGGGGGGGGGCGCATTAGCATTGCTTTTCCTGACAGATACAGTTTTTACAGTAAGTTGTACGGTATTACAAGATAAAGTTAAAACAAATAAAACGGAGGGTTCAACATTAGCAATCGGAATCATCCTTGCGGTTAGCAGCATAGTTTGTTGTAGGTACATACTGTGACACAGAAAGGATATTTATTACGCAAAAAAAAAAAAATATTATAGGATCATCAATCTCGACAAAATTGAGATTGTAAACAGAACATTTTTATATTTAACTAACATTTCGAAATAAAATCAATGCAGTGGAAATTCTAAAACTGGGAAAAGTACTAATATATCTCCAAATAATTTAGGTATTTTTATCTTCTATACTTTAAGTTTATTACAATTACCCCTACCTGAACATAGTTGAACTTTCAGCAATAATGAATAGTAACACCATATTCTATAGATATCGTCGTTTTAGAATCGGAGGATCTAATCAACCAAAAACAGATTGTTTTTTTCATATTAAATAATTTTAATAATTTTATTTTTTTTTTTTTTTTACCAACTAATTTAATAGAAATGCACATGTATTCAATTTCGATAAAAATTGTTTTCGTCTATCTTGAAAAATTTGCATTTGATTGATACGTTCCATTGATTCTATGCCGACAATATATTACTGTAAATATTGTTTTCGCTTATCAGTACTACTTACATAACTACACAACTATAATTATTGTTAATGGCTGATGCGGTTTTGTGAGTTTTGATCATTAAATATTTATCATTTCAGTATAAACAAAAAAGTTATAATGTACCTAATTATTTATATTAATATGCAAAATAATATGTTATAACCCATCATAACGCAATCCATGTACGACAATAATAATAGGTACAAGTAGACGAGCAACGGTATTATATTGTACAGGGAAATTTAACCCAAGTCGCGCTGTAAAGTAACTAAAACTCAAGGTCGCCTGCTTTAATTTTAATATAGGGATAGGTAGGTATATATTATTATTATCGTTTACAATCTGTTCAATTAATACGACTTTATTTTCAAACTCAGAAAATCACGACAATTATTACGGACACGCGCAATAAAGTATAAGGCATACCTACAATATGATTGTAACGACCGGTGGTGACACTACAATTTAAACAGCTATGATAATACAATATAAGCAATTGAGTTTGTTTAACTATTCGTTTAAACAAAATATTTTACACGGCCGAAGAGAATATGTACACAGACTAGCTAGCCTATAGCTCAACCTTCAGCGTAATATCCAAAATTTTGATATTGTTAAAATTATTATAGGACACAATCAAGATAAATTTAAAATAACAAATGTCGATAAAATGATAAGGCACCTATACTTTCCATAGACGTATAATATTACAATTAACTGGATCGCTGTCTTGAGTGATAAGACGAACATTTTCAATATTATACTATGCATAATATCATGATCTAAGGTTTTTATTCGAGGCCGGTGTGCCTTGACTTCCACTCGTATAGGCATTGTAATAACTGCATATGTACATGAGTATACAATGTAGTAACAATAATATTCGTATTGAACGAAAAAGTGATTTTTAATAGCCCATAGACTATTAAAATTATTTCGCAACATAAATGTCGCTCGAAATGTAGTTTAATTTTCTATCGGTGAGAGAATTTTCCGAGTAGCATTGGCAGTTCCGGAGATTGTACATCTTACAAACAAACTTACATACGACATTACTTGATTGTAATACTGGTAATATATTATTAATGTACTGTGTATTACTGTATTACCAACATAAATAATACAATTTTTAATTTTCTGTGATCGTGGCGGGAGAACTGTTCGAATGTCCAATATATACACACATATACAGGTACCTACTATACGTATTAGTAACTATCACGGCGTTGGTCACCGCCATAATAACCGTGAGCATCAAAAAGACCCCTATTGGAAGTTGACCACTTTCCAACAGAAAAAAAAAATTGTTCTAAATCGTTATACATGCATTTGTTGTTTCCGTCTAACAAATACAATATATAGGAAAAATATGCTTACGCAGACTACACAGAACTCGCTTGATTTTGGTTTTAGGGTAAAAGCACTCAGCTATTACGAAATTAATCGAAACAAATATTCCGGAAGACAAGACGTTGCGTTTCTTTCAAAATGTTTAACACATTAAAAAAAAAAAAAAAACGTTGAAAAAGTCGTTATTTATAAACGGTTTAATTGACTATTATAAATTCGGAGAAACTGTAAAATACGCAACATCTTGCCCTCCGGAATATATGGTTCTCTTTTGATCTTATATTAGATGTTTTAACACTAAAATCAAAATTAAGCGAGTCCTGTGTAGTAAGCATGTTTCGTGCATTTGTAAGGCGGAAACAACAAATGCACGTGCACCGTGTCTCCTCTCTTAATAATTTATAATGGAAAAAAAAAAAACAAACAACACGAATAGGATCCTTAGACGAATCGAAATTTTCATTATTTTATTAAATTTAAACCTTCGTTTGATTGTCGCGTCCGGTCTAGTAAACTATAGGTAAGTGGATATCTGCGTGTATATACATATATCAATCGATAGGTCTAAAAAAGCAGCATAACAATGAGGTGATAAACAATCCACTGTGTGGAAATCGTAATCGTTAAAAGCTAATGAGTTTTTAATAATAATTTGTTCTAATGAGAACAAAATACATCTTTAAAGGCACGTTGCGCATATGCGTACAATACATTTACGTGGAATTTATTTCACCGTTGAACTTAGCACATATTATCATAATATTTAAAATGTCGAAATGAATAATAACAATTATAATAGGTAACCGTTCCGTTCCGATCCGTTCGATAATAATCAGTTCGTATTTTATAAAACGCGCAACTAACTAAATTGAATCGATTCACACGGCGAAACTGTGCGAAATAAATAAACAATGTAGATAATAATATCACGTCTCCGTAACTTAGTGAATCGCTAAATGCAATAAGGGCATAAGTTCAAATTTTAAAAATTTTCCACGAACAACAACAAAAAATTCCTATTACTACTGTACTTACTGTATATTAATATATACTATTTTATATTAGTTCATTAAATACCTGTAAAACGTATACGTGACCAGCTGCCCCGTGCAACTATGTCCCGTGCACATTATAAAATGAAAAAAAAAATAATAATAATAATACAAAAAAATTGAAACAAGTCCCTTACTGAAAATTAGCAGATATAACAAAGCGTCAGAATAAATTACGCAAATTCAGCGCCCGTAATATTATCGTTAGAAAGGGATTTTTTTTATCAAAAACAGCAATGAACAATAAAAATGTATTATTGTAACTATAACGATAAAAATAATCGAACTGGGCAAACGGATGCTGCGGGTATACTGTTCTATACAAATATTAGTAATACTCAAAATGCATAAAACAACTGCTCTTTTAAAAAATATTTGTTTAATAACAGCAATAAAAAAAAAAAAAATCGAACAAAAATAATATATGTCACAATATATTACACTATTACGATCACCAAGGGAACTCATAAGTAAACAAAACTAATTCTAAAAATATTTAGCTTTTTTTACGGAAAACACTTTCACGGTTAGTAAAATTATTTTGACTTTTCAAGCCACGATACTTTAATTAAACTTTTTTTTTTTTTTCAGCAAATGTTTCAATTTTTTCATAAATTCGGAATTTCTGCCCGGTAGTATTTTACTTGAAATACTTATCGACATTCTCAGCAGTACACCCTTTATACATTTTTTTTATTGTTTGATTATTGTTGATTTTTGGGTTACCTTGGCAACAAAGTGTAAAACGCTACTATTTTTTCACTATATTACTACTATACGCTGAGAATCATTTTTCGTTTCCAATGAATTATCGTTTTAACAGTATATTATATAAACCGAATTACCCTGTGGTATATATCCTTTGCCTTCCCAACTACCCACCTGCAACAGTAGTCTACCCGTGTACAGTCACAACATTTTGAAATTTATAACCCTCCTCCACCGAAAACAAATCCTGGCTGCGTCACTGAATGCGATATAGCAATATAATTTTCGTTCTGCTGGGAAAACGTGCCCATTCATTTTAATACATTCAGAGTGAATTTACCCAACATCAAACTTAAAGACAAGACACATTATCTGTGTGACTACGTCGATTTTTTGTTTGTTGATACGTTTTTAACTTACAAACAAGATAAAAGTACGCGAAATATCACAAATTAAAAATACTTATAATAATTCTCGTAAATTTCATAATGCACGTAGGTAAATTCTCTCTAATATTAAAACCCACACGTTTATACCCGCTGAACGAAAATTCGTCATTTGGTACGTTAGAAAGACGGGGATGTAGTTGCGGCGTCCTTTTAACATTTTAAAACAGTATTATTATAACTACCCACTTGGAATCTATAGGCCCAATTGTCAACTCTATTATTTTGTTTTCCGTTTTAATTAACACTTCCTAAAAAATAAAAACACGAATGTATCAGTCAATAAACGATAATTGCCACTGTAATCACCAAATACAACGCGTACAACAATTTCTATTTCCTCTCCGCGGGGCCGGATTGAACGCGCATGTCTGTTGCCTGTTGCCGACCGATGATATCTGTATGGATTATTTTACAAACGAATTCCGGATGTTAAGTCCCAATCAATAATATGCGTTGATTATATTAGATACTGCACAGTTTTGATCACAGTGAGAATAATTATAATTTATTACGTGAATTGTCGAATATTTCCCGAAATAAAAAAAAAAACAAATAAAAAAAAAACTTCAAACACAATTTGCATACAGACCAACAAACCGCCGTGTTATTTCGTAATACACGTGTGGGGTTAATCGCACGTAACACGCACGCAACATAATAAACTGTAACAATTTAATTTGTTTTTCGGTGTTAAATTTATGCGCCTCTGATATCGTTGTTTGGGTTCGGTTTTGAATCGATATGTGAATATAACTAAATTTAGAACACGGTTATAATTTACACACGCGCTTGCATTGGTAGAGGCATATAATAATACGGTATTGGTATTATTTATTTATTATTATTATTAATGTCTATTAGGTTTATTAGATGGATAAAAACAACCAACATAATACGTTATGTACATATTATGCGCACAGAAATAAGCACCGTGTCATTAAGTTATCAATACGGGTCCAATTTTGCGTCTTCTTTCATAATGTCGAGAACAAAAAAAAAACCACACAATTTCATAATAATAAATACACAACGTCAAAATATTTACGACATATTACAAGTTAATAATACTATGACTATATTATAATATCTCTGGGCGTTAATTTACGATTTGGTTTGGTTCGGCGGTTTTTTTTTTTTTTTACTTGAAATAATAGTTACTAGAAAAGTATATATTATTTGCATAATTAATAATAATTTATATTCTCTTTACTATCCTAATAAATGGTGAAAATTAAAAATGAGTTATTTTCTTTTAACGACGTTGAAAAGGTAGGCACCTACGTGCGTCAATTATTTTTTACCGTCTCGTGCCGTCGTCAAACCCGCAAATTTGTACGGTGGCCAAGTTTCAATTATTATTATTTTAAAACGCTAAATAGTAAATATAGGTGCACAAATATGTATATATTATTTTTCTAACCTTTTTTTTTTTCTATCGGAAATATTCATGTATAATATATTTGCCAAAAAAAATATAAGTAAACTATAATGAAAAAATGTAAACAGCAATATTATATTTTCCTGTGCGACTGCAGTTTTTGAAGGATAAAAACGAAAGGGTAAACAAATGTGTAAGTATATCGTACCCAAACGTTCAATTGTTTTTAAATTATAGTAATTTGTATAATATCTTGAATGAAAGTGTAATAAGTTATTTCGCCATTTCATTCGATGTGATATCTAAATAAAATAGAAACCATCTGCTAAATAGTTTAGTACCTAGGTATAGTGTTGATCTGCCTTTGTATAATACGTGTATATATTTTATATGCGAATAATTCAAAAATATGCAGAACTGTGTCGTTAAGACTCCTGCGCGGTTTTTTAAAAATGGATAACCGTTCCCATTCATCATTTTTCAATCATAAATATGTATAAATGTATAAATTGTATTTTCAATGAGTTATTTAGACAGCGATCGAATTAGACAAATATTAAAGAAGTTACGGATGTTTGAAGTTTTTACGATTTTATAAGACCGATAAGGTTTAAATTTAAGGCTCTATCATATATTAGATTTGATATTTAGGTTAGGTTAGCGATATTCCCTCTCCTGTATCATCGTAAGGGCTGAGAGGAAGAAGAGGGCTGTGCAGGGCACTCAAGTCGGCGAGCGAATGTTCAAACCCCGACTTTTCAACTTTCCGATTGTTTTTGTTTTTTTTAAGTTTTTCTCCATAACTTCTTTAATAATGGTTTTCACAAAAAGTATAAATATTTTCGGAATAAGCGTCAAAAACACGTCTTCCGAAAAAAAATTGAAAAAGAAAAGTGGCTAGTAGAAAATTGATATTTAATAAAAACTTTAATTTTTAGATTCGTAGCGTAACGAGGGATCATTAGTTTCACTATATGCGTTCTTTTGTATTTTTTGAGTACGTAAGCAACTTTCTACCATTTATCTTGCTTCAATAGAAAAATAACAAGAGGTCCTTTTTGTTAATTTTTCAATCTAATTGGTGAATAATTAAGTCGTTTTTTGATTTCCTGTATAGTTATTTTAATATTCAACAAACCCAGAAAAAAACCTAGAAAGAACGTAAAAATTTACAAAAATAATGATTTCGTTATTTTAAATTCTGTTGTTTTTTTTTTTTTAAGGAAATCAGTGTGGGGAGATGCTTTAAGAAGGTCATTTTTTTGATTTCCCCAAGAGTTTTCCCAGCAAATGTGAAAAACCGGGAAAAACGTAGGAAAAACAGAAAAATCGGTACATCATTAAACAAATATTATTAGAGAAAATGTACAACGACTAATTAATTATTTTACTATAAAATGACATATTATATAATATATATATATATATTGTTGACAAAGCATCACTATCAACTGAACTGCGCTCAGAATCATTTTTTCGGTAGAAATGGTTTATCGTTGCTTACAGGCGTATACATTAAATTACCTATAACAGTGGCCGCGCCCGTCTCCATTATCTTAGGACAGCTTTTTGTCTTTATTCTGATAGTATTTTTAGTGAAACATCATATATATTTTTCGTATATACTTACGAAACATAATATTATTTGCGCTGAAAGTTTATACATATGTTATAATAGCTAGGTACCTAATATTATATTGATTGAAACGAGACACTTGATGCTTTTTAAATTTTTGTCATAAGTGATAAGTTCAAAATCGTGAAACGTTCCTGCGTGTAAACAGATATATAAAATGACGTCTATATAAAGGGGGAATTCAAACCTCTCGGGTTTCAAATGTCGCGTTTATATAATATCTAATAATATACTGGTAAGAGATCAATACACACACAGTTTGTTTACACAATAAAAACTACTTTGCATCATAAACCATTGTCCACTTCAAATTTTGCATAATACATTTGTAATAAAAGCAATGAAATGGCATAATCGTGGCTAGGCGTGGGGGGGGGGAAGGGAACTAATCATTTGTCATATGAACATATTATATACATCATATAAAACATTTTGTAAAATGTGAACGTTTTATTCTATTTTTTTTTAAACATTTTCTACTAACAATCGTTATCTTTGTAAAAATAAAAAAGGGAGACGATTTCGCATTTGGCTTTTGGGCAGTAGCAAACAATTAGTGTGGTCAAAGTTGTTTTGTCTGAAAGGAGGGAAGGAGGGTCACACTTGCCGATAGGTCTTTTTTTGTTTTTTTATCGTTTAAGATTCTATAGAACACCTATATATAATACCTATAGAACACAATATTTGCATGCACTTAAATTAATTTTACTTTTATATAGTACTATTACCTAAAACCAATATTAAAAATATAATAAGAATAAAATATTTATTCTAGTAAAATATTCTAGTAAATGTATATACCTATTATATTTCACAATAAACTTCATTTATATTATAAAAAATACAACTTTTGTAACTTTTACAAGTAAATAATAAACTTGCATAAGTCATAATATATATTTTGCAATAGTTAATATTAGAAGTATTACCAACTTAAGTGTTACTAACAAACATATAATTAGAAATTATCAATAATTATATAATTGATAATAATAATACGATAACTTATGTCCAAAACAAAAATAAAATAATCTAATAAAAAACACTTTCGTGAAAGTGAGATGAAAACGGAATAATCCCTCCTCCTATTGTGGAACGTCCGGTCACAGTATGAAAAGACCTTTGAATAATTATCAATTTCTGTCTAAAATTTGCTATACAATTGCTATATAAATATTTTTAAAAGTTCCGAACACGCAACCATTACAATAAGTATATATATAAATTGTTATGTGATCATGTTTAATATTGCACATAGTGTTTAAAATCAAAACATTCGAAATCAACAAAATCAACACTTGATAACCTTTTAGAAGTCTATTAGTCGTAACAAGTCCTCTATAGGTACATCAGAAGCATATTACATATGTTGTATTGCATTGCAACTATGTGTATTACGAAATCATAATATTGCTCGCGTAGTTAAAGGATCCGATAAGCTGTTATTATAATGAAAATTTAAATAATTTTTTAATCTCGTCAAAATTATTATAACGCAATTTCTTAACTGTAAGTAATCATTTCATCGAGACTGTATATTATATAGGTACTAATAAAAAAAAATTTTTAATTAAAAAAATTATTTAGAAAACTGCAAGGGAAATTAAAAAGTTACGTTCCCAAAAATGCATCAATTACATGAAATTTTGATTTTAGACAAGATTTCTGGTAGAAAAGTCATTCGTATAAGGCATTAAAAAAAAAAAAAAGAACATTATAGTAAAATCAATACGTATTCCTTTCACTGGGTCAAAATCTGAAAAATATTTAATATTTATACAAAATGATCGAAGACTGAGATTTTACAGAAATTTAAAATAACTTTATTAATATTCCTTTAAAACTGTGAATGTGTCGTTCAAACAAAAACGTACCGCGTTAGTTCTGGTAAATTTTAATAAGGAATTATTATTCAATCATATGATTTTAATTCTTTAAAGATTCTTTACTGCACTTTTTATGGGGCTCACATAATGTGTGCGTGGTAAGTCAGGTTGAACGAATGCAACGTAAATTGTTGAGTTTTCCTTCTAAAAATTGAACACGGCCCTCGTGGATATTTCCCGGTTTTAAATGCACTTAACTTTGTACTCGCTAACCACGACAGGCAAACCGAACTTAACACAAGATTCCTTCATAAATTAATTGATGGTATTATTCGCTCCTATGTACTCTTACCCCAAATAAATGTTAAGGTTTCTCCCTTCTACTCGCAAACTATTTATCCTTTTCATGTACCTAGATCTTTCTGGGGCCGCATTCAGGATGGTGCAATGGGTGCGAATGTACCGCGGGTGGCGGCGGATTTATAGGGGCGGTAGATTTGTGTGGGCGTTCCTAGAATCCGTCCCGACTAACGTATTTCAGCGTACGGTACAAGTTTTGTTATCGTACATTATACATTATCTTTTATAATATTGTCGATACAAACCGTACGTCTGGCGTAACATTATATGATATTGTGTAAATACTGATTGAGAAAAAAACAAAAAAAACATAATATAATATTATAGGTTTATCTTATATAAATTATTGAATGCTTGTTTCTAAATGTATCTTATTTATCTGCCATCAGTGTGTAAGCGTCGTTTGCAATTTTATACACCTCAGGCTTAACTTCACTGTGAACTATACGTCGAATTGGGCTTCAACCCGTATTGTATTAATATGTATAAGTAAATAAATCATAATATTTTGTTGTGAGAATTGCATTTTTTTTTTCTATTTCTGTTAATCTATTTATTTAACCAAATCGTTAAAGGAAACCGTAATAAAATATCACGCGTTTAATTGAATGGAAAAAAAAAGCCAATTTTGAAATTGGAAAACGGACGGATGACACATATTTTTGTCCTAGTTAACGTTTATGTATATAATATGAAACATTTTGGCAACATTAACGGACATAAATAAACTAATATAGTTTTGTCTTCATGGACGCTATAAAAATAATTTTCGTAAACGTAATGCATTACAATATTATATAAACGGATTGTTCAAATTTTCGAGCCGATTCAACCGGGAATTACTGTTCATTATTCAACAAATAATATACAGTGAAGAAATACTTAAATATATAGTATGAGTATATCAGTACCAGTTTAATCGCTAAAATGCGCACACGTTCGACTTCATTATTTTAATTGAAAAATATATTTCAAGTTGTTATTATTTATTTATACGGCAATGTTAATACCATAGTGTTAGATGTCTTCTGAAAGTTTCTACAGTATCAAATTGTTTTTTTGAAATAGTGTAGGTGCTTGAAGGGCTTTTGTTTTGCTTGAACATTTTTGAACATGCGCCCTTTCTGCACTTAGCGATCCAATTATAGGCGCTTAAACGATTTTATTTTATGCAAATGGACGAGAGTATAAAACCGTTTTACGCATAAAAAATGTACCAAATAGTAAAATAACACACATATTTATAGTGCTGCATTTATAGATTCTCGTTTTATAGAAAAAGAAAAAACAGTACAGAATCGAAATTGATAGAATTTTAAACGTAGACGAAATTGAATTATTTTGGTCGGTAATATTACGACCATCGTCGGACGAATCTCATCGTGGATCGAAACAATCACGTGGGGTCCGTTTTGGGTATTAGGTCCTCACTCCTTTACGAGTGGATATTATACCTTAATATGTTATTATACAGACTCCCGGTGATTCGTAAACCTAGTCACACACATACATCAAATTTACAGTCATTCCTTGTCGGCTATCGGCTTGACGACATAATATTACAATATACAGGTGTTGGATTCTGAGCGTAGCTCGTAGCAATCCTCGGGACGTATTGGTATTCACTATCGCTGCCTAGTAGCTACTATTATTTTATTTTATTTCAATTATACGGGGGTAATGGTATTGATAATATAATGATGTACAAACGAACGCAATTAGTTTTTTTAGAGAAAATTAATTGCCCACGAATTCGACGGCCAAAGGATTTGGCCTTTGTATTCCGGTACCGCGGAATAAAAAAATATAACCGATGTCCGCACCACGTTAGTATCGGTGAATAGTTACCGTCATTGTCGCGATAGAACTAAACTATCACATGCGGTATGATAGTATCTACCGTGATAGTATTGTACCTAACTTAACCTAACCTCTCGTGATAACGGCCGTCGTGATAGCATCACCGCAGATGTACGGTAGCGTCGTATTATTTAGTATAGATACACATTATTATAATAATATTATGAACATTAATTAATAAATAATGAAATAATGGTAATCATTACGATTGCGTCATTTTATAATTGAAAATTTGTTTACCGTTATCATCGGCTATTCGTGTTTATACTGTTATTAGAAGGTACAATGGCCAAAAACTGCCCAATTAACTGCCAGTCGACGGCAAATTACAGGTAAAACGACTCGAAAATTCACAAAATAATTATCGGTACGTAATATCGTATCTCGTAAACTGTTGACTATCATACTATGAACTCCTCGCGTATAGATTATTAAATCTAGTCGCACTAAACGTAAACGACGTAACATAATGCAAGGATCATAATTTTTTTTTCTTGAAAATTCTATGACGGGTGCGCCGCACACACGCGGGATAATTAACTTTTGTAGGAATATTCTAAAGTGTAAGTTTAAAAAAAAAAATAAAAATATCTCCGAATGCCAAAAAAATAATCGTATGCATCATTATACATTATATAGTGTGTACTATACGATTTTGCAGACGCTCGGAGGAAAACGCGCGCGGACGACGCGAAGTTTCCGGGAAATAAATTTGACGTGCCGTGTTTTTGGCAAACGAACCGTGCGTATTATGAATACACACGGTATACGTTCGTTACCAGTGTGGCAGTACGTCGATACCATAAGGGATACCACGGATACCGCTCGGCTCAAACCTGTGCAAAACGGTTCGGTTGACAAAAAACGTTTTCCACTCGCCGTGTCAGGTAGTTGTAGGTAGTGTCGTACGTTTCGCCCGTGACACGAACACGGAGGCGAAGGCAATAAATTTATTATCGTACTGATGATTTAGGCGACGTAGTTACAAACGAATGTCGTCAGGGTGCGCTCTTTTGAGCGAATCGCTTTTTTGCCCGAGTATCTACATTTCCTTTGTCTCGTGGTCGACATACGCGACGGCGGTTTTGTCGCGGTTTATTACACGCGGACTGCGAACGGGAACGTGACAAAACCGACGTACTTTACGAGGGAGGGGGGGGAGGGTTTCCACGAATCCAACGGTGGGAGCGGCGGCGGCCAAGAAAAGGCGCATATTCACACTTCCCCGCGAACACCGTCGACGCCACCGCAGCCCGGCCCGAAATCGACGACGACAACGGTGCGCGCGTAATTTATACGCCGCGTGACGACGGAACGGCACGCCGCCGCGCACGTGTACGTATACCGCGGTACGTGTATACCAGACCGCCGCGCCGCGTCTTCCAGCGGCAGGGACGGGAGGTGCGAGCGCGCGCGCGCGCGCGCCAGGAAACCGCCACTGTCGCTGGGGGGTTTCGGATTTCAGGGCGCACAAATCGGCAACGTCGCCGGGAGAACGACGACTACGGACTGCTTCGTGTACGGCGGTAACCAAGGTAACGGGATCGGGCACGCCGCCGCCGTACACACGCGCAACAGCCATCACGCCGCGGCACGCACATAATAATACCAAACGCGCCATACGGGCATTCGCGTATATTATAACAATACCCAGACACCGTCTGTGATTGTTATTTATTCGGGATTGCGCGCGCGCGTCAAATTTCTCGATAAATTTTCAAAAATAATACGTATGATGTTTACCTCGGAAACGTGTCTGGCTCTGGCCCAATGTCCGCGGTTCGTGTAGTTCTCTTTGGTCACGAAATAATCCATAAAGTTGTTCATTTTCTCACGTCCGGCCGGACGACACCGTCGAACGTATTATGATTATGATACGAACAATTGCGGGCACGGTCGCAGGATCAGCATCAATATTTATAATATTTATTTTATAAATATATATATATATATATATGGGTATGCGAGCACGAGTAATATTTTAATACGGGAACTCGCCGTTGTAAACACTAAGTCGGATTCCCGATCGGCGCTTCACGGGGTTTTACGTATAATATTATTAAGTAGTATAACAATACAGTCTTAATGACGGCGCGCGATCGACGCTGCCGCACCGCGACGACGACGGTGGTGTTGTTGGCTCGAATAACGCGCGGAACGCCGAAACATATTATTAACTGTTAATTTTTCATTCCGGCGCCTACTCGGGGTTTCGTTGAGATTCGCACGGGCGTGTAGGTCGCGCGGCGGGTCCGACGTACGGATATTCGAGACGGCGGAAACGGTAAAAAATTTAAAAAACAATTAATAGCCCATCGTCCGTCGCGCGTGGCGTATCGTGGTTTCGGTGTGAATATTGTATGCGAAATAAATGGAATAAAAGAAAAAAATCAGAAATCGACAAAAAATTAAAAAAAAAAAAAAAAATAAAATAAAATAATAATTGCACAAAATATAATATTATCACTAACTAGGCGTTAAAAAAAGTATAAAAAAAAAAAAAATTATAACGTATCGATATTAAAAGGTATTATATACAAAAAAAATTAAAAAAAAAAAAAAATCGAGTATAAAACCGAATGGGACAAACGAACGTCCGACACTCGCAGAGTGACCGGTGTCCGCCGCGGCCGCCGCCGTCGTGTGTTATCTCGGAAGTGGTATAGTGTGTGCGCGTGGTGCGGTGCTCGTGCGCGTCGCGCCGCCGCCGCGGCCGCCGGTGGCGCGGTGCCTTCGTCGACGGCCGTTCTGCGCGCACAGCGCCCAAATAATAATAATTATTGTTATTATTGTAGCTTATTGCGCGGATACGCGTACGCGTTATTTTTACGCATGCCCGCGTTGTATTATTATTATTATTATTATAATTATTGTTGCGCACCTCCGCGTACCTACCATATTATTATTATTGTTACCATCATCGTTATTATCGTTATTATCGCCGCCGCCGTCGTCGTCGAAATCATCTCGGCGAGCGCGCACACGCTCGTTGTATTATTTTCACGGCCGCGAGTGCGCGCTCTCGTACGCAACGTTAACACGGCCGCGGTACACGAATCTCGTTCTGTCAACGGGGTCAAACTCCTGTGCGTACACACACAACAGGCGCGCGGTTTGCGGCCGCCGACGGCGGCGTTCGCGCGCCGCCGACTCGCGTTTTGTTTTTGTTTTTGCCGTTTTCACGGCCGGCCGTTTATTGTGTTAATAACGACAATGTATCCGGCGAAAACGCCCGTCGTCGCCGCCGCCGCCACTCGTCTCGCACTAACGCGCCCCGAGACGGCGGCGCCGGATCCGCCGTGAAACGGCCCCGGTGGTCACCGGTTGTGCCGGCGTGACGCCGAATTTCCCCGTCAAGCGTCCCGTCCGCGTATTGTCGCGGACGGGTGGTTAGGACGAACAAAAGCTGCGGAGTCGAATCGTGTGCTTCATACTCCCGAGTCTTGACGCACAGTTCGGTGTATTAAGGTCGATTCGCACTATACGGAACGCCGACGTCACGTCACAGACCGGCAACGTCACGTCAAAATAAATCTCCATGCCATTTAAATGGCAATCCGTTCACACTGACCGGCAAAGTAACGTATCGTCAACGTCGCGGAACGGAAAGTTTTATCGAAAACTAATTTTTGACGTGACGTCGCCTATCCGTTCCCGATCAATTTTGGTAGTACGTAAGTTCGTAATTAGAACGGATCCGTCATATTATATTATATTGATTTTGACACATTCTAAAATAATCGTAAAAGGAAATTTCTTCATCTTCCGATTCCTTGAATAAAGTGTGGTATTCTCTTTCAAATTTTAGCATAGTAAATATTTTTCTAATCCATGTTTTCTTGGCTCTTTTTTTTCTATTATTCTCTCTTTCATCGTCCAAAATTAGTGCAATCATAGCCAGTTTTTTATTTGTACTTAATTTAGGCGTGTTATAAAATTGAAAATTTCACAGAAAACAGAACGAACCAACGTACGAGCACAACGGACCGGTAGAAACTAGACAGTGCAGGTATTTGCGTGACGTTGCCGGTCAAATGTGAATAAATTCCTTTTTTGACGTGACGTTGCCGGTCTATGACGTGACGATGACGTTCTGTATAATGCGAATCGACCTTTACCCACACTCGATACGACGACGTGCAAGGTGTATTTAGTCGCGTAATTATATTTTAAACAGCGAAGAGTGCTACCGCCTAAACGATAGTTGATAATGAACCGAATTTTAAATAAAACCAACGGATTCGTAGGTGCTAATTGCAAATGGGTTTTTGTGTCTACGAACGACCGTTATGACAACTGGACCGCGTTAAATTGCTTCCAGAACATAAAAATCTAGTTGCGCCTAGAGGTGTGGGTGAAGCGTCGAATATGTTATTTTAATAAAAATTGGCGGATATGGGGGGGGCGGTGATATAGATTAAACGAACATGTTGCTGCCACATTCATAAAAATAGTTCGCGCCGCCAGACTCCGGTGAATAGTCATATTAGGGCTGACCACAACCACCTACCTATGTATATAACACCGGGATAACCGTGCGGTCACTTTATCCACCGTACCCCTCTCTACTCCCCCCCCTAAACATTTATTAACACCCGTCAAAATGTCTGGCTATTGAAAATCGTGTTGTTTTAATATAATCTCGTCATTTTTATTGCATATTCATCAATTTTATCGTGTGCTGATAAAAATAAAATCCCTAGCTCGTGAAAATCCTGATCAAATACTATTTCGCTTTAAAAACACCAATTACGACTAATACGAGTATGTTAAATGTATTAATGTTATAATTCATTTGTTAAGGCTCAAACATAATATTTATAAAATATTATTAATATTGCCTCCTTTAAATAATATTTATACACCAGAGAGAAACTCCTTTCTATTAACCATCTCCGCCACCACTATACTATACCAAAAATATGGTCTGGACTTGACCACATCTGAACTTTTGTACTAATTACGGTACATAATCTTCGCGAATCTTCTTCTGAATCCTCAAGTACGATACCTGGACGAGTCTCGGGTATTTGGGAGGCGATCTGAGCACACATCAAACGGCTCAAATGAGTATTACTCGAATCGCCAACCTATTTATAGTTACTACGCAAATTTTTAGTAAAATAAATCGACGTCGATCGAAAATGATAATATTATAATGGGTAATACTGATATAGGTGATAGTACGACGTCAGACAGACATTGGACTGCAACATTATGAATGTCAGCGCACAAAAGACAACCGATACTCTTGGTTCATTTACCAAATTCGTTTTGCATATCAACATAGACATGTACACCGCTATGCATTTTTAAATGTGTTAACATAGTTTACAAAATACAGTGTTTGCAAAATATGTAAAATTATGTCGACATTTTAATATAATCTTCAGTACTAAGGGTTCTCAACTCGGGGTACTCGCCCCCTAATGGAGATATGAAAAAATTTCAGGGGAAGCGTGAACATTTTTAAAATACCACAAAAAATTAAAACGTTTATGTTCATTTATATTTTTTATATTTTTATCGATATCTATAAGTCTAATTTATCGGACACTCTTTGTTTTCCAATTTTTTTTTTTCCAAAAAAGATGTTTTTCGACGCTGATTTCAGAACTGTTAGAATTTTTTTGAAGAAATCTCTAAAAAATAAGTTATGGAAGTTTAAAGTTTGTAGTTATTACGTTTTTCGGTAAAATACATACAGTTGTTAATTTTTGCAATTTTTTCGTAGGAAAACGCGTCTACCTCCGAATGTGATTTAAATATTTTGATTTTACTCCGAGGCTCACCCCAATAGATTTTTTTCCTTGTTACCTACCTGTCGTGGTATTGCACAACAAATCGAGAGTTATTTTCGTTTAAAACATTCCGAACGAGTACAGCGATATAGGTGCATCTACAATTCTAATACGACAAACTTTAAACTTCCATCACTTCTTTAATAATGATTTCCATAAAAATATTCCATTTTATCCAATAAAATATAAATAATATGTATTCGAATAAAATGTATCGGACATTATTGTGTAACATTAATTACGTTGATTTATATTTAATAACAATAAGTTTTAAACTGTAAGAATTTTTTTTTTCTACATAAAAAAATTCATTAAATATTTAAAAAAAAAAAACTAAATTAAATATTTAGGTTCTATAATCCAATAACCAACATTAAAGTAACAGGTATATCAAATATTAAACATACTTCAATCTTATAATAGGGAGGGGTGGAGATGTGAACTCAACAATACAATAGTATAAAAGGAGACGTTAATATCTAAAGGTTGAGAACACTTGTGCTATACAGTCAAAATAAAAACGAGCTGATACTGTTGATGGGTGCACTACTGTTGTAGGTAAGAATTTTGGATGGTATGATCGAGGATACGCAGTTATTTAATTTATTCCTGTTAGCAACCATTGCTAAATAAAAACGAAAATATTGCTCCAATAAAAATATGACGAAAGACATTTTTTGTTGCGATTTGACTCTAGTTGGTACTTTAGAAAGAAAGAAAGAAATTTATTTTAACTAATACTCCATCTGTATATAGCATTTTAAATATAGATGGCCATTTGAAAATCAAAAGTAATTAGTGGTTTTACCCCTAAAAATAAGGGTGACAAAAAAATAAGAGCTACTTGTTTCTTAGATGTTCTATAAAACAAATTCGGAAACAAGTTAATACTTTCCGAGATAATAAATATCTTACGATAGATTGATCACTCTGTGTATTATAATCAATAACAATCAATATTATCATGGCTTACACCCCCTCCCCCCACTCTTTTATAATATTCTGGCTTATGCTAAAATTTTACTATTTTAAAAATATTACATTATTATAAAAAAAAAAAACAATAACGAATTTTAAATCAAATATTACTAACCAGCTATAAATTGGTGTCATACCATTTCATCACGCGGAAATTCGTTGCGACGTCAACTCATCGAGCGACAATTCATCGCACATATATAGTATGTAAAGTGTACTATGGAGAAGTATCTCCGTATAACGAATATGATATTTTAATACAACGAATACATTTTAAACTATTTTTAATATTACATATACCTACAGTTTTAAATCTCATTGAAATCATTTCGATTGAAATTAACATTAACGAGTATCATTTGTGTGGTGCCATGGCACGCGGTGTTTTAATAATGCACCACTACTCTCCCCCGACCAATACTTAAATATGGAATATCTCATAAACGGATTAACGGAAATCAAAAATGTTAACATAAAAATTTATTTTAACTAATACTCTATCTATATAAGGCATTTTAAATATAGGTTGCCATTTGAAAATCAAAAGTAGGTAGTCGTTTCACCTCCAAAAATAAAGTTGACAAAAAAAAAAAAGCTGTCCTAGAATAATGAGGACGTGTGCAGCCACTATTATAGGTGAGAAGTTGGGAAGGTAAGAAGAGAAATTTAATGCATACCTGTAAGCAACAATAAACCATTGCGGCATTGCTAGCGAAAATACGATTCTGAGCGAAGTTCGGTTGATAGTGTTCCTTTCCGATTTTCATGGGAAAATCATAAAATGACCTCCCTAAAATACCACCTCCTAGAAAATTCGCTTTCAGAAAAGATGCTTTACTTGATATTTCAGGGCAATATATCTGGTAGAATTTTTGTACACAGTATAAAAAAAGAAGTAAACATCTTTGTAAAACCAACACTTTCTTCGCTTCACTCAGACTCTAAAATTTCAAAAATAGTCAATACTTTTCGAAATAATGAGTGTTCAACAATAAAAGAATCACCCGGTACATATGCGATGAATATACGCACAATGAGTTGACACCGCGATAAGTTAACGTCGCGATGAATTAATGTACATTCCTTTTTCTTTTTTTTCTTTTTTTCGTGTTTGAACCGACAGTAGTGATAGAATCTGTTTTCACAGTACTTCCCCACTGCTGCCATGACGTACATCCCCATAAATTATAGTCAGTATATTAGTTAGATAATATTTCCGAATGTCACATCGTCACGTACTTGATCGACTTTATGAATCTCAATTGAAATTTATTTTGCTCATATCAACAGTTAAATCTATATTATAGTATAATAGGTATGTGTTGTAATAGTCTAATTCGTTACATTCTATTTAGGTAAGACTAATACGATATACATAATATACAGAATGCGAATGTATATTATAATTTATAATAATAACGGATCTGTGGAATGAGTTACTCATTAAAATAATAAATTACATAATTTCTATATAAATTTGAAATAATATTATTGTTATCTCCGCGATCTGGTGTTTTATGTATTAACAATTTAATATGTTTTGTAACACGAGCATATTGAGATAAAGCCGTTTTAAGATTATACTATTTTATTCCTATTTCAACAGTTGTTGTAATTTAATAGTTTTATATATTTTAATTTATTAATAATGAAATATTTGTAATATTATTACAATACAAAATAATAATAATATATGGTGGGCAGATTTTATAAGACTATCATTATATTGCTATAAACATTAAACGATTCTACGATCGCTACACATTTACATGTGTGGTAGTGGTTTAATAATTCGTTGGGACTATAAAGTTGTATTGTAAAGATTAAGTTACACGTATACAATTAATATCTACCATAAAATGTTCCTAATTTGATTTTTTAAGTGAGGATATTTTTGTATTATATACGATACATTGTACTGCAACTACTACAGTCAGACTTGGTTAACTCAAAGTTAAAATAACGAGCAAAAAATTCGAGTAATCCAAAAAAAATAAAAAAAAAATTCATAATATTTTATTTAAAAAAGTAAAATTTTTATGCTTTTTTTTTGTATTTATTTTTTAAAATTATTACTTATTTTATTTAAGACGAGTGCAACGGTTAACGCATTGTCCACAAATTAGCTTTATAATTATTTACTCGGATATCAAAGCAATGTTTTCAATTTAGATTCTGAGTGTAGCGAAGAATGTATTGGTTTTGCCAAAGATGTTTTTTTTTTATGTGTACACTTTTTCTGATAGAAAACTTACTCCGGTGTGTTTGATGTAGACCTTTTTCTGAAAGGACATTTTCTTGAGGTGATACTTTAGGAAGGTCATTTTTTTATTTTCCAGTTTTCCCAATAAAAGATAAAAAGTGAAAAAAAAACGAGAAAATTTACGAAATATATTAGTAAACTACAATATTTTTTTTTTCTGCGGACACATTTTCTACTAGCATTTTGCTCCGATTTACAATGATTCTATTGTTTATAAAAGGGAATCTGACTGGAGAGGTACTTTACAGTGATCATTTTTCGATTTTCACAAAAAAAATTTTTCAACACATGTAAAAACTAAAAAAGGTATCACAAAGGTGTTAGTTAAAAAATATTTCGGCCTTTTTTTCCCCCCGTGAACAACTTTTTTATCAGCAATTTTACTTCGATTTACAATGATAACATTTTTTCTGAAAGGAATCTAACTGGAAAGGTATTCACAGGGGGAGTCATTTTTTGATTTCCTCAAAAGTTTTCCCAGCAAATGTGAAAAATCAGGAATAAACACGGAAAAACCGGGAAAATTGGTACAATATTAAACAAATATTATAAAAAAAATATATAATGCCTATTTAATTTTTTAACATAATATGACATGTGTATTGTTAACAAAGCATCACTATCAACTGAACTCCTATCAGAATCGTTTTTAGTAAGGAATGGTTTATCGTTGCTTACAGATACAAATTAATTTCTTCTCTCTCTACCTTCCCAACTTTTCACCAACAACAGTGGCTCGATGGGTGCGAAGTGTGTTCCTCTTTTTATATAGGTACATGTTTATTCAGTAAAATTGCTTTTTTCATAGCATATTTGGTATATGTTTTCTTCTACTTTTAACGAAACTATAATGGTTTTTCCAGAAAACAATTAACGTCAACGACAATTCACACCTATTCTCCTTGACTATAGTATTCTAAAAATTAAATTTCGTGTATTTTGTTTTGTTTTCACAAGGTGTTGTATGATAATTTATTATTAAGCCTTTTAACTGTTTTAAACACATGCATGAAGAGTGCAAAAATCATGCAACTAATGGCATAAGAGAGCAGTTATAACAGCAAAATGTTTTATGGAAGAAAGGCAAACTTTCATTAAAATAATATCTAGACATAAAAATTGTTGAAGAAAATAGGAAAATTATTTTCACTGTAATATCAAGTGAAATATTTTTTGAATTTCATGCTTTATATAGTTAAAAGGAAAATATCAAGATAAAGGTAACTTTTAGATACCTGGGACTTTTGATACTTTTAGGACCGAAGGTTATATTGCGAGTTTTACAATGTTTATTTTTTTTTCCATGAACAACTTTTTTACTAGAAACTTTGCTCTGCTCTTTAAATGTAGTATCTTTTCAAAATAAAAATTTTACTGGGTTAGTATTTTAAGCAGATTATTTTTTGATTGTCCCAGGAGTTTTCATAATAATTGGGAAAATTGGGAAAAAATGCAGGAAAAACAGAAAAATGTACGAAAATAAGGCTTTTATTATTTTCAATTTCGTTTTTTTTTTCTTTTAATTCTGTTAAAAATATTCGTATGGACTTGATATTTTGACAGAAAACTTATATTTGCCTTTTTTAGTAGTGGTTAAATTTTGAAAACAATAGAGTCATTTTTGAGTTAGGGTTTGTTTTATACAAATTTTAATATCAATATGACGATAACTGTAAATATTACTACAACTTTTCAAAACATGTACAACCTAACATTGTATTCAGTTTCGTTGTTTCGTTTTTCGTTAGCAATCGTTTATCTTTGCTTACGGTATAAATTATAAAATAACTTATTATCTCCTATCTTCTTATATTTCCACCTTTATCAGTGGCACAGCCATCCTTAGTATCAGATCTTATTTAATTTTGATCATTAGTTATAAATCGAAAACAAATTGAAAGTTTACAATTTTATTAGCAGAGGAGAGGTGTTGAGGAGAGGTGCCATGTGGTGTTATTATTTTTATTAGATTGCTCTACTTTCAGTATCTGAAAACCAGATTAACTATATGGGTAACTAATATGAAAATAAATCGTAATCCACCATAACAATGTATAACTATTCGATAACACTAAACAACTAATGGGGTTATGAATTCATGATGATTTATAATTGAAAATCAAAAAGTTGATTTAATTTATATTAGCACCTGATATTAATGGATATCGGTACCTAAATTATATTTACTGAGATTTTATAGAAATGTCGAGAAATTTTATTTGAATATAAAACAATTTTAACATTGAATGACTCATACAAATAATATTACTAACCATAATCATATATTAGCTTTAACTTTATGTAATGTATAGTTATAGGTATTATAATGTATGCTAAATGGGTCAGACATACAAGGATGAATTTATATGTTACCTACTTATTGTTGTGTAGTTATATGTAAATAGTATAGAGTTTTGATATAAGTATATTTTACCTATACTCATATTGTTTACAGCAATATACTAGCCGAGAAAGGAGAGGGGGTTAAAAATTAGAATTATTCCTTTAGCTTTTTTATATGGGTGCTATTATTTATTTGTTTATTTATTTAATTATTATAATGAAATGGGTTTGAAACCTTTTTGAAAATGTTTACAAACAATTACATAATTACAGTACCTAACTACAACAGAACTCGTAATAGATGAATAAATTAAATTAAACATTTTGAAAAATTAATATAAATATAGTATAATTAATAATCAGTAGAGGGATCCTCATTGACCATTAACATTAAACCTCTTATAGGCTCATTTTTCATTCAATTACTCTATAGAGACATAAAAAGGAACAGTAGAAGGGATTTGACGAGGAAATTATAAGCTTTGAATTTAAATTAAAAATAAATAATACGTGTTACCTACTAATATTAAACCTTAGTAGTATATTTATGGTCTATACAGAATTGACCATCACTATACTCGTGACTGGTGCTCGTACCACCTCATCCTCGGATATTACGGATTTTACGTCAAATTTTATTAATTCTTTCTTGATTAATTAATTGACACACCACTGATTTTTAATTTTATTTTTAATATTATAGCTACTGTTTAAGAATCGTAAAATTACAAGTTATAAGTAAATAAGTATACTGAATGTTTAGTAGGTATAGGTAGGGTTCTACCAAAATGATCGAGGAAAATATGTCCGGAGGTAAAAATGTCCAAATATAAAAATGTTATGAGGTAAAAATATATAATACCTATATAATTATAATTTATAAATATAAATATAATAAAGTAATAAACCGTATTATTATTTATCAATATTGATTGCTGATACACAATCACAATAGACATTTGTACACAATGTAAAAATAAAATTGTACAAACTGTACAACTCTTCATAATATCGGATGGATTTACCTAATCAAAAGTAAAATCAATAGAAATGTTAAATATCATTATAAATGTTAAAGTAAAACCCGTTCTTGTTAACTTGGTTGATTCTTATTATCTAGCTATATCTAAAGTGTACGAGCCGGACATTTTTACCTATAACAAGTAGTACAACAATTATTCAAATTAATAAGTAGTAATTTTGTTTATGTCACATCAATAATTATAAACAAAATAACCATCTTATGGTTAAAATTTTTCAAAAATTATACTGTTAATTTATCATTTTGCCCTACTCTAAAAGCTAATAATACTATGTGTCCTTTTATACGCCAATAGATGACGTGTAGAGGTATAATATTTTAACGTTTAGTGTTTATAATTTTAAAGAATCATTAATTAGTTAAATCAATACAAGTAATATTTTTTTTAATTAAGAATAACGAACACTATCATATTCGATAAGTATTTTTTAATATTCAAATTTTTTTAAATAATAACAATCAGTTGTTTTATATTAATTATTATATTAAATTTTTTAACAACATGAAAACAATAATTTTATATTAAACATTGTCAGATTTGTATAAAAACATCCTATCATTGATTAATTTTATAATTAAATAATAATATCATTGCCAAAATGGTAATACTAAACATGTATTCGCTTAAGGAAAAAATCAGAAAAAAATATATACAATTCTACTCATTGTTTTTATGGTATAATTTAATTTTTAAGAAAATAAATAAAAATGTACGACAAACAAATAATACCCATCACAATATTGCTAAACATTTTTTTATTAATCTTCTATTTCATTTTAAGAGGGTGGCATACACGCAACCCAAATGTATGGTCAAAGCCAAAGAATATTACAAGTAATTTTTACTAAGTGTCACTTTAGTAAAACGTTCTTCCTGGAGAACATATAAATGGGAAACCAACACTTTTATTTAAGTTAATTGGAATCTATAACTGCGACAATGCGTCAATAAATATCAACATTACCGGCATTAGTAATAATAAAATCTTAATAAAATACGTAGATTACATGAGTGCCACAAAAAAATTTATCTGGGATGGGCAGTGTCTTAGTAAAAATTGTTGACCCTTTTTTTTTCATGCATAACCCTAAATAAGAATTTGCCTTGGCCCTTTGATAACCAAACCGACATAGGGAAGAGTATAATAAAATTAAATACCTACAAATTATAATAAAGTTATACAAATTATCTAATTATTAAAATTATATTGAAATTATTGAAATCAAGGAGGATGTCAGATGCCCCGTCTTGCCCTCCCCTCCGGACGCCAATGCGTAAATATATGTATTTAAAAAAAAAATTAAAAAAAATTACAAGTTTGGATCAATGGTAGAGATGGCCAGAATACGGTGTGGTGAATATTTGTATGGTGGCACAACACGTGGGGTTTGAATAGTGTTCCACTACTTTTCCCCTATCTAAACTTAAAAGTGAATATTTCACGAACGCGTTAACGAAAATCTAAAATTTATTTAAACTCATATTTTATATATACATGGACCATTTTATATATGTTACCATTTTAAAATCAAAAGGTCGTAGTCGTTTCATCCCAAAAAATAGTGGTGATGTAACATTTTAGATTACCTGTTTACTTAAATTGTCGAAATGAGTATTCAACGATAAAAGAATATGATAAACTGTTCGAAAACACAAAATAGTATTTATCATGTTACAATAGCGATAACGTTTGTCAACAACACCGACTGGCAACTCAGTGGCGTTTCCTATTTTTTTTAAATTGGTCGTCGTGTTGGTCGTTAAAGTTGTGGGCGCGTTATTTGGTACGTGATCAAACGTAAATACATGAACACTGCGCATGTTAACAGGCGTGACTATCGACACAGCCAATGGCAAGAAAGATGCGCGCGCCGAACAGCAAAATCTATGACTGACAAGACGAACGAGTTGCGGTCACCGATGGCCGGTTAGTTGTTATATGACGGTCAACTGAGTAATTTCAAGTTTGTCAATTTTAATTCAAGTGATCACTCTGTGTTGTAATTTATTTATTTTTGGTTTCACGTTAAATAATCGAAAAATTAAAGTTTTTATTATTCATCAATAAAACATAAACATATTACTGACGGTGATAGTGATGACATCTCAGAGCACAAAAAACGCAGTTTTGACGATAACTGTAAGTTTTTATGTTTTCCAAATTTTCAAGAACTTAAAACGAGTGTTTACCTATTATATAAATAAACATTCTCACGTTATTAGATTACACTTTTTAAAAAGGATCAAAACCAAAACAAACATTTCGCTCTTGATTTCGATTTTGAATATCAGTTTTGAATTTTTTTGAATTTGGTTTTTTTTATAAATCTGTAATTTTTAAATATTTTTTTTTCTATTTCGGTTTAAATTTTGGAAATCTGTTTTGAATTTTTATCGTTTAAATTCTGATTTTGATATTAGTATCGAATTCTTAACAATTTTCACCAGTATTTAAAAAGAAAATATGTATGTAATTTATAATATAACTACGGTTTATGTTAAATAATCATGTTGTTTCCCTAAAATGGCTTATTGTAAACGACTATGCAATAGGTCATCGATGGTAAATACTAGACTGAAACATATTTTAATTCCATACGAAATATTTTAAGCTCATAAGCTTATAATAAAAATAAAAATTTTGATACTAATTAGGTACTTGATTTTATTTTATTTTTATTTTACTGTGAATTTTTAGAGTAACCAGTTTTTGTATTTTTCGATTTTATTTTCTATTTTGGAAATAAGTTTAATTTATCTGATTTCGATTTCAATATCGGAAATGTGTTTTATTCCTTTCTGATTTCAATTTTAAAAATAAATTTTGTTTTTATCGATTTCAATGTTTTGATAACATTATTGGCAATCGGCTTTCAATTTTGATATTGATATTGGAATCAATTTCCAACGGTCTAAAAAGGTATTTAAAATTAATTTCGAAACTAATTACAAGCCAATGTTTGCCAATATAAGCATTAAAATAATTATGATGTCAAAATTTAGTTTTCCCTGTCAGGTTTTTAAGAGTTAAGAAAAGCAATATAATTTATCAATAACAGTTTTTATGATTTTAGGTTTTATGTTGTAATTCGGTAATATATAATATTAATATGCACCTTTTACCCAGAATCATTATGTATACCACAGTAGTGTTTCGGAACTCTAGTTCGGTTTGTTTTTTATTGTAGTTTTTTTTTTTAATATTTAATAAACAAGTAGTTTAAGTTAGTTTAATTTATTGAACCAATTGTACTACATACTTACTTGAAACACCGATCCTTTACCTTGTGGTATTTTGGACCTATGATTCGGTTACCCAGAAATCACCGAAAATTTGTTTTTCAAAACCACGTAGGATAGGCTACAGAGAAAAAAACAAATACATTTTGTTTCAAAAAATAAAATAAAATTTATCTAATATAGTTTTTTTTTATATAAGTTTTTTAAAACATATTCTGACATTAATCGTTAAAATATTACGGCCTTTCAAAACACATATAACCGAACTTCGTTCGAAATCGTTTTTTGTTATCAATGGTTTATCTTTGGTTACAGCCTACAGGTATTAATTAATGCGGCGTACGCACATTATCAATTATTATAAATAATAATAAAAAATAATACCGTCTATCACAGTGGTTCCCAAACTTTTAACTTTTACCGCCCACTTAAAAAAAATGTGACACCCCCCCCTTAAAGAAAAATTTATTGGTACAAAAATATGCAATGAAAAATGAATTTATTGTTTATAAAATATAAGTTTATGTTTTATTATAATACTGTATATTGTACAAGTATAAATTTAAAAAAAAGGTATCCTAATGAGATGAATGTATTTGGTGTTTTGCCAGAAAAAAACAAATCCATATTTTTTTTATTAGCATGATAAACTTTACAATCTTGATGGTTTCATAGCTTCATTTGTAAAAACTTTTTGGGAAATGAGGCACATCAGTAATGTAATATTTATAGGCGATTGATATTAAATGAAATCGCATTTCAATTATTCGATATATTATACTGCCTACATGTTTTCTTCGTTTCAGCCATAATTTAGAAAACATGTTAATATAATTAAATACAATATTATTATAAAACAGATAAATAACAAACGCGATCGAAATCCCCGAGTATACTAAATAAAACAAACAGAATTCAGATAATATAGGTCATTCCAAAATATTACAAATTTTATCGCGATAATGACCAGATTCGACAGACGACAAACGATTATTTCAAAAATACACAATACACATGTAAAATCATTTATATACTACATAATGTTGTTGAAAAAAATTGAAACAGTCGACCCCGGTTTTGCAATCCAATACCCCCCAATTAAGTTTTTAAGTTCCATTGCCTCTCTAGATAGTTCCAACGCCCCAAAAGGGGCGACATCGTTCACTTTGGGAAATACTCTATCAAATTAATATTATAATTAGTGATGAGGACTATTGAATATTTTACACTATCGAATAATATTTGGTAGTTTGAATGAACTATACGAGGTTTGGCTATTAAATAACGAGACTGCGCGTGCAGAGAGCGTCCCAAAAAGGTTAGGGGAAAACCGAATACAGCGCTGACTAGCTGGAAGTGTCTATTATGCCAGTACAAAATTGGGTTTTTGTTGGTGCATTAATATTTTTTCTGTAGCGTTTAGAAACGAACATGTTTTTTTCTTTTGCCAAAAACGATGTGTGACGAAAAACATGAGCAACGGATAAACGTAAAATTTTCTCGTTAAATTAAAAAAACTCCAACTGAGTGCTATAAGTTGTTAAAAGAGGCGTATAGTGAGGATTTCCTATCTCGGGCGCGTGTTTTTGAGTGGCATAAATTATTTTCTGAAGGTCGAGAGTGCACCGGAATCCAATTCAGTCGTAATCCAAATTCAAAACCATGCTGATCGTTTTCTTCGATATCAACGGCATCGTGATGACTGAATGGGTTCCAGAGGGTCAAACTGTGAACCAACATTACTATTTGACAGTTTTGGCAACATTGCGCGNAAGGCACTCCAGTACTCGAACACGCGTCTTACTCACCTTACTTGGCACCCTGTGACTTTTACTTGTTTCCGAAGATAAAGTCTGCCTTAAAAGGAATCCGGTTTGAGTCGATGGAAGAGGTGAAACAAAAATTGGCGGAACTCCTGAATGGTCTTACGAAAACAGACTTCCAGCACTGCCTCGAACAATGAAAGAAACAAACGAAACGGTGTGTGAAGAGGGAAGGAGAGTATATTGAAGGGGAACATTTGGTTAAAGAATAATTTTTAAAATAAAACCATTTTTCATAATCAGTCTCGTTATTTAATAGCCAGACCTCGTAGTTTTGTAAGTCTTTGAACGTAAATGTTCAACTTGAACATTAAAAAGAAGACCATAATATTTTTAGCTAATACCTACATTTTTTATATTTTCCTCCGTTTTTTCGGTTTTTCACATTTGATGAGAAAACTCTTGAGGACCAAAAAATGACCTCCTTAAGGAGGGAGGGGTGAGTTTAAATTAAGTCTTTGATTTGTAATACAATCATAATTAACATTTATTTTAAAAATAATAAACAATTCTGTATAACAATATGACGGAGCAACACATGCGAATATCACATAACGGAATAATCCGCGAGTAATAAATTGTTTGAAACTTTAAAATCTGTATGTAATTTTATAAACCTCATTAAATATTTTTGTTTTATGCATCCCTAAAACAATAATTATAAAATAAACTATACATTCAAATATTATTATTATTATTATTAACCATTAGCAAATACTACTAATGACAGTACAGGATACTCAATGTAAATTGTTGGGGACAAAATGGTAATAGTTGTCTATTTAGCACCTTCCGATTTATCACGATCAGATTTATAAAAAATATATTGTTATATTTTTATTATACTACTCCATGACAAAATAATATATTAAATTACAAAATAATAATAAATCACAAGTTATTAAAATTGGGTGAAAATCTTTTAAAAAATAATAATGTAACCTCAGTCCAGCTCACCCTTTTATCTTCCAAAATAAATTATCTTATACTCATAAAAAATCATCAGTTTTCCCGGATTTTGATTCATCTTCACTGCATCTAAATATTTAACGCATCGTGCTTGAAGGAAAAAATCCAAAAAACAACCATCAAGTATTTAATATAATTTAATAGCGATTTCGTGACAAAACAGATATAAGAATAAAATACGAAAATAAGGAGAAAAAAGAAAGTATAAGGAAATGAAAATAAAGAAACAGAAGTATTTATAAGCTAGGAAAATAAAATGATAATATCAATATATTTTCGGGGCAGCTTTTTTTTCAGAATGTATGACATCGTTTTTGTTTGAGTTTGGTCTTTATTTTTGTTTTTAAGTATTTTTCGGGCATACATTTTTCAGGGGTTTATATAGGCAACTTGTTTTAAATTGGAAGTATTTAATGCAGAGGCGTATATAGGATTTTTTTGGAAAGGGGATATGAGATAATATTTTTTAATGTCTAATTTTTTCCTAAAACATCACAGAGTTACGAAGTATTAAGTATTAAGGGACTAAGGGCACCCGCACCCCTAAACCTAATAATAATATCTCAAAAGTGTGTAAATGAATATATACACATCACAGCCAAAAATAATCATTTATTTTATTGATATATAATGAATTATTAATCAGATATATTATCTATTTTATTAATTTAAACAATAAATTCAAGTTTCTCAGTTTTTATACACAATTGATTTAAACTTCATCTTTTTTTTACTTCATCTTCATTATAGTAAGACAGCAAAGCTGATCCATTTAGTCTAGTCTATAATCACAAACTACACACATTTATAAACAGTTTAAATTCATATATTTATTTCAGTGTTATTAACAGTACTATTGTGTTATGTAACTCATAAGATAACATACAGTGTTATATTCAACTGTTAAAATGACGGACATATTGGTGGGCCACTATTGTAGGTGAAAAGTTGGGATGGTAGAGGGGAAATATAATGTATATTTGTACCCAACGATTAAACATTGCTAACGAAAAAACTATTCTGAGTGAAATTTGGTTAATAGTGTTGCTTGTCAACAATATATTCTATCATATTATGGTAAAATAATTATATATACATTATATTATTATATATTTTCTTTGATAATATTAATTATTTTATATTGTACTTATTTTCCCATTTTTCCTAAGTTTTTCCTGATTTTTCCCAATTTCCCATGTTTTTTTCATTTGTTATGAAAACAGCAGTACAAATCAAAATAATGACCTCCCTAAAGTACTACCTCAGTTAGATTTCTTTTCAGAAAAGTTGCTATCATTGTAAATCGGAGCAATATTGCTAGTATAAAATTTGTTCACAGAAAAATAATAAACATTATAAAACCAATACATTCCTTGCTCTGCTCTGAATATAAAATACATAAGTAGATTAATATGGTATCTAACAGATTACATAATGTGGGATCTGTTCTGTTTATACCTAGTCTTACTAAAAAAGTAAAAAAAGCAAGGGAAGAGATCTATCCCCATATACCCACCTAAATAAATACACCACTGCTACAGTGCCTCCGAAGATACTTGAGTGAGTGTTTTGTATTGCCATCTATATAGCAATCTCCAATAAGTACCTATTTATATCTATATGCTATTGTCGTTATTGGATTTAAACACAAATCGGTTTGTATTACAGCTAGAGTAATACCACGAATAAAAAAATTTGGTTTAAAATCCTAACCTAACCTTGATTTATGTACATATATAAATCATATTGGGTTAAACATTTTATAAATTCATAATTATAGAAGTATTAACTGTTTTGGTTTTAATGGATTTGATTAAGAAATTATTGTATAGTCAATTTTTTAGATCAATAATCCGTTCTAAACGTCAATAATTTATAATTACGGAAAATGAGACTGAAAACGAATTATAGCAATGAATTTTATTTTTTGATTTTAAACCAATTTATTTAAGTGCGTGTTGCGTAATAAATAAAATATCCTAATATATCTACGACACGCAGTGTACGGAAGTGTAACTACAAGTTCATAACCCATTTTTTCGTTTATATAAACCACCCAACTATAAAATTAAAGTTTATAGATATAGGTACCTACCTATAATATTTATTACAGGTCACGATTTTCAGTGATATGTATACATTAAATCACCTGCTTTTCGTTAATTTTTTTTTTTTGCTAAAAATTATAATATTAAACGTTTTATACTGGTATTTATAATCTTGTCCTCGCCTCTTTCGTATTCAATTTATTTTGCCGACCTGAGTCAGGTGGATTTTATCTACACCGATTTTTCTAGAGGTTTTAACCGTATTGATCACTCCAGAGACTAAAATATAATATACTTTTTCGTACTTCATATCAAAACATACTATATCGTAAATATCTTCACCCCTTCTCACCGTCATGGCATCAGTTTTTGAAGAATCTTTTGATCAGTACATCAACGAAAAAAACACACTTTTTAATTTTGTATTACACTGCACACTTAACATTTCGTATTATACAAAATGTGTCGTAATACACACGTTAATATTTTTAGTCATTATACACAGATCTAAACTTTAGGCTTGCTTGATATTGGTGTCTCATTTCTTACCTAACAATGTTTCTATTTAATCTGACCAAACCCAATATGTTACTATTCACATCACTTACGCTTTTTCTCATTACCCTGGATTTCCTAAAGATTTCTCATTTATTTTTAAGTTTTCACTAAAATGCCATACATCGTTATCTATCATATTCATGAGACATTTTCACTTACTTTTTGTCGTGCATAGTAAATTTGGCACGGTAATTATTTTTAGCGTATATAACATCTAAGCGCGCAACAAATATTAAATTCAAAAATATTTTTTTACTTCAATCAAATTACTACGAATTTATAGAAAAGTAATTTTAAACCGATTCGAAATGAAACGTTTTGTGTTATTTCGATCAACACATATTTACTTCAAACTATTTTAAATAGTTATAATTATAATATAAATAATTAAATTATAAATAACTCCCGCATAACTGTATTATATAGTCTAGCAGCATAAATCGCAGCAAGACCGATCATCCCGCTATCCATCCGATTCTATCCGATTAATATTGGATAAAACACGATTAATGTAATCGTGTTGGATTATATCTTAGTATAAATAATTTAATGCATTATCAATTGTGGTTTAGTTGTGTCCTTCAGAATAATCATGTACAACTATATTTCAGTAGGTTTAAAAATAAATATTAGTGTATAACGTATTAATTTTTTATTGTTTTTAGAGACAGTGCATTTTTTATAATATATTGTCAAAAGAGAGAAAACAACTATAAGTATAAAATAATTACAGTCACAGACAGAACAAACGTAATGAAACTAAAATAATTTGGAGGTCAAATGAAAATCAAAATTGTAATAATTGTAATATTTTAATACCATAATTTATATAAAAGTACAGCGTGTATTTAAAAATAATGATTATTTTGACATAATTTTAATTTAAATAAATCTATACATTTATTTTATACTATAATTTGTATTGGTATAATAGTGTGTATTTAGTATATTATTATTTGATGAACATCAAATGCGCTGTCTTGCGCTCAAAAATGTTCGTATGCACTGTACATCGTTCACCGAAATGCCGTGCGCTAAAATAACTGCGCTCAATATTATCGTAGATCAGTAAGTAGATCATAGAATAGCGGCGGATCTAGTGGGGGATTCAGTGGGTCCACTGACCCACAGTTAATTTTTAATAGTAAAATTGGCCCCTTTGGCCTCTAAAAACAAATTGTAAATTTACACAAAACAGAGAAATAGTAATTATCTGTAAAATGTAAATCATATCCTTATTCTATTCGGCATGTTTTGTTGCAGGTATTCCTCAATCCCCAACAGTTACATTATTTCTCAGTGATATAAAAAAAAAAGAACGTCTGAGTCTAATAACTAGGCTTAGGGGGTTTCTAGCATTTGCATATTTTTTCTGAATTATGTAGAAAGAAGCAAAGTTAAATAAACATTTTGATCATGTTATATATAATCTAAATCCAAAATTTGAATGTGCATATTTTTCCATATTTTAATGTTTTTTCTCATTAGAGCATATATTAGCAGAACGTAGCTTTTAAGTGCTATAACTGGCAATTAATAAAAATTTTAAATCATATTTTAGTGTATATTTCGTTCTTTTTTAAAGCCTATTTGTATGATTTTGTAAAGATTTTCAAAGCTAGAAGTCCCTAAACTCCAACATGGGTTATCCATTATTTTTCTGCATTCTTCTACTTACCATTCTCTGAACTCTCCTATTTCCCGCCTAATACGTGCTGTCAACTTGAACCCTTCATTTGCTAAATTTACATAAATTGTAAATGTCTAAATAATAAGTATATACAATAGGCAATATGTTGTAAATTACTATAGATACTAATATAAAAATAAATGCAACTTTGAGTACGTTGTGTAGACACATTAATATAATATATGCACGTAAATCTCAGTCGACAAACAACGTGGTATATTTACGAGTATACACGATTTACTGATATAGATATAGATAGACCCTGGGATAGGGTAGTACCGACCCGGTAGGTCATAAATCATAAGTATGTATGAACACTGACCGTGTCAATCACAGCGCGAAAATGTTTGTCAAGTTTTTGCAATTTTCTATATAAAACAACCATTCGACATTTAACCCAAGACTGTAATAAACATAAAAATACTTGAAGTTTTACAAACTATATACGAACTCTTTTAATAATAAATATAGTATACATATTTAATATTTCAATGTCACATTTGTAATCTACGTGGTAATTGTGGCATTGACACAAGAAAATCCGTAATAAATAGCCTAAAAACGCCATTTGAAAATAATAAAAACAGCAAACAAATGTACTTATAGTAGATATTATTTCTATTAGTAATTTTCGTTTATAAGATTTCTCAAAGATTATAACATACACTCAACATATTGAGAGAAAATTGTTCTGTTAGGCAGTTTATATCATAAAAGAAAAAATCGTCTCTGTCACCGTGGGAGCACCACGGGGCTCCTAAAACGATTGTTTCATATTTTTTGCTATCACAAATATTGCCTAAAATACAGTCATTTAGAGTTTATAAAAAATTATGATTATGAAATTGAGTAATTTTGAAAGTGCAGAAGTTTCATTACTGTTGCGTGGAAACAAATTATGCAAGTTTATGGATAAATAATCATAAGTTACAAATATTATGTAATAAATTTGTTTAACAATTGAGAAAACATTATAATAGCTGTATGACGGACAATTTTTAAATAAAAAAAAAAAATGGGACTATTCGAATCTTGTGTTTAAAATAATAAGCGTGTCTATTTAAGAAAAAGTAAGTTTTGTTTACCTCAAGAATTAGATTTTGAAAATGGGTTCGAAATGGATACCTACATCTAGCTGAAATGTCATGCTATCATTTGAGTGAAACACGCTGTACATGTGGCCGTAATAAATATGCTCACCCATGTACGCATTTTATAGGTCTATATCCCGGTGACATTTGGTCCTAGTTCGTGTGTTTAATAGTGTAGGCATATTATAATAGCATTCATAATAACTGTATATTTGAATATTTCAACTATAGGCTATAGTACTATAGAACTTTGTGTCAGAGGAAGCAACTAAATATTTTAATTATAAGTTCGAAAATTGCCTCGTTACCTCCTTCAAATTTACCACTGGTAAATGGGATGCACTTAAAACCTATAGATGGTTAAAGATATCAAATTATGTTATTCACTAGACGTTTTCGAAAATTTCAAACATGAATTAAATAGAATTAATATCGTGTATAAGAACAACGTAGTACGATAACCTTGTATCAAATTTTTGAGCATTTTTACGAAGCTGTATTTAGTAAATAAATTTACATAAACCGAAATATAGTAAGGAAAATGTAGATTTTTATAAAAATAAATGATAATGTACGTTTATAATAATACTGATATTTGTACGCCATGTTCATACCTGTGTAGTGTATGCTCATGTGAGTACTTGACCCTTTTACATTAGTAATAACCTCATCGACCTAATTACGGGGGGGGGGAGGGGAGGAATCCGTGAATTTACATCGTACACGTATAAAACGGTAAAAAAAAAGGGTCGCTAGCAATTAGGCATTTATGTACCCAAGTACGAGTAAATTTTTTGTTGACAATTTGTTCATCAAAAATGTAAAATGTCACGAATAACGTGCATCGAATTTCGACGTCGGTTGACTCGACACCGGGCTTCATTTTAACAGTTATAAAATGTTTATACATTCCGTACGGTTTTCAGCGAACATAATATGATATAATCGCGCACCTACCATCCCTATAGGTATAGTCGTTTCTGTTGTGGCGTTGCAATTTTTAAAATAATTAAAAAAATCGATAAACCCGCGCGCATGTAATATAATAAGTAGACAAGTAAGTATGGTATAATATACTCACAACGAGTTCGAATATAGGCCTTTTGCTCTTATTAGGCGCCATGCGGTCGTCGTTGCGTTGATCCGCGGCGGGGCCGACGGCGTCGGCGGGCGGTCACGGGCGCCGCATATCTTTCGCGGACGTTTATTCTGGCCGGCACTCGTATGCCGCGGTGCAGACACTGCCGTGCTGGATCGGGACGGGTCGCGCGATGCGTCCGTCGCGGGGTGGCCACCGCACGTCGCGTGGCCGCTCGTGAGCGTGCGCAGGTGCGACGTGCCGGTGTTATGCGCGCTGCGCAACGGCCACAAAGACAGCCGACGGACTGAGTGTGCTAGACCGGCGGCGTGCGGCGGCGCACAATGCGTACCAGAGCTGCAGATATGCCCGGTCGGACTGTGCCGCGCCGCCGCGTTTGTCGTACATCTGACGTCGCGTACGCCAGTCGCCCGGCCGTTCCGTTCGCATACGGCTGAAGCGCGCGCTCCGCTGACCTCGATACGTAGCGGTTCCGCGGAAACAGCCCTACTTCAACATCCCCGCCTCCCCAGTCTGCGGCGTTGGGGCGCGTTCGAAAATTCAGCTCGAGTTAACTCCAGTTATTCGAATAAACTCGGTTGTTGTTCGTGCTATCATAGTTAACTCCACGCCGTCCGGTAACTAGGAGTAAACGGTTTTCTTTGTCACCGACTAGATCCAAAAATGCGACAAAAAAGGCCACTTGTCGTTTTTCGATCGAAGCAAGATTTCTAGTAGAAAACCTTGGTTACACAAATTTAAAATTATGAAATTATGTACGCCGTAAATTTGTTCGTTTTTTATTTTCCGTCTTTTTCCGCGGTTTCCCAATTATTATGAAAACCCTTTAAAAACCGAAAAATCGACCTACTTCGTGAGCAACTGGATCTAAAATTAAACAAAAAAGATCTCTTGACATTTTTTTTATCAAAGCAAGATTTCTGATAAAAAACATAGTTTGCAAAAATTAAAAACAACGAATCGCCGCGGCGCGCCGTAAATATAAGCTGTTTACCTATAGTTTTCTTTCATGTTTTTCTCAATCTTTTTGATGACCCTTTTGGAAAATCAAAAAATAACCTCTTTAATGCACCAAATAGATGAAATTTCCTTTCAGAAAAAAGCTATATTTTTTTTTTGAAAAATTGTTTACAGCCGGAAAATATTTTTAAAAAACAGGTATACGAATACGCATCGTAGTAAAACCAATAGATCCCTCCCTGCGCTCCGAATCTAATAATGAGCTAATACTGGGGAGGACGAATAAGAGCGGACTGACTCGGAGTGCCTGGCCCGCAAATTGTCGGCTGACTCGTATTCTGTCTTGTGGTTTTGGACCACAGTTAGGTATAAAGATTTTGTTGGTTTTAAAATTTAGTTGTCGATTTCGAAATATAATCGGCATAATAATGTTGTTGTCTTGTGAGATTTTATTTTAATGATATCAAATATTCGTAATTCATAGTATCTTAACAAAATATGAGCGTGGTCTTATTACAAAAATAAACGTAAATAAAAGACAATGACTTGTTGCTGACAGTTGTCGATTATATACCACAACATCATTTATGGGTTCTATTTTAATCCGCGTCGGCCTTCAGCTTATCATCGGCAATCGGCATAGCCTGACGAATTGTTGGACGAAAAGTATACTGTTATTCAGTTTTTTAAAAAATACTTTTCAAATTGTATTTAAATGCAGATTATTCCAAACATCCATTCAGAAAGTATTTCAAATACTTCTGAGGAAATAAATTTAAGTATAAATTTAAATACTTTTTTATAGTAAATTTGCAAAATTAATTTTAAAATGTCTAAAACTCATTATTTAACTATTTAAATAGTTATTATTGGAACTTTGTACCTTCTACTTCATTTTATATTGAAAAATGAAAATAAATAAACTGTGCTATACATTAATTCTGAAATAATTTAATACTTTGAATGAATTAAACAAATTATAAATTTAACATGTCATCATAATCATTCTCGAAATTCTGTATGGCACTTAAGCAACATAGTCAAGTGTTAACATAAAAATGTTTGTTACAAGCCTCCCATGGTAGTTTAATTTCTGTTTTATTCATCACTAAACTGTCGATTTACGTTTGTCTGAGTTCGGTCTCCTCAGTTTAAAATTTTAGATTTTGAGTGGAGCGAGGAATATATTGGTTTTACGATGATGAATTTTTTTTTAATCTGTGAACAACTTTTCTACTGGCAATTTTGTTCCAATTTTCAAATGTAGCACCTTTTCTGGAGGAAATTTGACTGCTGTGGTACTTTGAGGAGGTTATATTTTGTTTTACAAAGGGTTTTTCATAATAAATGAAAATAACCAGGAAAAAACGTAGGAAAAACGGGAAAATGTACGAAATGTATTATTATTTTCAAATCGTAAATATTACGGCTCCTTATCTCCTCTACCTTCCTAACTTCTCACCTACAATAGTGGTCCACCCATCTTGTAAAATATGTCCGTTTGTTTTTTTAAATAATTTTTTCTGTCTGTAAACAACTATTTCAACCATAAATTTTGCTGCAATCGAAAAACTACAAGAGACCTTTTTTATTGCATTTCGGATCTAGTTGATGCATTTGTGCAAAATGTCCAATGGACTTTACCGCACGTATATTTAAAAAGAGAAATTCTCATTAAATAAATGCTTTGGCCTAAATGCAGACATGAAAATTATTTTTATTTTTTACAATAAATGTATTGGTTAAATACGTAACCTAGTTACTGTACATTATATAAACACGGACGAACCGAAAGCCGATCGACTGAAATTCAGTAAACTCAACTTTGCTGTTTTCTAAACCGTGAATTTTCCACAATATTCGTTTTTTTCATATACGAACCACATTTTATATATATAAGCGTAATATACCTACACGTATACTGTGATATTTTTTCGAACTTTATTCATGTTTTTTCGTATACAAACCGTATTCTGAATCTTCTCCGCGATATACGTTTTATATCGTTCTGCAATCTTGGCGGTTTTTTAACGTAATCCATACGTACTTTACGTGATTGAAGGGCAGACGTCTGAAAACATGGCGTATGTACCTACTATAAATACAATGAACAAGTACAAATGCGCAGGTAAACAACTTCACGTAGCCTGTAAGTCTTCGATAATATATGATTCACATCAATATATATGTGTGAAAAGCGTACATTTAAGTATTTGTATTACCACTTAGCAATTAATGATAATATCCTCCACCGCCGTAATCTTTTTTTTAATGGATAATTGTTGTGTTTTATACTTATGGTGGACTATTTAAATAGTCCGAGAAAATATTATATATATACTGTATAGGTATATACCTATTTAGGTACATATCATAATGTAGGTACTCCCTTATTGACAGTAAAATACTAATATTGTTAATCTTAATTTAAAAATATAATTTAATTTTAACTATATAAAAAAATTAAGTATCATTCCAGCAGGCCAATTAGAACTATTTTAAAAGTAAGAGGTGCAACCGCACACTCTGCTCTGCTCCCCTAAATGACGCCCCTGTATTGAATATGAAAATCATGTCAATATAAAGTAACATGTATAACGTGTAACTGGGATAAAAAAAAAAAAAAAATCACATTTTTATTTGCTTAAATATTTTTGTAGGTAATTTATGATTTAATATGTCCTAAAATTATTAATTAATTTATCTGCTATGTATTTACATAACTAGTGTAACTTCTTTCATATTATAGCGGTTTCGATTGTTTACATTTTAATCATTAACATATATATCTATCTCTGTACAGATTTTTTTTATACATAATTACTATAATAGTTAAAGGCGTAACGTGGTACGTAGGTACCTGCAACTAATAAATTGTGATTTTTTCCGACTAAAAAAAAAATTGAAAAATAGGTAGTCCTAAAAATAATAAAACACTAAAAAAAGTTAAAGGGGAGATATATATCCTTAATCCCCCTCCCCCATAAATACGACACTGGTAATAATATTAATACACCTACCCATAACACCAACTATAATACATGTATTTTCTATTGCAGAATGCTGCGTTTTCGAGAAGAGATTTAACGAGGCGCTATAAGAACATGAAATTTGTAGTCCTATTACGTTTACGTGTAGAGTTTGTGAAAAGTTGTCTATCGCTACGTTAAGACGTTAAGAGATGTAAGGAGGCGATACAAAAAGACAAGATAATTCGCCTCATTACTCGTTCGTTTACGTGTAGGGTTTGTGAGAAGTCCGCTCCTCGATTGTGAACGTTTCGAAGTTTTCAGGGCTCGTACAAGTACGTCGTGTTATTATCATGTAAAATATATGGACAGCAGAGAAAACATTATCTACTATGAACTATAGAATATTCAGTAGCATATTTAGGATTTTGTTTAGGTACCATTATACCAGTATAATATGTAACCACATATAGGAACCGTCAAAATTAAATTGTTGATTTTTCCGACTTAAACATTTAGATTGAAAAATATTTAGTAGTATAAAATATAATTGTTGCTAAAAAAAAAACCAAACGATATATCCCTTATCTTAGGGTATACCCATAGGCGTAGAACGGTGAGAACTAAGGGGGTAAAGCCCCCCCCCAGAATTTTATTTATATCTTTAATCATGGAAAAAAACCAAATACTAATCATGTTTAGGTTAAAAGTAGTCAAATAATAGGACGGGGTAGCGACACAGTATGACAAGACGTGAGTGGGTGAGTAGCTAATGTAAAATCGAGGTCCGTGAAATTAGCGGACGGACACTGAGCATTAATTTTTTTCCCAATACCAATAATTTAGTGCTGAATTAGTGCTGGCAAACAGTAATATTTTTACAATTAGTGCTCTAACTAAAAAAAAAAAGTTACACAGGGTTTTATCTTCCGTCCGCTAACTTCACGTAGCGGACGCAATATAAGCACCAACAACCTCCGTAGTACCGAAATTTAGTGCTGAATAAGTGTTGGCGAACTGTACCGTTTTCAAAATGATTGCTCAATTTTCCAACGATATATTAGATATTCTGAAATTTTTTACAGTGGACGCAGTGCATTTTTTAAACTAATGAACATACGTTATCGTCTGGTTGATTGTATTTTCAAAGACTGGGCGACACTCAACAATAAATTGTCATAAGAAGAATTTATAAATTATATAGAAAATAATTAAATAATGAAGAATAAATAAATGT